CAATAAATTAAAACTCGGAAGTTCCCGGTCTATTAGCCTAACACGTTAGGATCGAATACTTAAACACATTAAATATTTTAAATGTAAAATTAATTAATTACCCTAAATTAATATTTTTTACATAACAATTGAAATATTGCTTATTATTTTCAAAAGGAATTTTTTTCCTCTATGTGTGGTAACAAGTTATTTGCTACGGAAAAAATGAAGTAGTAGGTGGTAGGTGATTAGGGGCGAAGACTTGGGTTAGTTAAAGACCGATTGGCTTGTATTGAGAAATAAAAGGTAGAAAGAAGTAGACTTGGCTCTTTACTTGTCAACTAAAAACACACGATGACTTCTACATACTATATAATACATTTGTTTAATAATTACGAAACTAAAATCTTCACTTTCGTATCGGCGCGCATGCCGTTGTTAATGACTTGGTCACGTACTTGAACAAAATTCTACACTTTTTTCCGATAACTAATTATAATCAATAACTCAAACGTGACATGATAATAAAAGAGCTAAAAGTTTACAAACAAAGCGCACTTGTATGTTTAATTATTATTCTACTGTGTAGTATACTGTTCTGATAGATAATATTAATGTTAACAGTTTACAGCTATTTGCATTTAATTGCAGATAATTAATTATTAAAAATTTAATTGCTCTGCCCGGTAATGAAGTTAACAATCGAGTGGCTTTTCGAATTAAATTGGATGGAACTTTTACCGAGAGAAATTAAATGATCCGAGATTATGCGATTATCAACTTGTCTTCAATTCGATTTTAGTAGTATATATTGTTAATTAAAAATTTTTAATATTGTACGTTATAAATTAAATCATTATTCATTTTAATGTTTTGATATTTATATTTTGACTTCTGCAGAAAATTTTAAATGCATCAAAATAATAAAAATGTTTATTTGTTAAACAATGTGTAGATAATTCAAAAGCGAGTGATATATTCTACATGAATATTTTTTTATTTTACTCAGAATTAAAATGAAGATTATTTTAGAAAATATTTAAATTGGCGAAGTTTAATTTAAAAATTTTAAGTATAATATTAATTTGAAAAAAATATAATCATGTGATCAAACATAATTTTCATACTGAAATCTTAATTCTTATTAAAATCATCTAATTACACTTCTATACAAAGGAAAAAAAATTATTTTACTCAAAAGTTTGTATTAAAGAAAAAGTAATGCATTAATTTAGATTTTTTTGCGTAAAAAATATGAAATTTTATTATAATAGATAAATATATTTATAAAAATTGACGACTTAATTTTTTAATCGACTTCAGAGTCCAACTTGGTGTTAAATATTTCATTGATACGCATTGTTTCCATTTATGGATAAAAAAAAAAACGCGCAAAGAAGTCAAGTGTTATTTATAACAATCTAAAATTAGACTTGAAGTTCAGTACTTCCACCGTGAAGACTAAGCCAACATTTTGAAGGTTTCAGAGCGGTGAAACGCATCATTCTGGGGCGAGATTATTCAGATGAGTAGGTGTTAACGTCCTAAAAGAAACATTGTGAAAAAAAAAATAAGCAACGGCGATTTCTAAGGAGCTCGTGACCAGTCTACAAGGAGAAAGTTCGTAAACTTGTCGTTTCTATAGGTTTACAGACCAATAAGCCAGGCAAATGTTCTCGTTGTGGCTTTTGACGATAGCTCGAGAGAGCAAGAAAGAAAGTTGTTGGAACTTCCTTCCTATATATATAACTATATAACACTGTGGTATTTTCACCGTTTTAAATCCGTTCAGTCAAGTTACTGTGCTTGTTATCATCATTATTACGGTTATAATATGGGTGTAAACCTCTAAAAATCCACTGACACTGGCAGAGTGCCCCAGTTAAAGACCTAGTTACGAATATACACTTCTTGCGGTCTTTTTGGATTTCCCATTTCATTTTTATTCACTCGAGAGTGGGTTCGTTTGAGGATATCACTTTATGACTCATTTTGATAACATTACATATAGCATATATATCCTTAATAATAAAGTTGAGATCCTCTCGGTCGATTCGCTTTCACGGGAATTAATTTATCCGGAAATCATGGCTCGCTGAAGATTGATATCAAGATCAGCTTAGCGGTCAAATTTATATTATTTTATTTTACTTCGAGAACTACATACAAAAAATAATGAATTATAGATCTTGGATTACCTCTTTTCGACTAGCTTTTGAGTTCATTAACCTGTAGGATATGGCCATGACGGTAGAATTCACGTTTCAGATCTTCTCTTTATATTTTATAGCAAAAAGTTGGGCAACAAAATAAAAAAGATTTTTAATGCCTCACTACTTACTCTTGTTTTATTGTTCCACATAAGTGTAAACTTCTAGAAGTAATTAAATTTTTTTTTTGTATTGCCAATAAAATTATAAGAAAAATTTTTTGTTTTTATTGTAGAATTTAATAGATATTTAAATTGCAGCAAGTTCAATAAATGTAAAAGTATAAATTTATTTTTATTTTAAAAAATAGTTGATATATTTTTTAAGCGATTATATAATATTAAATATTTCAATAAAAAAAATAGTCTATTGAAATTAATGAACTCTACTAAAAGAAGTTATGTATTTATTATTACTATTAAATATTCTACTGGGAACCTAACGTTATTTACTTTTGAAATTACACTATCTATATCAAGTTTGTAAAATGTCATTTTTATTTAAATTGTCTATTTTAATGAATTATGATAAGAAAAAAATTCTTTAACTTTACTGTTTGAGAATATTTAACGTTTGATAAATTTATTTATCGTATGTTTAATATACCATAGCAGCTTTAAAAAAAAAAAAAAAAAAAAGATAAACAAGATCGGTAGAAAAAACAGCTGGTCATGTCCCTGACTTGTTCAGAATAATATCCATCATTATTATGTTTTACTATATAATGTTATATTATCTATGTTCAAATTGTTTTTTACCTCTAGAATTGAGCGTCGAAAAAAAAGCGGCGTTGAGCTACCAAGTGTAATACTAATTGGTTAAATAGATTCAACCGACTAAACTGTGTTAATCTCAAAAATTAGCTATCCGTATATAGATCGCATTTAATTTATTCGAGGAAACCAGTAAAATAATTACAAATCGCATGGGATTAAAATCCACGACTTATATAGAAAGCAAAAGGATTAAGACAAAAAAAATAGTAAAAAGTTGATTCAAGTTGAGGAAACGACGTTGACAAATTAAAAAACGTTAAAATTAAGAAATACAAGACACGAGAACGCGTCTTCACCAATTTAAGGATATAAAAATTACATACGTAGTCCTCACTGGTATGAATTCAATTGCGAAAATAAATTTCAAGACATGTTTTTCTTCATGTTTTCACCAACTTTGGCAAATTATTATCATTTATAATGAATTCGATGTTGCAATGGATACAGACCAAGTTCTACAACTGCTGGTTAGGTCAGTTTTAAAGGCCGATGAGATACGTCACACCTGAGTTGTCTCTCGATGAATTTCACACTTAGAATTTAATTTACAAGGGAATTAGGATTTTAAGATAAACAAATAAATAAATAAATGATGTAGACAGAATGATAAATAAAACATGTGCAATTTTTTTTATAGATTAAGTAAAAAACGTATATTAATATGGTTCTATTTTACATTTACATTATAAGTATATCAAGTCTTAAAACAATAGTTATAAAAATAATTTTACATTAATAACTTAGTCGTTAATATATACAGTATTTTATATGTTGTACACATAAGTAATATCGTTTTGTATTGATTTATCTTGAGATAAAATTTTTTTAAAAATAACATTCGTTTGTATATTTTCAATAAATAAGATTATGACAATTAAAATTGAAAACTTTTTTTGTATAGAAAAACAACTAATAAATTTGTTTTCAACGGAACGTGAAGTTATGTTGTTTTAATTAAAAAATAGGTGATTAAAATCAATTTCTTTTATTATCAAAATAGACCGTAGTCTAATTATCTACACTTGATAATGTCTCAATTATTATAGAGCGATAATTTTAATATTACGGTCAAAAGTTTATGAGTAATTTTTTACACAGTAATTACAAAACAACGAAAGAAAAATGAGACAAATTGTTATCGCATTTACTTATACTTATAAGTATAACATATTAATCATTAGTATTTATCAAAACAGAAGTAATAAAACGGAAGACAAAATAATTAAAAAACAAAAAAAAAGATAAATCAATACGTCATATGTTTTTAAGACACTTTACATTGTTATATTTATTTTTATTTTCATTTTTTGTTTTTTTAATTTTAAATCACCTTTTAATAAAATATTCGCAACATGAGATTCATGGAAGCGCACAGCCGTAAAAATTAAAAAATTAATTGTTTTAAGAAAAAAAAAAAAACCATAAATATTTTCGTTCGTATATCAGTTAAAAAAAAATATAATCGAATATTCTTGATTAGATGAATTGATGTGTGGTGATTCATACGGTTTAAATTTCGTACACTTAAATAAATACATTATGCTGCCAATAAAAAATGAGTGAAAAATAATATAAATTTGAAGCGAATGATGATTAATTAACATGATAAGTTTGTACAGTTTAAAATCACATTAAAATTTATTGCAACAATCGCGCAACACTCATACATTTATATATATATACAAAATATCTCTCATCAATATTAACATTATTGAATATTTAAAAGTCTCTCATGAGTAAAGAATGATAAATGACAATCAAATGAGTATATAATAGAGTAAATAAGTGTTTAAAATGAATATAATTTTGTTAGTTATGGAATACTGCGAATAATTATAAATGACATAAAATAACACTTGCTTACAATGTCTCTTCAATATGAAGACAAGTTGTATATAAGTAAAGGTGGGCAATGTAAACATCACTTTTAGTATACATACATATAAATGTATCACAGACTTCATTTAACTTGTATATAATAACACTCGTAACACCACACATTAATATTATAAAGTTTCTATAACTAAATATTCATTCATTTTCGTTTCGCCACATCTTCCAAAACTTTATTAAGGGCCAAATCCATTGCTGCTTTTGCGTCTTCGTAGGCATAATGTTCCGCACTTTGTATCGTCCGATTTAACTCTGTTTCCGCGAGAATTTTTAACTTCTTCTTATTCGGGAACCCAAGTTTGTGTGGATAAATAAATGCTGTGTCCAGTACAGTTTCGTGATAAATTTTCAATTTTCTGAGATCATTTTCCAAACCGTGTCCAATTATTATGGTATCGGCATGAATTAACTTCTTCAAATCTTGATGAACTTTTTGAAGAGTTTTTGCATGTACGAGGTCTCCTTCACGAATACCGGAATAATGCGTATTGTAATCGATTATTTTATGTTCCGGTTTTATGAACTGGTCGTAAACTATCGATCCGTCTAATTGCACAATTGTGAGTCTCGTGGGTTCAAAGCCCTGGCTAGTAATGCACATTTCACAGTCCAAAGCTATCACGTCAAACATTTGTCTGTTTTTTGAATTTTTTAAAGGTTGTGCACACATATATTCGTAGAAAGGACCATTTACACCTGGCTTGGTTCCAGTCCACACGTGAAAATCAGCTTCCATGCAACCCATCGAATCTCTTGGCCTTTGACAACATTTTCTAACTTTGCTGTTGCTTATCGGAGATAAATCCATTTCACTTTTACAATGATAAATACACTTTTCCTTCACGACATAGACTTCCGTCAATGGGTTGATGTAAAATTTTTTAGTACATCTTGCACATTCACGTTCACCGGTATCCTCTTTGTTTTTATTAAATTTTTCAAAGTAATTCAAAATCAACAGCATCGGATCGACTTTTTCATTAGAATCCATCTGATGCGACGTTGATGATTCGCTGGATTCTGAATTTTTTTCACTGTCTGAAGAACTTTCAGACTCAAAGTCAGAACTTTCAACCGAGTTGCTAATGCTTGAACAACTCTTTGGTTTGTAACTCAACCCACTGGGTATGAATATTTTGGCATTAACATTCAAATATTTCCTCTGTCTGTAATTGAATTTTTTTCTATCTTCTTCCGAATAGCTGTAGAAGAATTGTATCAATTCACAGTGAGGCGTGTGAAGGAAAGAAACACTACTGCTGTTGAGATCTTTCTTGAATAAATAACCCAGACACTGCAGATAGTTGGTCGGGTGGGTTAAACTTTTCAGCTTAGATATGAGCGCAGAATGGCTCATATACTCCAAACACTCGCGATATTTACTGTACTGCACAGAATTATAATGGGATCTATTGTATAGATCATAATTATGTCTATATGCCGCGTTGTTTTTTTGAAACACGGCATTCACGTGATTGTGAATTCCAGAATCAATTTCTTGATTTTGGATCCCACGTGCTATCATCAAAGGCGAAACAAACGACTCCGAGTACATCGATGTGTATTGGAAAGGATAATTATAAATTGTGGGCTTGATACAATTATCATTGTAAGGAAAGCGATGATAATCGTTCAAGTCCACTTGATTTTGGTCACGATTCGCACGTCTGTTTTTTTTCTGGCGGCGACTCAACGCAGCTTGGTCCTTGATCGAGGAAACAGACTCCATGCTGCTACTATTGCTGTGACTGCTTATACTACTGCTGCAGCTTCGGATGACCATTGATTTGTTGACACGGCTGGAATTTTTCTTTCTGTTGGTTGTTGGATCTTTCTTGCTCGACTTTTTGCTGCTATGACTGCTTGATGGTGAGGATTTTGCTGAACCATTCCCCACTTCACCCTCGTTGTCCTTCAGCGTTTCTTTCGGCAACAAGCTGCAATCTTTATTATACACAAAAATAAAATATAAATTCACCTGACTAACAATTGATCAATGTGATTCAATATTGTATTAGAATCCTTATTCAATCGTGTATTTTTTTAAATTAATAGAAAATTGGACATCAAATTATAACTCTTTTATTACATTTATTTTACTCTTTTATTACATTTATTTTACTCTTTTATTACATTTATTTTACATGGGTAGAAAGTTTAACTTGACTAAAGACAAAAATTCTTGAACCAAAACTACTATAAGGAAAATAATAAATTTCTCGGGAGAAGAGAACAAATTCTTGAGCCAAGAATTTTTTTTTCAAACCAACAATTTTATCTTACCTCAAGAATTTTTTCTCTTGATTCAAGCTAATTTTTCTATCTGTGTTTCTTTTTGACTTTTGACTTTATTTCTTTTGATAACTTTTTCAGGTTTCTTAAATGAATTTTATTATATTAGTTATCAATAACTAGTTGGATGTTAAAGTGTAAAAACTATGTTATTCTACTTTTGAAAAATAATATTATTTAAGAATAAATGTATTGCAAAATATTTTTATAGATACAAAGTTCTTTGAAAAAATAAGTAATTGAATATAATACTTTTTGGTTATAATTTTACCCATACACGTGGTGATCACGTGTTGGAAAAAAAATCTAACCCTTACCAAAACTATATAATTATAATTTGCAATTAATGAGAATAAATAATTATTCTAAATTTAAATGAAACAAGCAATTTTTCAAAAACTTCTACGCTGTCAAAAAAATTGTCCCGAAAATTTTCGTGTTAATTTTTATCAAATACAATAAATATTATTATAAAAATTTTTTTTTACCTTGATTAATTATTATAATAATAGTCAATTATTATCGTAATTTATTTATTTATTTATTAACATACGCCTATCGGCAATATACATAAAGAAATTATTTAAAATTAAATAACATAAATTAAAGAAATTAAATTATGATTTAAATTGAAGCAAAGAACGAGAATAATACACTGTTTATATAATTAACAATTTTTAATAACTGACAAGTAGTTTAAAAAATAAAGTTAATGTTTTTTTAAACTTTTAAATCATCGACTGTTTACGACCACGTTTCTGTTTAATAAACTGAAATTTTCACTTGAGGGATGAGGGTCTTTAACCAAATTGGCAATTAATTGACTATAGTAAACTGATCATTAGCTACCTGCGTAGAGTCTCACTTTTACATACATTTAAAATTTTTTCCAAAGATTTAAATGAGATACACACAATATATATTATTAAATTACCTAAAATCATATTTAAACTCCAGAATATAAAGCGCCACCATATAATTAGCAATAATGCTTTCAACTTAGGAAAAGTTTTTAATTGAATAATTAAAACAAAGAACACAAGTAAACACGCGATGAGTTCTAGTCGAAAATAATAATAATAATAAATGGAGATAAAAAAAATTTAATGTCCAAGTTTCTGCTAATAAAAAAAAATTAAAAAAAAGTATTCATCATTTTAATTCTTATAGATTCTTATATTTTATTCACAAATAAATACGCATATATGTATTTACAAATATATTATAGTGACATAAGGTAGAAATAAATCTATCAATTAGGCACACGTATACCAAACACATGCATCAGAAATATTTTTTTTTGGTACCCAACCTTGAAGTTGATTATTTTACGTATTAATAAACTTATAAATTAACTCATGGTTAATTCAGCACCCTTGTAATCAGTGTAAACAACACGCTGAGAGTTAGCTTTAATTTAGATGGATTAAGAAAAAATTCCAACATACAGGCGCGAGAAATAACATTTTAAAAATAACCCGTATCGTGGAATTTTTTCTAGTGACACTTCTCGAACAAATTCTATTACAGGAAGTGGGACATGAAATAATTGTGAAATTCGTCGAGTTTAAAACCAATTTTAAATGATAGAAAAATTTTTTTTACAGAGTGACGATCTCAAAGTCAATGTCAGTAGGTAAGATAAAGCTTATAAAATCTTAGATGGATAATGATAATGATCATGAGCATATAGACAAGGTCACTACAAGTAGATGGACTTAGTATCTTCAGAAGCAGCATTTGAGTTGTAACTAAAAAGCGTATGTATGCATGATACTGTCTGACTTATAATATGACCGATAATTTATAATTTTATAGTGAGCAAATATCTTGACTTTGAACGGATAAATTATTAGCGGATCTAACTGCAATAGCTTACATACAATTTTTAGCCAGACTTATTGCCTTAGCAACACCTGCCAAGGTTGGTGAATTTAAATGTGTAAACTATTAAATTTATTAACGACAAAAATTATAAATATTAAAGTTTAAAGTACGATAACGGGAAAAGAGACGATTCCTGTTCGCACGGTTGTCCAATACCGTTGGATTATTATGAAATCGTTTGAGAGAGTAGTGTAAAAGAAGAAGAGAGGAAGAAGAAAAAGTAGTAACTCTTTCCTTCATTTCTTTTCTCAAAGTGTATCTCTAAATAACGCTAAGCTAGCTGTATATATCATTTTACCGCGAGGAAATGTTTTCTCGGGTTTAAAACATAATCTCTCTTGATCTCTCTGTCACGAAGGTCTACGTAATTTGGAATTGAACAGGAAGAATGCGATTAAGTCATTCCATTTAATCACTTTCTTCCTCGGAATTATTTTATTTTACATTTAAAATAATGTACATTTCCATTTTTATACATTTTTTTCACCTAGCTCCTTAAAAGCATGCTCCAAAAAATAAAATAAAACATAATTGCCTCAAAGGTGATATAAATACGCTAGACATATATTATAAATTATTGTTATCTAGTTGTACTAGGAGATAATTTAAAATTAAAGTTGCTTTCATTGCACTTGATTACTGTAAATTATTTTATAAATAATTCCCCCATATCCTGGCGATAACGGGGTCTCAGCAAAGTACTATCGTGTAACTAATGTAAGGAGCCACAGTAACCCACTCTAGACTACCGTTACTCACGATTACGATTCTATTCTCCGTGGACTCGTACAGCCTGTCTAATGTAATGCAATGTAATGTAAGAACTAGTACTAGTAGTCATTCGTTAAAAGATGAACAGCTGAGGTGAGCATTCGTGACCTAAACCACCAAGTTCAGAGATCTTGAAGGGTTAAGCTTGAACTGAATTTTTTTTTTTTTTTTTTTTTTCCATACTGTTAACTGTACAATTTCCTTGAAATACGTTTATGTTTTTAGTACTCTATAAATAAACAAAAAATGTAAGAAACAATTGGCCTTGAATGATAACAATAATTCAAAATCCATCATAGTGACAAAAAATATATAAATAAAAAAGTCTATTTCAATTGCATAAATTTTTTTTTTCATGGCCGAAGTACTTACTTTTAAGCCTATTACTATATCTTTTAGATAGAGTATATACTTCTTGGTAACAAGATAAAAAACATTTAGCATTGAACGTATTATTTTAAATAGAACAAAAAGACAAACGTCTATAGTTTCTCAAATAGAAACTCTTTCTTTTTTTTTTTTTTTTATTTTTTTTCCATTATTTTATTCAATGTAATTGTAATTATAATTTTAATTACATTGATTTGTATTATAATTCAAATTAGAACATTTGACTACCGAATAAATAATAATATAAATAAAAGTACGTTTATAATTAAAAAAATTCAGATCGAAAATAAATAGAGCGCGAAAAGAGTGTCATTAACATGATTGAGTTATTTTTGTTAACTAAAGAAATAATATATATATTTATATATTTGCGATTTCTTTATCAACTTCAGTGTGGGTACAGATTTTAATCATTTCATTCATTATTTTTTTTAATCATAATGTTTTTAGTAAAAAATTTTGTAATTTATGAAATTACTGTCACTCATTTAACGTATTAATATTCTATTACGTAAGCTAAGAATGGGATTGTTACAAATTGGGGCAAACCGCAGTTCAATAACTGTGAATAAATTAAGCTCTAGTCTAGGTGCTGAATGATGCAACGGGTGGTCCAGATTATTCATACGGGGCTAAATATTACAGTTGGAAATTGAATGAATTTAATGAAATAGAGGAACTTAAGGTCGTGTGTGTATAATTAGTATAATAATAGTAATAATAATGAAAGAATAAAAGTGAGCAGGCGAGATATAAATTAGAAATACCTTCAGCGCAGCTAGCAAGAAATTTGTCGTCACTGGAGAAGTTTATATCCAAGACTGATCCAGTGTGGCCCTTAAGAGTGCCCACGACCCATGAATGAGTAAATTCTTGCTGAGCCTCACGACGTTTTTTATTCTTAGTGCGTTTATTACTGGCGATATTGCGATCGTTGGTGTTGACTGGCTTCTGGTTATCTGGCTCTTGAATTTTTCCATCAGATTTTGGCTCACCTATAGATTAAAAAGTTCAATTATTCGATAAAATATTAATTACTTCAACTGATTTCTTTATTATTGATAATTAAAATAACTAATAATATTAATTGGCATTTTATGGGTTTTAAATATATGTCAGGAAAAATAAAAAAAAAAACATGACGATGTTCGTGCTGGTAATGAAGCATTAAATTATGAAATTATTTATAGTCGCCGATAGTCGGTAAATTATTACTGAACCATTTTATATTTCTTCTTTATTACTATTATTATCATTATTATGCAATGGTTGATATCCAGAATTATCAGTGGTGATAATCGGGAATTAGTATTATAATATTAATGAATTAAAATATCATAAAGTAAATTTATACATTCATGTTGATGTATTATTCACTACATTTGATATAAGGTGAAGCTTTTATTCTGTTACGTGAAATAGAATCGGTATCTCCATCTAGATAAAAATATAAAGTGCATAGTCCCGGTAGATGTATCTAATATAATATTGAGTTTGTCCGTGCGGAAAATACAGATAGAGGATCGGTTGTGTACAAACTAAACACGAGGTATAATTTAAGGACACGAGGAAAATTTAATAGAAAATAAAAGTTATGAAATAGTAACCTATGGTAACTATCGATTTTACCATCAGTAACATTGATACGTGCTTTCAAATACGTGTATTCCTCTGTATTTATACTTCTTTTTTTTTTAGGTCGAAGAAAAACAATATTTACACTAACACATAATGTATTTTATGTATTCTATCTATTTCTTACCCTTTTCATCAGATTATATTGTTAGACGCGCTGATAAGCATAAAGAAGTTTGTAATTTATTTCAATTTCTTCGGATTAAAATTACGCTTTAATGATAATTAAATTGCGCAGCATAAAAAATACTTATAAATTTAGCAGGCTGTCGGGGCAAATATTTGCTTGTGCATTTAAACTTACGCACTCAGTATCAATATACCTGTTATTATTTTACGCAGTTGAATTTTTAAATAAAAAAATATTATTTTAAGTAAAACCATAACCGCGGACAACCAGTTACACTTGTATTAATATTATTTACAGTGGCCCCACGCAATTAAAAAAAATACATCCAAAATTTTATTATTTATTTTATCGTACTGAAATTAGCCAACCCAGTTTTTGAACAATTGCGGATATAATATTTTTTATAACTAAAAATAACAGTTCATCAACGATCGTGATAAGACTGTCACACGATGACATTTGTTTGTTAGCTCCACAAAATGTAACAGTACTATATATATATATATATATATATATAAATTTTCCCCGTTTGTTGATCTTTTATTTTATTTTTACGACCGCGGAATTACGGCCAGACGACAGAAAATAAACACGCCGACTTTTTAATCATTGTCTTATTGACAATTGTCAGTGTTTATCATCATAAAAATACATATATACCAGAAGAAAATATTATCTTTAGTTAATAAAACTTGTGCCGGCTTTTTTTGGCTCAACTCTAACAGTTTTATATTATCATATTATTTCCCAATAATTGCGTTAGTTAATCATAGCACCAAACACGCTTAATGTTATGGTAAAATGATTCTAAATTTAAATTAATTATGATAATAATAGCCGCGACAGTACATTTATTCCATTCACAATAAAACTAATAGGAAACCAATTTTCTATTCAGCGTACGTTTTCAATAGCTAATTTGTACCCAGCATTCAAACTACCTGTTTAAATATATATATGTTTAAACAGATTATTCGATTGACGCCCTACGAAACAAAAAATTTTAAATTTACTCCTCTGCTTCCAAAGTTAACTAAAGTAAATAAATAAAAAATTGAGTTAAGCAATAATTTATTCACAAAGTCAAGACGCCAACGCAATCGTCGCCAAAAATGTGTGAATAAATAAAATACTGATACGTTGCCTTGAAATAATATTATATATATATATATATATGAATTTGCGTATGCATAAACTTTTTCATTTCGCCTTCTTCCTCTGGCTCTTCTTCTTCTTCTTCTTTTCATACACCACATACTTCTCTTCTACTTGAAGCATGCTGATTCATTTAGCTCCCTGACCTGCTGGAAGGCCAACCAAGTTGAGCATGTAAAGCCAAAGTCAACTTGTCCATTAAAACCATTGCAAATACAGATATATTACGTTATAACAATAAATATACAATACACAAAAGTATTTTTCTGTATTATAATTATCAGAGAAAAATTATCCTACAATGGAAAACAATACTAGTTATTAACCGCCTAATTACAAATAGTCATTTATTACTATTAAGTCAATACGTACTTGAAAAATAAAAACAGTGACATATATCAGTATGTATAATACTTTAAATACGTATCATATTGTGGGCGCTTAAGTGCTCTTAAACGCATACAAGTTTAATAAAGTGCACCACGTGGCGACAAGTCTATCGTTCTTGGGCTGTACTTTGAATTAAAATAAAAACAAAATAATAACAAGTCATGTGTAAAGTCGATTCACTTTCAGTTAGTCTTCACTGTTTCGCTAATATATAACATGTGCATCTACAGTATTTTTACATCAGACATGCAAGCTAATTTTCTCTATGCCTTCATGTCTTTTATGTACTTCCTTTTATTTCAGTTGGATGATTATTTTCATTGTTACTATTATTATTATTATTATTATTATTTTTTTTTTTTTTCAACCTTTACTGCATACTACTCGTCTGTAATACGAATGAAATAGAAGAAGTAAAAGAGCCAACCCGATGCAATGTGTAAGTCGCAACGAGGATAAATATAACACATCGCAAGTTTATTTTTACGCTACTGGTTAAATCGAGGGAGCTTAGCTGCTGTAACTTCTTAATATTTTTCTGTCACGTTGTTTTAATATTTATAATTTAAAGTCAACTCAAAATATCGTAAATCAATATCCTGCTTTAATATTTTCTTTCTGTTTTAAAAATAAAATTTTAATTACATACTAAATAAAATAAAAATATAAACGAAAAAAAAAAAAAAAAAAAAAAAGTATAATGCGCCGTAAAAATTCAAAGTTTCAAATTACACACATGGGTAGGACCACCACCGCATCGCATTGTTAATGAAATAAAATAAAAAAGGAGAATAAAATAAGGATGAATTCCCCTGCACGTGGTATTGCTACGGGTCCTCATTGTACTCTCTCACTTCCTCAGGTCTCTCTTGCACTCATGCAATCTTCTGGCATATATTCCTCTCGGAAACGCCGGTTCTTTCTGTTTCTGTCGCTCCAGTTAAAGTTAAGCGGTTTCTCTTGTGCAGCTGCCGCCAAAAAAGGTTGCTAAAGCAGAACTATAATCCCGAGTCTTGAGAAAGACGACACGAGGGTTCCCAAAAATATTAATAAGTTATAAAAAAAAACCTTAAGATCTTTAACGAATTAAAAACCCAAGGCTTTTTTTCTGACTATAGTCTTCTTAAACGCCGGTGATTTCATCATAAAAAAAAAAAAAAAAAAAAAAAAAAAAAAATTACGTGTCCCTGGGTGACTCAAATCAAATGAATTTAACATTTTTTTCCACTATGACCAGCCGATTATCAAACTCCGAGTAGCTTTCAGTTTCAGTGCACGCGTACTCAACTTGAAATTCGGTGGTTAAAAATTGTATTATTTTCGCGGGATTTCAGGTTGCGCAGAATCAGAATCTGCGATTAACAATGTGCTGATGATGCATCAGATATTAAATATAAATAATGAATGAAACAATATCTTACTTGTGTTCTCGCAAGAACCAGAACGTCGTCCAAGAATAAATCCAATGATAACAACAGCAACACCCAGGAAAATAGTGGCCAAAACCATGGGATCGGTCGCACCGAATCCCATGAACATTTTCATCACCGCGTCACCCATCTCTCTTAGCTGTACGTGTGTATTTACACGTACTTATTTATTTATTTATATGTGTATATATATATATATATATATATATATATATATATATATATATATAATAAAACCGTCGTCACTTAAAATCACGTAACTCCTACACTCCGTAGTTGGGAAATAACCAGCTTTAGCTTACGAGCGAACCTAGTTTCCTATTTATCAAATAAAACTTTTAGGTTAACAGATCAAACACTCACGTGGTAATTTTACTCCGATAAAGTAATTATTTAATGAATATAATAAACACCTACCGATAATTAATAAGTTTTATTGAAATAATTAAAACAACCTCGGAAATTTTTATCACTCGTCTTCACGGACTCACGTCGGGTTAAGTGATCTCCCGGTATTTTATTCACGCGGCGATTCTCGAGCGACACCAACAACCAACACACCACCTCCTCAGCACTCAACTCTCAGCTCTCCTACGTTATGTTATTTTATCTCTCTCCGTCGCAAGTTATCTCCTAGCTTTTATTTCAGCACAAACTTTGGCCACTAACTAGGTAAAATTGCAAGTTTTGTAACCCAGGGTTTAATTTTTTTGGTTATCTTCGAGGAGTGTTGCCGATAAAACAGGAGGCGTAGGTATTAATCCGTGTCCGAGAGAAAAACCGCGATAAATTTCTAAATAATCTGAAATTAATAAAAATAATTAAAAATATTATCAACGCAATTTATTTTTTTTATTCTTACTGTATTGTAAAAAATCACTTCCATTCTCGGCGTCCGAATTATTAATAACGACTATTAAATTTATTATCATTTCTGGTTTTTTTATTTTTAAATTTAAGTGACGGTTTTATTATATTTTATTATTATTTTTGCAACGACAAATTTTTAATTGCCAGGTGATTAATCACGGTGATGAGTTACTATGAGCACACTATAAGTAATTCGTGATTCTTCGACGAGTTTCTCTATCTTTCTGACTGCATGTTCTCAAAGACGAGCATCATCTACCGGTAGACTCACTACAGACCCACGTAAACTCCCACCATGACCACAAACTCGCCAATCATTTTTACCGTATCGTCCGTTTAATTTTCCCCGCCACTAATTAATTTGAAGTTATGCGCATGCGCGGACGCTTGCGCGGGAAGAATTAAAATGCGCGCGGTTTTACCCTATGAACAGTGAACAGAGAACAGAGAGGGAATTTAAGTTTTTACGGACGAACAAATAAAGACAAAGGCATGGAACTGAATGTAAACACATGGAAGGCGTGATCTCACGTGCTGGAAATGACCAATAGGAACCACTAGATTATCTACGTGTACCAGTAACCGAGAATAACGCTAAATCAAATATAATTATTGATCAAATATCTATTTAAGCTATCGTCAATCTTCTTCCTTTATTTTGTCGGTCCATCAGCTTTGAAAAATATAATTGTTTGGAATTATTCATGGAACTGGTCGGAGATGGAGCGAGTCATTTTTCCGGAATTCAAGAACAGGATCGTGAACTTTTTATCTACCGCAGAATAGGTTAGTAAAATATTAATGCACATGACGTATGAAATAAAACCACGTGTATGTACACATCACGCTTGCACTGACTGTATATTGTTGCTGGAATAAGTTTATGTTTTCCTAGAAGACCACTGCATGTGAATCATGATACAATTGTCGGGAAAACTCGAGGATAAGCCACTGTACGACGCGTCATTTATAGTTCAAGGTAAAAAAAGTTTAACAGAGAGGGGCACTAAATAGAGGGAAATAACAACAGCTGAGATAAAACGGACAAAATTATCACCGCACCGGTTTGTTTGTTTTTTTCTTCATCAACACACTTGGGTGATGAAACTTAGCAAATCGTTGGCTCACTTTTAATTGCTAAATAATGGCCTGCTAAATTTCTTAATTTTATATAACTTAATTTATTAATTGAAACAGATAATTTGCTTAATTAATGTTTGTTTATAATTTTCAGATAAGATAAGTCTTTTCATTAATTGTCTGTATAATCAAAATATTTTTATTATCTGGTTTTTTCTATAAGAATTTTGAAGCTAAATTTCTTCTTTATTTTTTTAAAATACAACAAATTTGGAAAAAAATATCAAACTTGGTGTAAATTAACATTGTAAGTATTTAAAATTTATAATTTTAATTTATATTCGAAATGATTTAATATTTATTTCTAGACATTAATAATAAAATGTTGCTTGAAGATGATATACTAATTACAGCAGAATTAAAACTTATAAAAAATATGTTAAAATAATTTTGATCATCAATAATATATTTTTTGTTAATATTTTCAGAATACGCTCTCTGGAAAGTCCTTGAAACCTGCAATATCTCAAAAAATTACGCAAATGTGTGTAAAAACAAATTAATCCGATAATTATAACAAAAAAATAATAATATACATATTATATTTATGAGAAAGTAATTTATAAAGTTATTTAGCAAAAAAATTGAGCAACATTGTTATTAAACGGCGTTATTGTTTCTGTATATAATATGAAATTTAGGAATAACTGTATAAATAGTAGACTAGATGTAGAAGAATGAAGACGTGAGAGGATGAGCCTTGAGGAGGAGAGAAAAAGAGGTATGGTACTTTTACAATCAAGTATGAGGATGATGAATAAAATTTGGAACCGTTACTCGCCCCGTTACTTTTCCTCCTTTTAAATCTTTATAACGTCCCCAATATATGCATATATATAAACATATATCCAAATAGAACGAACCTCAATAATTATCCTCCAGTTTTAAAGGTAAATCTTTCACTAGTGCAATTAATAACTATTACTAAATAATAAATAACGAAAGATAAATGACTTATAAATTGCCGAGTGATGTAATAATTACATAATTCAGATTACGGACGCTTAATTATATCGATGAGCTATTGTTTACCTTATTAAAGGGATCAACATTCTCACATTGTTACCTGGATGTAGCTTACGCAATTTACTGGAGAAGTGGATTAATTATTAATAGATAATAATGCCTAAAGTCGTCAAGCAACGTTCAAAAATTCGATCGATTTAATGTCTGGGTATTATTAATAAATCATAAGATGATTAATTATTTAAATCTTATTGATTAGCTAATTTAAATGTTAATGATCTCTTAATTAGTATAATTCTAGTATCTAAAGGTCTATTCAATTTTATTTTGTATGAGCTATTAATTATCGAGTGTTCTATTTCGGTAAAGTTTATATTGTTGTATAGAGAGGTATAATTTTTTTTTAAAAAGCTAAACGCCCACCTTAAGACGTAGTATTTTTTTTATAACCGTCGGTCTTTGTTATCAAAGGCGACTAATTCATTGACATGACTTGGAAAATATCCAAGCCCTCTTGAATCGTCATTGTCTTTTCTTCTTTATGAAATAATTCGCAACAATTATCATCTCCCGTTTTACTGTACAAACTTATACATATTTATTTTAGACTTTATGTACAAGCTTATTTTTATTTATTTATTTATAATGTTATTTTTACTTTTCTTTTATCACCGTGAGGTCGTGAAATTGAGTTCGATGGCACCGAAGGAAGTGGCAACTATACGACACTCAATGATATTATTAAACAAAAGAACATTATTTAAGAAAACTGCGCGTTCATAAAATTGAGGAAATAAAAAATATCAATTGATAATACTTATTGCCAATAAAAAAAAAAAAAGTCTCTTGGAGCCGGATAAGAAAAACTGCGCACTTGATATTTGTTTTGTTGTTTTGATAAATAAAATAATTAAAATATTTTTGTTTATCAAATGATTTTGTAATGCGGGGAAATTTTAAAACAATCTTTATGTCATTAGCGATTGTTATCAAAACATCAATGACGAACGATAATTACAAGTAAATATTTAAAAATAATGAATGTATTTGTATATAAATAAATATATAGACTTTTTATATTGTAGCTTTCTTTATGGCATTAATCCAAGTCATCGAACGTGGACCATATTTCTAAATTTATCGTTAAGGTTGTTGGCCTCGCAAAACTTTACCCGGGTTCATACAACCGCAATGTCGTACAATAATTTTTAAATAAAGAAAAAACAGTTTAAATAAATAATCCGAAAAGAAGGGCGTCATAAATTCGCGATAAAGTATTTAAAAATGGACGACGATCCAGTCAAAGACTTTTCGAGGTAAGGTCTCTATCCGAAATATAAATTCATTTACCAAGGCCGTCAACATTTTTAAACTTAGTATAGTCTGGATGATATTTTGAATAATTATTAATGATAATAAAATTATTTTAGCTAAATTTATACAAGTGAAGAAATAAATATAAGAAGAACATCGCATGCTGATATGATAACAATTGAGTGGATTCTACAGCTGATTATTTTCCTGGTATGTTTCATTTTAAAAATAATATTACCAATAAAACAGTTACAAACAGCTCAGATGATCTGATGACTGATATTAACATTAAATAAATCTATTCATTAATCCTAACGCTGACGTTACTTGAAAGCGCGGGAATTCTGGTTTTAAGTTTTATTTCCTGGAAATTTATTTATTTAGTTTGTGCTTCATAAATTATGTATTGGCTTGGATAGGTCTAATGTAGTAGTCGATTGAAAAAAAAAAAAAAAAAAAAAAATTAAAATAAAAAACCTATACCTAGGATTATATAGCAGTTAAAGATCTGAAACTTGTCATTGGCAGTTCGCCATGATTTAAGAAGTGCGCAATTTTCACTGGGTCTCTCTATCTTTATTTCCTGTCTTATATACCCGTTATATTACAATTATAATGACTACATAACTAACATTATATCTACATTCTAAATTTCTAAGAAGCTTATATGTATCTAACATTATTTACGTCATTTGACGCTAAAAAATAATTAGCGCAGGGTAAACAAAATAATAAATTTTTTTATAAAAAAACAAATATTTTAATTAAAATTTTTTCATACTAAAAATTAAAATAGAACTCGATAAGAAGATTAAATAATATTTTTTATGATTCACCGGATTTTAAAAAGCGTTAGTCACAATAACCACAGTGAGTCACTACCTTTAACCGATCCGAATTATTGGAATTTATTTATACTAAATAAATTATTGAGTGTTTTCAGGTGGCCAAATTACTTTTAATTAAACAAAGAAAAGATGATACTGTAGATCAATATATATATATAATAATAGTAATAGAGCCACGTGTATTGACACGCGCGCTTTCAGATGTCGTAATGAATAAACAAACTGAATTATTAATTCAATATAACCAAAGATGAATAATTTAAAAAATAAACAATTAATGAATTATACTTATCTATTTATCTCAAAACGCTTACCTGAATTTTCTAAAATCCGCGGAACGTCTTCCAGATTCTCCAATAAAATCATCTTGATTTTAAATCAAGTTATTTAGGTGAGTTGAATTTTATTATTTTATATATTTAATATTATTATTATAATTATTGCAATAAATAATTATTTTAAAGTTCCACTTATTCAAGTAACTGGTATATGAGCACGTGTTTCAGATTTAATGCGTTGAAACAGCGACAATGACATTGATTGATCCACATTTGTTGAAATCACAAGATAAACTGAACTCTGAAGCAGTTGGCGTCGACGTCTTCCTCGTCTTGAGGGTACTCTTCGGTTGACGTTATTGTACCAGCGCCGAGGATAAAGACACATTGAATTGTAACTACGTCAGTTAAGCTTTGCTGAATAGGAGGTGGTGGTCTTGTACAAGCAGAAGAAGAAGAAGAAGAAGAAATGAAGAAAGAAGAACTGTATTACACGACAACAACGTATGTACTGTACGCGTGCAAGTTTGTAGCCACACGATCAACGATGTAGATGCTGCTGGCTCTATACTTGCTAGTGATGCTGCTGAGCAGAGGTTCTGTGTCATGTCAAGTGACAGAGATAAAACGTGCGACGTAAGAGAGAGAGAGACGCGTAATTCCTGTGCATGCTATCTCGGTCAGCGTTGAGTACTTGGCTGTATAGTATGTAATAAATGAAATGTACGTGTAAGTATCAGTGTATCAAATACGAGTTGTATGTATTTTTATTGCTGTGTATCGCTTTATTTACTTTGAGTCATTAGTCTTATTTCGAGCTGCTTTACTGAACTCTTTTATTTGCTCAAGCTAATTGTTTGCATTACGAATTTAAATATTATGCATATTAGATTTAAGATTTTGGCACGGATAAGAAAGGTAGGTCGTGGTAGAGGAAACCGAGACAAAGAAGATTCGGAAGAAGCTATATCCAATCGCAATGTCAAGTCTGGAGATAAAAAAAATAAATATTAATAAATTGTGGTCGTCAATCGAAAATGAATTGACAATAAAAATTAATTAACTAACTTGTGTATCTAGCTTTGTTTTATTAAATTTATTTTAAATATTTTTCCTCTCAGCGGATGTCCTTGTTTATTGATGGGTGATCAAACCAGTCAGCACTTGATGCGTCATTAATATCAATGCGATCATTATTCTTTTGCTTTGATTTATTATTCATTAGATACTCGTGTCTGAAAAGAGAAAAAAGAAGATAAGTATGTGATAAATATCCTGTTGTACTCTAGTGTAAACAAGAGCAATCATTAGTTTTTTTTTTTTTTTTTTTTTTTTAGTCAGTATTGTAGTTTTAAGGGAAAAAAGAATTTAGATAAATATAAACAATCAATCATTATTGTAAATAACATTTATGCCAAGCTTTAGTTTTTACAATGTTATTATGCAATAATCTGACCATAAAAGTAATGCGTGGAGTTGAGTGAGAATTGTCTTAGGCAAATGTTCGGATGATAAATTGACAAATTATAATTCAATGATAAATGAAGTAAATAAAAACAATCGATACTTTTAAGGACCTCGAGTTGATACGCTCGGTAAGTCGTGTCGAGGCGAGTGTTAATCAAACACGGAAGTTTCGCTCGGCTACATAACGAATGACAATGCTGAAGTTTTAATAATATTATATGTTATAAGTTATACTTTATTTTAATTACAGCATGTACTTACGATATGATGCTATCAATTGTTGTGAGATTGAGATATATATGTTTTGATTCGATGACAGAGGAACAATGGATTGTTGAAAAGACCTGCCGATTTAGTAGTCGTTTCTTGATTTGGAGACCAAGGTCGGCCTTCAGACTTGATAAAACATCTTTTTTTTTTTTCAAACATTTTTTATTATCTAAAGTTGAAGAAATAAGGAAAATTCAGATAATTTTATTTTAAATGTTAAATTTTTTTTATTAAATATCATTGAATCTTTATCTAATTATTTTTACAAATATAACTACAGTAAATATAATCTTGTGTATTTTAGTATCACATTTTGTAGTCAAGGTACTTGTTTTTTTAGTTAATTATTTTAAAACTAAAACTTACTTTAATTATATAATCATTAAAATAAAAAAATCATTAAAAAACTTAATTGTACACATAGCATTGATCATTCAATATTAATTAAATATCTATAATTTGTAAAAAATATAATATAGTTCACTTAAAAAATATAGAAAATTAAAAATATTAATACATTAATCTTAAAAAATAATAAATAAATAGCAGTCTTATTAAAAAATAAGTAATTAATTAAAAATTTGAATAAATAAACATAAATAATTCTATAGAGCTTGAATAAGAGTAGAAAAATCATCATTATTTAAAAACTTAAATATATAATCAGTCATTTCGATTGGTATTCCCGGGAAAATTCTGTAAATATAACGTTTCTTAGATTCTTCAATCATTTTCATCCTAGCTGAAGCTGCAACCAAGTTTCGTAGAATAATACCACCATAAGTGGGATATACCTCCAAAATATTAATAGATTGAATAATTTTATTGATTATTGGGTTTCGCTTATAAATAGCCATCTCATGTGAACTTTTAGTGAGTAGGCTATAGAATGTGAGATTACAAGCAATGTATTTCTTCTTCAAGTCGTTTAACTCTTTACACTCTTTCTTCATAACATGGGCTATAATATCGGGTGTAATAGCCTTTGCCCGACAGGCGGAACAGTTGAAGCAAGTTAATTCAAAATGGAAGTATTTATCAAAATATAGTCCGGCTAAATGCAAAGAAATAACTCGTATAAAAGTTAAGTTCACTATTTCAACTGCATCAGGTGGTCCTATGGAAGTTAATTTTTTTATAGGCAGCATATCATTTAAACACCGCAAATTGATATCAGCACCATATTTTAACAGAATTTTAAAATTGCGGGCGTTACCAAGTTCGCAGGCCACGTGAAGCGGAGTTTCACCTTTCAGATTCTTTGCATTAACATTAGCACCGGCTTTTAGAAGTAATACTGCAGATTCAGAGCCTGTTCTAGCGAACCGATTTTTTTTGATAGAGCAAAATATCGGCGTAGCGCCAGTAGCGTCAACAGCATCGACGTTAGCACCATGTTTGATTAAAAATTCGATGATCCCTAACATTCTAGGACTCCCGTGATTGATTGCCAGATGAAGTAAAGACTCTTTTGACTCCCGTGTGAATTTATCTAATGCATTGACATTTGCTCCATATTTCACGAGGTTTTCCCAAATGATTAAAGATGATACATCGTATGATAAAACAAAATTTAAAATACTGCGGCCACTTTTATCTAAAACCTTGGTATCAGCCCCATGTTTCAACAGAATGAGAACCATTGATTCTTTATTATGCTTGATTGCGTATTGCAAAGGGGTTAATCCACTTTGCATGACTGTGTTTATATCAATACCATGTCTTAAGAAGACATTGATAACTTCTTCATCAGCTGTGAGTAAAGCAAGATTAAGTGGCGTTGCTCCATCTTTGTTAGTGGTATTAATGGAAGAGCCCTTTTCCAAAAGAAACTCAACTACCTCAGCATTAAGTTTCATCGCTGCAAAATGAAGCACCGTGAACCCAAGATAACTTTTAGCACTGGAAACCGCGTTTACAGCAGCTTTATGTTCTACAAGGCACTTAACGACGGGCAAGCAGCTACTGAACGCTGCCCGATGCAGTGGAGTCAATCCATCTTTAACAAAATCGACTTCCAGACCTTTATCCAGCAAATTCTGGACAATAATCACGCTGGATTTAGCTGCGCTGTGCAGCAGTGGATAATTGAGCCATTTTGAAGATGACAGATCGACATTTTCCTGGAGTAAAATTAACTCGACGATGGAAAAGTGCTCAGAATCAGCGGCAAGGTCAAATGGAGTTCTACCTTGAGAGTTCAAAGCATTGATATCCGCACCACGATCAAGTAAAGTCTTGACGATCCCCTCGTACCCATTTGAAGCTGCTAAGTGCAACGGAGTATCGGCCTGAAATTTGTTTTTATTATTCATTTTGACGTCGTTAAACGTTAATACGTACTCTGCTAATTTTTCGTGCTGTTTCTTGAGAGCTTCACAGAGGAGAACATAACCTTGTAACCACAATTTAAAGTATCTTAAGCCATGCTTTTCTATAACTGCTCTGGCTTTATCTATTTTTCCTTTACGTATGTCACAAATTACGTCGTATCCTAAATTTCGACACTCACTTAGTTTTCTTGATGTCATTTTTATTAAAATTTACTTTATTATCACTTTAGGTTCCACCGAATAATATATACAACGTGTTTAGAAGTTTAAAATAATGTAAGTCGTAATGACTAGATTTAAATTTATACGGACCTGGTCGAAGAGACACGATCTTTGGCGACATTCTACGAATGTATCCGAATGTTGAATTAATCCGCGAAAATTTAAATTTTTATTTAGAAACTCGACAATAAAAAAAATAATTTTGTATGGTTTATATTTTTGATTTTTTCTTGAAATAATTAACTTGATAGAAAAAAACAAAAAATCTTGAATTTACACTAATTTAAATATCACAAAATATTTTTGTTATTCACACAAAATCATATAAAATTTTAAAGCCTTGTAATTACTTAAACTATTCTGACGCATTTGCATCAAATTATTTTCAGAGTTTAAAATTACTCAGAATTACAAAAAATAAAACCCATTGCAATATTTTGAAAAAAAAAAAAAAAAAATTAGTCATCGATTTTAAAATCGAATTCGACAAAATTCGCGTATTTTTAGAACGTTACGAAGTAAACAATTACACTTACTGCGTCACAGTCACATGATTATTTACTGTATGTATTTTTATCATTGCAACAATCCGCGACATCTTATTTCACTTTTCAAAAATTTACATCATTTATCAGAAAATAACTTTTTTCTGTTTTATAAATAAATAAATAATGTATGTATTACATGAATGAAAATATTACTATCACAATTTTAAACAAAAGCGCTTAAAAAAATAGCTACTAGCGACTCTCTTTACTTACAAACTTTCATAAAAATTTCCAAACAAAATTTTACAATATTTTTCCAGATAAAATTAATTATACAAAAAAATGTATAAGATAAAAAAATTATTGAAAACTTTAATTTCATGTCACCAATGCAAATAAAAAAAAAAATATTGTAGGTTAGAGAAATTTCGAGAACTACGGATAAAGAAGAACTGCGCCGACGCCATATTAACAACTCACACAAAGAAGCTTGACACTTACGCAACATTATCGACAAAGTTCAGCTGAAGCGTGAGAGTCAGCCCTCAGTTTTAACGTGAATACTGAAGAGAATACTTCAATAATAAACTTTAAACTTAATCTAATCAAATCGGATAATCATGCCACGACGAGGACGTGCATCTGGACCTCCACCAAGGACGTAAGTAATTTTACACATTTTATTTTCATACTTTTGACTTTTTACCAATTTTTCGAAAAAAAAAAACATGAAAGTTATTACTCTAAATTAATAAACGACTCATTACGTCACAGTCACAAGGTCCATGGTCGCGGACAACAATCTATTAGACGAAAACCTACAACTTTTAGATTAAAAACTACGTAAAAAAATTTCATCATATTGCTCAATATAACAATCTTAAAAAATGAATTTAATTTTTAGAGTTCGACCAGCAGCTAGAGCTTCACCAGCTCCAGCTCCAGCAGCAAGAGCTGCACCACCACCATCTTCGGTGCCAGCACATGCCCCACCATCTGCACCATCTCCAATGATGGCCCCGTCTCAAGGGCCATCATTGATGGGACAAATGGCAGCTACTGCTGGAGGAGTCGCTATTGGACACACTCTTGGACACGCCATGACTGGATTATTCTCTGGAAACTCCAGCGAAGCTGCTGCTGCTGCACCAGCTGCTGTTCCCGCAGCAGCTCCTCAGCAGAGCATGGCATCCACTCCTGGTGGCGCCTGTGCCTGGGAAGTTAAGCAATTCTTGGAGTGCGCTCAGACTCAGTCAGACCTCACACTCTGTGACGGTTTCAACGAGGCTTTACGCCAGTGCAAGATGGCTAATCGTTAGTATAATTTAATATTTATTTATTAATATAATACTAAAGTAAGCCGACGTTTTTAATTTTTTGATTATTTTTCATTTACTAAATTAGAACTAAAAAATATTTTTTTAAAATTGCACTTATAGTTTTTCAAGTTTTTTACAAATGAATTTTTTTTTTTTTTTATTTTTTTGGAATGATTTTTTCAATAGAAAAAAAATTCTAAAAATTTCTAAATGTCGGCTAACTTAATATTTATTTATTAATCAGTGTGTAAGATTTACGTATTTAAATGCAATCAATAAATTTATATTTTATTTCTTTTTACAGACATCTAAAATCATAGTAAATCTTAGGACATAGACACAACACATCAACAATAAAGATTATAAAGATCTAAAAATGCTGACTATTCGTAATTGTTATAATTGGAGTTCTGTAATAGAATTTGGAGAATAAAATTTAGTTAAAATTAATTATCAATAAATTTTTTTTCAATAATCATCACTTCTGATTCAATCAAAGATAATTGGAGTTTAAATTAAAGTCATTGACAATGAAGGAAATGATAGACCTGATATCTTGTTATCATACTGGATAAATCCAACGTAAACCAAACAGTGAGGGATATATTTGTGAAAAACGAGTTAAACAAAAAGAAAATAGAGTATATATAGTAACCGCTAATCATTATCTGAATAAATTATCAAGGTTAAATGTTGAGAGATAATTGATTGTAATCAATATTGTGTTTACAAATAAATTAATGCGTGTAATTTATTTTCGGAGTTAATAAATTGTTAGTAGACAATTGTTATTTTTTTGATTTTTAATTAAAAAAAAGTAATTTGGATTAGGAGGTAAAATAAAAATAAAAACGTAATGGGATAATAGAGTATTTTATTAACTTAACGCGTGCTTAAGGATAAGGTATCTTTAAACAAGTGGTTCTGTACGATTACGAGGGACGAAAAAAAATAAAATATAATGGTAGACTATCTTTTTTCTGAATTGAAGACTTTCATCATAATAAAACCAGCAACGGTAGCTGCTGCAAGTCCTAATCCAGCTTTCCACCAAACTACTGAGTCGCCTTGCATCAATCCGAACTGCTTCATGTGTCTGCAATAAAAAAGCACAATAAATCAATATTGTCCCATATTTGAATTTTTAATTTTTATTAAACATAAATTATTGTTGTCGTGTAATTAACTTTATTTATTACAGGACAGCAGTTTCTGTTAAAGTAAATAAATAGTTTGTTGATAAGCAATGTTCAGGCTTGTGAAAAATAATTGTTTCTATAAAATTAATTTGTAAAGCTTGGGAAATAAAAGGTGTATTCAAATTAAATGATGATTCGTTTGTTGATGGCATGCACATGCCACACACCCACCCAGTAAAATTAATAAAGTTTTGTCTAAATTAATAAAACAATAAATAGTATTAAAATATATATGTCTGTTTTTTTTTAATGATAAAGGCAAACAGAGACCTTGTAAAAGAACTCCACCATTGACTTGGTGAAGGATTGTCAAGCAACATGTGGACCATACGTCGAAAAGTGCTGAAAAGAGTCAGTTACATTGAGTCAATGGTACATTTAATGATATCGTTTTTTTTTTTTTTTTTTTTTTAATTATTAATAGGCGACATGGGGTGTGTGATTGTTAAACAAAAAATAAAGAAACAATTTAATAAGCCTGTACAATAGCTAGTAACGTAGAAAATTGTTTTGTTTTAATAAATAATTAATACACAATTACTTGATGAATTGCTTGTAAGTCTATTAACGTGCCTATATAAGAAAAAATTAGCTATACAGTGTATAATTTTAACCAACCTGTGTTTGTAAAATAATACCCACGCTGCTTGAAAGCGGCTAAACACGAAATTTCCGTTAGTCTCTTCTCATTGTACTTTCAAATTATTTATTCATTTTTATATTAAAAAATTCAAACGCGAAAAAATTCTAAAGCATTCAATGGTGAATTTATGAGCGAAATAATTTGTGTACTTGAGGGACAGCAAATAAATTTATCAACTTGGGGGAAACATGAGTCTACGGGTAATTTATAAATTTTTCAACCGTCTTAAATTTAAGGAAGCAATCTATCAGTATTTTTTAAGCATTCTTATGCAATAAGAATCAGAAAATAATTGAATTTATAAGTATTTTTAATTTTTAATAATATTTATAAAAAATACTTACGGAAATGCTGCCATTGTTGCTAATTTAACAAATATTTCAGGCCTAACTATTCGCGTAACACTGTACGGCTGCGGTGGCATCAATTTGTACTTGTTACAAAAGCTTGCTGGTTGCAGTAAATACTCTTGTTTGATTTCTGACAAATCACTTTTATTCGCTATTATTAATACAGGTATTTTGCTATCAGCAAAATATTTCTGTAAAAAAATTCCGTTATAATTTTAATATCTTCAAAAATATATAATAATTCTAAATTAAAAAAAAATAATAATAATACTTACAATGTAAATTCGCGCAATGTATTCAAAAGATTTGGGATTACTTGCATCATATACAAGTGCTGCTGCATCACATTGAATTTGTGCGGGAGTCAAGGCATCTTGAACGTTCATTATATTTATATCCCGTAAAATAATTGTTTTTTCTTGGCCATAAACGTGTACTGTATTTGCCGTTACATTTGCATTCGATGGTACATTATCATTCTTTAATTTCTGTAAGAAAAAATAATAAGCTTTCATTCTACAATTTTTGTTTTTATGTCTAATAAAATAAAACAATTAAATAAAAATATGTACCTCAAGTTTAGGATCAACAAAACTTCTGCACAGTGTCGTTTTACCACTACTCTTTGGTCCAATTACATGACAAGTGTAAACATTACGACTGGACTGCTTTTTAGCGAGATCTAATTTTTTCTCTCTTGTAACAGTCACTGCACTCGTTTGACATTCATCATTAAATATATTATAACCGAGATACGCCATGTATTCGAGTGTTTTACGTACATTGGTTAGAGTTATTAGTGCCCATTGACACATGTATCCTTGATAAGTTATCCAACCCTAAAAAAAATATTACAAGTACAATATAATAAATTATATTAATATTAATAAAAACTACTAATGATAGTAAATTAAAAATTAGCTTACCTTCTCATTAGTCGCTACTGTATATTTATACTCATCTCCCCATGGCGGAGTTACGCAACGCGAAAACAATGATTCCATCTCAGAGGGTGATAAAGCACCGTCACGATCTCTATCATGCTGCATAAACAATATTGTTAAAAATTCTTGTCCCTTGTGAGACAACTCCGTTGTACATCCTTGCGGTACTTTCAAGCTGTAAATGATACCATAAATTATAGACCGGTGAGTAAGAGATGCGTCATACAGAGTTCAGATGTATTTTTTTACATCTAAATTAACGTAATATTGTCAACTTAATAAGTTATTTATTTATATTGTAAATCCTGAGGTCTGCTATGAGTAGCATGGCATTATTTATCCATCTAAAATATTTATCCAATTTTTTTTTTTAGTAATTTTTAAATTTTTTCAACTATGTCTCTTTATTTATGATCAATAAAAATTAACTTTAAAAAGAAAAAAAAAAAAAAAGATACGTCATATAGATGAAAAATATAAATAAATAAAACACTTACGGGGGGTGAATATACTCTTTAGACATTTGTAATTCATTGTCATAGCCGAATTTTCTCAAAGCAGCCCATGTTGTTTCATTTCTCCCACGTTGTATAAATAAACACTGCAAATACATGAAACCTTTCATAGTAACACAGCCGTTGCAAGTACCATCGCTGATATTTTTTGAAAGAACTGCCTTGACGTCTTCAAGTACTTGTGGCTGCAGTGGTGTATTAAAACACGATTGTTGAAAAGCATTTAGCTCCAAGTCATTTAATAAACCGTCATTGTCAAAGTCACATATCTAAATAAATCAATCAATTTAATAAATTATCATCAGTTAATATAATAATAAAATAAATATATATAAAATTTATAGTCCTTACTTTAAATATTCTTTGTAAAGCGACCTTACATTCTTCAGTAAGCTGTAAAAAATAAAACCAAGTTAGATAATTACGGTAAAATAATTAATATAAAAAAAAAAAAAAAAAATGTAAATAATAAATTACTTCTTGTGTACTGTCATTGTAAAGTGGGGTTGTAGGATGAAGTACAGCTTTTTGTGCATAATAAAACATTTCGGAAATATTTTGTAACGTTTTAGCAGAGCACTCAATGCAACTTTCAACCTCCGAAAACTCCTTCATAATCGCGTGGTACGCTTCAATATTTGAGTAGTCAACAAGATCTATTTTATTTCCAACCAGCACCACAGGACATCTATTGCTGGAGGAGTACTTTCTGATAAGCGGTAACCAGTAATTAGCAACCCTGTCAAGTGTGTCATCGTCATCGACAGCATAAACTACACAAATTACATGGGCTTTTTGAATTTCTTCTTTCAGCTGATCATCCGTCTGCTCCGTAGCTACAAAAAAATACAACAAAAATATTCGATAATTAATAAACAATTAACATAGTATTATAAATAATGATAAAAAAAAAAAAAAAAAACACCTGACATCTTAAACAATGAGCAGTTAATTGTTAACAGTAAACAGACAACAATACTCACCAGAATAATCAACAATGTGTGTGGGAACCTGCTCAGGCGTAACATCAGCAGGTATTGTAATTTCTTCAGCCTTCTTAGGAACGTCCTCAGCATACTCCTCGCTGACCAACGACAGAATCAGGGAGGTCTTGCCGACTCCTTGATCGCCGATCAGGAGTATCCTGACATTACGTCTCGGTGCAACCGGTCGTTGTACCATGCTTGTTCGTTTTGGAACCCGGGCACTAGCAACTCAACCCACAATCCATCAAGCAAGCTTAGGTTTAGGTTCGGTTTCCTTACTGTACACCCAAGTCCATCCTCCAAGTCCTTGGAGTATTGAGCACTCACTCAAGCTCTGTTTCCTTAACCTCGGTACATCTAACCTCTTTAGTTCGTCGCAACCAACCGAGAGTGGGAACTAAACTAGACTATGTAGTGGGTAATTATATATGATAACGCACTGGTGCTGGTGTACGTGCTGCTGGTGCTGGTGGGTTCAGCTTTTCTTGACTCCCGTTGTACGTGTTATCTCGTCATAAAAATTCGTAGTAAACGCGCGCAAATCCAAAGCACTGTCAATCATCCGTGCACTCCACATTAATTAACACTCCACTATAATAAATCTATATTTTTGTCAGATAAATATTTAAATAAAGATAAAGATAAATATAAATAAAAAAAAAATATTTAAAAACTCCGACCAAAAATTTGACCTTTTTGCAACCTTTATTATCCTTCTATCCAATCCAGTCACTTCGCTAACCTACCAGCCAAAGCCAACATGCTCTCGCTCGCTTACTTTAGCCAAAGCCGTGAGCCGTACCAACACACTTACGTCGTACGGACTGTACACAATTTACAGTGGCGCATCCTATACATACGCAAGACGGTTGTGTGATAGTGCGAGAAAAACACACCCCACATGCAGAGAACTCTCCGTGGGTGGTTGCGAATACGTAGACAGGCGCTTCACACACCATCCAGGGGGTAGTTTAGTCGGAGCTGATTTCAAGGTTAGGAATGCCGACAGAGACATGTTATTGAATGAGACCTGGGGAAGAAGAGAGATGGAACTATTGTATATGTCAAGAACGTACACTTCTGTGATTTGGTATAATTCTACATGTTTCTCTCTTAGATTGTGCGCAAATCCATCGATCCTATATAATAATAATAATAGTAATTGTAGTAATAAATTGTTTCTTCAAATTCCAGGGCCAGACGAGCGACCTTAGGTCCAAGACTTAGATTTCAGGATTTTTTGCGTAAATCACAAGAAGTTTTCTTTTTATTTTGAATATTGAAAACTGCCGAAGATGATTTTTTATTTTTGTAAAAATGAAGCGGCCGTAGACAATTTTTTAATCTGACAAATGATGACAATGAAATTAGCAGACACTTGGCAACTTTTTAATTTTTTTAATAAACTAAGTATAGAAAATTACATTTACAATTTTTTAGTTTCTAAGTATGAAATTTTTTAATTATTAGATGTCTTTCAATTATAAAAATGAAGTTAGCCGACATTTCAAATTTTTCAGGAATTTTTTATTGGAAAAATTTCAATTAAACAATTAAAAAAAAAAAAATTTCACTTGTAAAAAACTCGAAAAACTATAAGTGCAATTTTTTATAAATATTTTTTTAGTTGTAATTTAATTAATAAAAAAAATCAAAAACTTTTAGACGTCTGATAATTTCAGTGTCATTCTCAATTTCACTATCAAAACAAATGAAATGTCAATAAAAGGAAAATAGAATCTAAATTGAAATTAAGATAATTGGAATATATCTTTTCAATCATTTTCGGACGATATTATATTCGCTTATCTAATATCATTAATTGCACACATATTATTTTTAAGTGATGTTTCTTCCGGTGAAAGCTCAGAGTTATTTATAATGATCATTTAGAAAATTTATGATGTGGAAGAATTTTTTTTTAGTAGATTTCAAAGTTTATGATGATGAAAGTCGGGCAATATTGTTAGTCATGCTAATTATTATCGATTAGAACGTGGTTAATTATTGTATTAACACATTCTTCGCGAAGAAATCATCGCATGGCCTTAAAGTCACAGGTGCGCATATTATAGTATATAATAATTTATAAAATAAAATTAAAAATAATTTCGAAAATAGTAATCCAATAAAGAAGACTAATACATTTTTTATTTCGCTAATTACTTTGTACTTAAAGACATTTTTCAAAACCTTCATAATTTTCTTTTTTGCTTCTGAAAGTTAAAAAAAAGTCATACGTTAATTATATTCAATATCTTACCGTTCAATTTTTGGAATATGTCACAGTAAATTTAAAAAAATTGAAATTTATAAGCTGAAAATTTTTTTTAAATAAACTTCTATTTTTTACAAACCTTCAAATTTTTCCATCTTTTCTTTGAAGTGTTAAAATTTTTTAAAAAACACCGCGCACGCGTGTCTACAAATGCGCACGCATTTGAACCGTTCGATTTTTTTATTAAAAAAAAAAATGATAAAAAAACAAAATATACCTTAGGTTAAAATAACGTCATACATTGACTCATCATAAATTTTTTGGACAAGTACTACGTCTCAATAAATGTAGTAAGTCTGACTTGACATACATAATAATATGATAGTATAAATATATACATTCACAAAAAATTTTCAAACTTTCAAGTATGTGTCTGTAGATACTTATCTGTGTAGAAAATTACTTAGAATTAATGTATTGAATCGTAGCCACCTTCATAGTGTTAGGTGTATTGAAGTGAATAATAACTTAGCTGTGATTCATGAAATAACCATTTCATTTAATAATTACTCCTATAAAATTCTCCACTATAAAATGCTGTTGTAATTTAATTTTTTTAGTTATTCTGTAGTTAGCATAAAGTGTAAGTTAAAAAATAAATAGATAGATAAAATTATTATAATTAACCTCGTGTTAATTATCGGCAATAAGTACTTGTCAGAGAGTAAATACTACAAATTTATCAAGATGTGTGCAAAAATGGCATTCCAGCATCAAGCTGGCACAGCTATGGAATGTTTGAGTGTAAGTACTGTTTTTAATAATTAATTACTTCGATATTTTTGGGTTGATTTATATATTTTTTATTGAGTACTTCTACCAGTTGAATACTACCTAGCGCTTCATTGATAAGTGATTTGTTTATTCCATCGCAATTGTTATTTATATTAAAATAGATTTTTATTTTGCAGATACCGATAACGCTCCAAAAAGAAACGGAAATTGATGCTCACGGTGAAGAAGTAATGAAATGTGGGTTTAAAATTGGAGGAGGAATAGACCAGGATTATCGGAAGAGTCCTCAAGGCTATACGGATAATGTATTTATTATTTTATTTTAATTATTTTAAGTCTTCATGACTTTGCATTACAGTCATCATTAACTCTGTGATATTTCAGGGCATATATGTGACGGAAGTGCATGAAGGTTCGCCAGCAGCCAAGAGTGGTCTGAGGATGCATGATAAAATATTGCAGTGCAATGGGTATGACTTTACGATGGTGACTCATAAAAAAGCAGTCGGCTATATACGAAAGCATCCTATATTAAATTTATTAGTGGCACGAAAAGGCGTCACTAGTACCTAAATTATTGAAAAGAAGATGATACTTAAAAAGCTTTGTGCAGTTATCATTAAAATCCTTCCATTAGATGAGAAGAGACAGAAGAAATGAACTTAATTTGAAGATTGTATAGACTGTATCTTGTTAATTATTGTTACCAATGATAAATGATAAATCCTAGCCATTCGATCGAGATACTTTCAGTAAAACTCATCTCATTCCACGACTATAACCAACTCATTCCATACGTACTTTTAAACTTGTTTTTTAATCACTTTAAATAATGTAATAGATAAATAGAGAATTACCAAAAGAACGGGCAATTTTAATAAGTTCTGCTATATTAAATTGCTCTGTCCATTATAATATACACAACCAAATGTTAAATTTAAGAGTACTTATACATTTTTTACATATACATCAATATACTCAACATTTTTCTGTTTTAAACATGTTAATGAACTTGCATTTTTTTTTTATAACTCATTTATTCAATTGTAATTAAAAATCGACGATCAAAATGCAGTTTAAATAAATAGAATTCAGTATAACGAATATCAATACTTTTACTGCAAAAGAAATAAATTTTTCATGACCTTATATTATTATTGATAAACGATTTATAATTATTGATTAATTAATAAGGCCAAATTTTTATAAAAAGCCTTACAAAAGGCTGACTTTAGATTTTATGTAATGTTAAACATCGAATTAATTGCGACAATCTTACGAGCCAAATAAATATTCTAAATGTACCATACGCCCTCTTTTTTTATTAACATACTATAAATTAAAAAAAGAAAATTGAATTTATGTTATATTTGATAGAATTTAATTCACTTATATTTGTACTTTAAATTAGAACGAAGAAAAATCGTTAGCGAAATTTCAACATTAAGAGGCTGAAACAGTGGTAAGTAATTTTTATAAATTAGTAGGATTTCATACTATAATTAATTAAGTATTATATTTTATTTGTATATTTATTTCAAATTAACCATTCAAATTTATTACATTATAATCAATGTAATAATTATAATTTTTGTGCTAAAAAATATCAAGTTTTACAATTTTTATTTTCTATCGTTATCAAAACAATAAACTATTATTGCTAAGTTCTTATAATAATAAGATTTTTGTCGTTAAATAAAATACTATTTGATTGCCGTATTTAAATTTATTTATATATATATATTTATAAATCATTTTCCTTTGTTTTTTTTTTTATTTAAGCTTCTTTATAGATTTAGAGTTTTTTTTATCAATTAATAAAGTAATAAAAATGATATCCAAGTTAATAAAATTCACAAGCTCTATTATATTTTTTTTTTAAATTTATTTATATATATATATTTATAAATCATTTTCCTTTGTTTTTTTTTTTATTTAAGCTTCTTTATAGATTTAGAGTTTTTTTTATCAATTAATAAAGTAATAAAAATGATATCCAAGTTAATAAAATTCACAAGCTCTATTATATTTTTTTTTTTTTTTTTTTTGATTTGTTTAAAGTCGCATAAACTACTAAGGTCATGAGCGACTACGGTAGGGGGTAAACTTTTGAGATTGGAACTCGTTTGTATTTCTTGGGCTGAACAGAATAATATACACTTAAATATTGAAAATATTCATTGGTGTACGCCGGATTCGAACCCGGTCCAATGCTTTGATAACAAGGGCCGGATCCGATAGGCTACTGCGCGCCCTTCTATTATATTTATATAATATAAAAATGGATATTTAAATTATAGTAAATTGTAAATAATATAACCCCCCTCCCCAATGAAAACTGATTTCCGAATCATAGCTAATTACTCACACAAGTAAAAATTATTCAATCTTTTACAAATATTTATTCAAATGACAATCGGTTATTTTTTTTAAGTAAAATGAAAAAATGGAATTTAATAATAATAATAATAATAAAATATACTTAGTAATAGTAATAAATTCTTAAAAGATACATTGGATAATTTTTATTTAATTCACGACTCAGCCATCTCCATGCTATCTTCATCCCACTCTTCAGCCAGATCAGAAGACATTTTAGGTTTAGTCTCCTCCTCATTGGCGCTTTCAACGCGTTCAAGATGTTCCTCTTCAATGATCATCATGGGCTCTTGAGCTTGTTGATTTCCATCGTTACTCTGTGATTGCTCTTCATCATACTCGACGATTTCCGTTTCTTCCTCAACATACTGAATAACTTCTTCTACCTGCTCCTGATTTCCATCCTCACCTTCCACTACATTTTGATCACTATGATCAGTATCACCTTCCTCGAGAACTTCTTCAACAACTTCCTCAACTATTTCTTCAGTATCATGACTAGCGACGGTCTGGTAAGTCGCGTAAGCCTGGCTTGACGAGTCGTCAGTACCATGAATGTAAACAATCATTCCTCCTTCTTCAGTATTTTGCATAACTACTTGTTCATTGCTCGAAATATGTATCTGTTGTGGTTGTTGGCTGTGTACCTCCTGTGAAAGTTCACCTTGCTGATAAGTGTCATTATCAATCAGCATAATCATTTGCTGGCCATGACCGTTGAAAGCTTCCTCGTGAGTGATGTTGTTTAAATCCATTTCATTAACTACATAACTTGTTTCCGTGGTATGAATTTCTTGATGATCTGAAGTGATGGTTTCTGTAGTGATAGTATCTCCAACACCTAAAGAAGCGGCTATTCCGCTAGCGACATTGCTGAGCGCTTCGGCTTCAGAAGAAGGCTCTAACGGTATCGAAGGTAACATTTCTGATTCAGCTGGCATAGCTTCCTGTTTTTTATGCTGACAATCAATATGTACACGCAAATTTGTTGATCTGACAAATACCTTGTGACAATAAGGACAACGGAAACCTTTGTCTTTTCCGTTCATAGTTGTTCCGTGACCTGTGTTGATCTCATGATTAGCTAATTCGCTAACATCTTTGAATGCTTCGCCACACTGGACGCATTGGATCTCGTCAGAGACACTTGAGCGTGACAGTGACAACGGGCGATGTTTATGATTGATTTGATGTCTTACGAGCAGTGTTTCGGACAGAGCTACGTAATTACAGGCATGGCATTTGGGGAAAGACATACTCATTGGGGGTGGTACGTTGTGTTTTGTGTACAAATGGTACATCAAAATGTTGCGTTTAGCTGCCTTGTAACCACAATGCTCGCAAACGCGCGGGTCGAATTTTTCATCATGCACATCCTGCATGTGTCTACGGTACATATAATAATTATGATATTCTTCATCTAAATCACATTTGTGACATTTCCAAGGACCTGAATCATTACCGTCATTCTTCTCTTCGCTCTCAGTGGCGTCGGGTATCAAGTGATCTGATTTTAACACCACGTAAGATACTTTTGTCTTGCTCGAAGAACTTTCTGAGGACTTGGGTTCTTTTTGCATTATTTTCAAGCGAATATTCTTGTTATTTTTAACTAGATGCGGATACTTTTTCAGTACTTCTCGAATTATCTTAGCGTGATTGTTAATTGACTCAGGCGAACTCTGAGAAGAATTCTTGCTCTTCTCTAGGTTTTCTTTTTCCTCTAGCTCAAACCGAACGCGTTTAGATGCAGAAGCGCCGTCTTGTGATCTGGAATTAGACTTAGTACTGATCCAGTCATCATCGGAATTATTGTCCCAGTTTTTCTCCTCATCGTCATCGTCAGTGTCATTGCGGCTTGAACGATTCTCGTTTTTTTTATCATTTGAGTCACTAGTAGCTCTAACAATCGGTTTTGTGTTGTATGTTATGTCATCAAACGAAGAAAATACTCCCAGAGCAATGTCTTCCACCTCCGGTAGATCAAACCGTGACGGACCGGAGTTAGCTTCGTTGTGCCTGTGTCCATATGATCCAGAATCATTCATCGACGGAGAATCTATTTTTCTCCTCCAGATAGGCAGCCTGAAAATAAAATTTATTAGTTAAAATAATTATCTATACCCTTGAAAAATAATTAACAAATAAATATTTGCATACTTTCTGCCGGGTAAAGTTGTCGTAGGCATTGTCTGATGAATTGATGTTTTTTTATTCGGACTCACTACTTTTGATTGCAATGACACAGATGTTTTTTCATTAGTAACCGGGCTTGTTTGAAGATTACTTGTATTAAATTGTGCATCTAACAATTTTGTTAAAACTGCCATGTTCATTTTTTGGGCAGTTTTATACAGAGCATTCTGTTCAGAGGTCCAATACTCTAAATGCCCGGTGTACATAAAACTGTTAAAAAAATAAATTAATATTTTTATAACACAATTGTTAAATTAAAATTTTGATAAAAAATTAAAATTTCAAGACGAAATTAGACTTGTCAATAATAAAAAAAAAAAAAAAAAAAAAAAAAAAAAAAAAAAAAAATACAAACCTTATAATAGATTTAACACACTCATAAGGCATGTCAGGTGGCATAACAAGTACGCCATCGTAATCTTCTTTTTCTTTTTGCTTACGCTCTAACTGCATAAAATAATCAGTACACGTCGTGATGACAAGCCGATGTGCCTTTTAATAAATAAACAAATATTATAAAAAATTAAGATCAAGTAAAATCAAATAAATAATGAAATATTTACTTGTACTGTGATGTCACTTGTGGGAAATTTAATCGTAAGATCAAGTAATTCTTCTTCATGATAAAGTTGTTGGAGTCTTTGAAGAAAAAATGATCCCCAGTTGTCAACTTTTACTTGCTTCAATCCCGGTGATTGGGACCGTTTATTCTGAAGTATTGTAGACATAATTGAAGCCCTACAATTTATAATCAATATTAACTGCCAATTACTGAAAAATAATTTATAATAATTGAATTGTAGTTGTAAATATTTATGCTTTCACATATTTATGAGATTAATCTCACGGGTATTCTAGTTTCGAGACGCACTGCATATTTTTAATTGAATAATGACAATAAATAAATAAATGCATAAATACTAATCGTTATCTAAACATATGCATCACTAGATTATATAATAATTAAAAAATAAAAGTTTAATGACATTACCAAAATTATTTTTTTTGTTTTTAAAGTTGAATCTTTTAACCTAAACCAATCATCGGTCGAGTAAAACACAAAAAATTTAGAATAATCACAAATGGAGGAATCCCAAGCAATTAGGCCACGTAATGTATCTCAAGTTGCTGTTATTATCCTAATAATGATTAAATAATTACCACTTATTGATAGGAATACTGTGAAAATATAATATTTATCATATTTAACATTTCTAACCGGTTGTAAAAAAAATGTACTTGATATAGATTTCAATAACTACCAAGAAGCGTACCTTTTCGTTACTTACAATTTCTTTACTATTCACAGTTTCACAGGGCCAGCTCCATCTCTTACAAAAGCTTTCAGTAGACCACCAATCCTGGACAACCCAATTTTCCTTCATTCTAACAGATGGCGGTGTTCTTCTTCTTCGCTTCCAGAGAGCAAGCATCAGTTGTACCAATATTGTAATATTTATAATTTATTTTTTTTTAATTTAAATAAATGGATTTTGCACTCAGCGCCACCACTGTCGTAGTTTTATACTAATAACAGAAATACACATTGTTTTCTTGTGAAAATAATGAATTTATTTATTTATTTTTGAAATAATACACTGTTCTTAACAAGTAAGCATGTCATTTTTATTCATTTTTTTCATTATTGATGAATAATTCATTGTTTTAGTTAATCGCTTTGTTGTGAAACCGGTTTTGTGACGTTATGATACTTAACCTTTAAAATAGTTTTTCAATTATATTTTCAATGTTTAAAAGATAATTTTTCAATTTATAAACAAGAATATTAGTATTATTTATTTCTAAATTCATTTAAAAATGTGTGATGACAACAATTATTCTTTTGAAACTTTGTGTCAGCTAAAGTAGCAGATAAACTTTTCCATTTTTTTAATAATGTTATTGAAATAAAATCAAAATTTTTTTAATGACATTAAAGTTAGCAGTCACTTAACAATTTTTTAATTTTATTTAACAAAAAAATTTGTCCCAAAAAATCAAAAAAAAAAAAAATAGCATTTTTTATTTTTTAAAATTTCTAGATGTCAATTTTTTATAGAATTTTAAAAATTGTTAAATATATGTTAAATTAATTTTCATATTTTTTTAAAATCACTCTTTTAATTTTTACATAATAATATAAAAAAATTATCAAATGTTTATTTATTACTCAGGAAAGTTTTCTTCAAAGGAACAATAAATTTGCGAATGATACTAAAACCAGCAAACGTTTAAAAATTTTTTTCATTAATTAAATTGGAACTAAATTTTTTTTTTTAATTACACTTATAGTTTTTCAAATCTTCTACGTGTAGAATTTTTATTTTTTTGTAATAATTTTTTTAATCAGAAAAATTCTAAAAATTGTCAAATGTCTGTTAATTTAATTTTCTCAATATCCGGTAATTTTTATTATTTATCGAAATAATTTAGAAATTAAAAAGAAAAATTATTAAAGTAAGAATTTCTATGTTTTTCTTTGTATTTTACTCCATTAGCATCTAATTTAATTGCTTGAAATAAAAAACAAATGTAAAATTTTTTATTAATTTATTAAATTTTTTACAAACTAGGTCATTATGTTTAAAGTAAATTTTTTGGAGTACAAACAAACACTGACGAAATTTTTAAAGAAAAAACATTTACGATATGGGATCCCATTTATATTATTTTGTATCGGTGGTTCTTTTGGATTATCACGTGTTACAGATGTAAGGTAATTTAATCATTTTTCTATCATAAATTACTTAGAATAAAGTATAATTATTTTTACATTTTAGGGAACTTAGATTCCAAGACAAAAAATTTAAAACAATTATTTATTAAAATATATATATGTTGTAGATACAAATATAGGAAAGTATCATCGGTAAGAGACGAAGCAAAACACGAAGGACTTAACTTACGAAAACCTGAGGAGCTTACGTTAGAATCTCAGTATGAAAAATTAAAAAATCAGGTAATTAGTATTCAAAAGTAAATTAATTAATTAGCGATATTATAATATTCAATAATATTTATTGTTTACATGAATATTCCACGTTATTTGTTGTTGTGAAATGCAAACAAGTGCGCGAGAGGAAAAATGTTATTGTAAATTATGATCTTATTAATGACTACGTTTTGCGTCAATTAATACTTAGTCATAGACGATTAATCTAATCAACTATATTTGTCACTATATAAAAAAAGTGTTTATGTACGACTAATTTTTTCTTACAGCTTGATATTGACCACTGGGAAAATAAACGGATTGAAAGGCCTTGGGAAGAAGGTGTTGAGAAAAATGCTGAAAAAAGCTAAATATTTTACATATTACTGTGTTAAATAATGTATAGTAAGTACTTTAAGAAATAAAATTTATTATAAAATTAAAGATAATCAATAATAATGTCATAAGATTATTAAAAACTCGCAGCTATAGCTTTATTACAATTAAAATAATTATTTAAATTAAGAATGACAGCAGAGTATTTGACAAAAAAATTACCTAGTCTTATCAACAGAATGTTGTGAAAGTCATAAAAGACGTAACGAGTACACACGTGATAACTTAGTATTTTAAAATTGGTTAAATGGAGTAAATACATTATCAAAATAAAAATAAGAAAAATCGCTTATCCTTTGTCGACAAACAGTAATGTGATAAGTAAAATTTAATAGGTAAACATTGGATACTTAGTAATACTGAAGCATGCTCATAAATTATCAATAATTCAGTAATTCTTGCAAAAATAAATAAATAAGTCATATTTAAATAACAATTCACGGTTCTTTAATTTATTAAGATAAATTATGACCAGTCTTTAAAATAACTCCGTTTAAATTTATTTAATGTAATTTAATAAGTAATTAATGATCAATGTGGCATTGAAATGTCAATGCACCAATAACACTAATTGTAATGACAAGTGTCACATTGCAGGAGGATAATTTCCTCCAGTTAAATACTTCCGACACTGTTGGTCCACCGTAACTATTACGAGGGTAATTTAAACTCATCGTTTGACCGCGGACTAAAATAAATATTGAGAGGGTCCTGGAGACGGATGTCGTGTATGCGTTTAGGGCGCTTATCACAATCACTAGTCCATTATCTACGTGGGACAGTTAAGCTAATTTATTTATTTATTGCGTATTATACATTTTATTAAAATTTAAATGCACTTTCATACTACTCTCTGTCGTTGCAGTATCACATTATTTTTGGATTAAATTATCCAATCAGTAATTACCAATGTATCACAATCAATATGCAACTTCAAAGATGTATCAGTTATTTTTTAACATGCATGCAAATTAGCTGTACAATTTTTTTTTATAATATTATTTTCCTGTTTACCAATACAGACAATTCGTCCATAGATAAAATAACAATTGGTTACATAAATAATGGTTGTTATTTTCATTTGTATTAAAAAAATGATTGGTAACGATAAATCGACTTGTTTATCAGAAAGAAATTAGCAAATAAAAAATGTATTAGATAAAGAAGAAGAAAGCTATAATCTCAACTAGTCAGTGGACTCAAGAGCTGACAATGAATGAAAGAAGAAAAGTGGGTGAATCATACGTCGAGTACATGCTCCGGTCGTATGACTGGTAGGCTAGACCTCTGTTTATTGTTACAATTTGAGTCTGGATGTAAAGTGACGGTATATTGAGATAAAAAGGGGCCACAACACTGTTTATAAATTATTGTAAAAACAAGGACATGCTTAGAACGTACGACACGCAACCATAATAGTTTGACTGATCGGTGGTTCATGTTTAATCATCGTTATGTCATATGCAACGTCGAATCAAGGTTGTATTAAAGCGTGTGCGGTGAGGGCAGTTCTTTAGCTGCGACGGCATTGCTACATAAATAACGCTGGAAGGTAGGAGCTTCAGTATCAAGCTTGGTGTTATCAGTGACAACTTATCGAGTCCGTCGTGAGCATCGTCCATCTACGCTCTTTTTTCGTTTTCACCAATCTATTTTTGACAATCGTGATCATACACTAGGTGAGTTTTCACTATTTTATTCTGTTTATTTATTTATAAATAAATAAATAAATAAATAGAGCTTGTTAATTTTTATTATCGCGAATTTTTCATATCTGCATTTTATTTCATATAAATATTTTTATATTAATGCATCGCTAAAAATACTCAAACTATCTTTGCTTAATATTTTTTGTGTTAAAAAAACTGACATACTTTTTTAATTTAATCAACATTGATAATTACAATTTATTAAAACCGAATGTTCCAGTGTTGTGATAGGTCTGTAAATATTTATTCGCAGTAAATTTTTTTTTCTCAGAACTTTTCTACCATTTAATTCATTTATTTATTCAAATAATTTTGAAAAGTGCTAATTTATTGCGTTGCTAATTTAATTTACTGTCTCAATTGGAGTAATTTAAAAGACCAATTATCAAACACAAAGTACGTAAATATTAAATTAATTTGTTTGCTTCGTTTAAACTAATAACAGCTTAAACTAATAATTAAAAATAATTATTCTCTTGTACTAAAAAAAAAAAAAAAAATAGTCGTCCGGTAATTAATTTTTTATGTAAATCGGAAGATGTAAAATAACACATTGGGAAATATGAATTATTAATAAATATAATTACCCATCAAATTATTTCGTTGGCTATTTAATACCTAATAAAAAAAATTAAAATACAATTATTTATTATTATCAATAAATAAAAATTATCAGCATTGAACAGTTTTGTTTAAAAAAACCTTCATTACTCTTCTTTGTCACCGCAGAACTGAATATTTTTCAATGTCTCGCTATTAATAGCACAAAGCATCTTTACGTTTTTTTAGCAAAAGCTGCGTTCTTTAATCAGTTTTGCTCACAAAGCTTTTATTCTCCTCCATAATTATATTTCATTATATGCAAAGTATATTGTTACATTTAAGAATACAGCTTTACTGTACAAAAGCTCATCAAAGATTGCATTGACGGGTGACCGGAGAAAAAAAATCGATTGGATTATTTCCATTGCTAATATTTAAATTTTACTTGAAATAATTCTCAGCTGTACGTTCATTCAGTTTTTCCTCCTTGACATTGAATATAATTATCCGATACGGGACTAATAAATAAATAAATATCAAATTAAGCGTGCATATTATGTTAAACAGAAAAAAGAGATAAAGTCTATTTTAGTTTCATAGTTATTAGCCAATCTATAGTAATCTCAGGTGTCATTAAGGAAAATCATTTCAAGTACATTAAGCACGCAATGCACAAATTGACATTAATTAAAGGTCCATTGTTATTTTTATTATTTCTTTATCATACAATGCACGTGCTGTATCTATTTAAATTCTTACTTTGTTCTTAATAAATCACTCGAGCTAATTTAATGAAAAGGTAAACAAATAAAACTCTAAACTTTGTTGTTTGCTAGGCCGTGTACTTATCTAGCATATCTTCAAGTATAATTTTTATGATACTGAAATTAAAAAACATTTGTCAATTTTTTGGATTTTTTTGACAACTAAATTATCATAGAAAAATTTTTGTGAAGAAAGTCCACATCTAGAAATTAAAAAAAAAAAATTACAAATGCATTTTAAAAATATTTTTTAATAAAAATAAAAAAAATTGTTAGATATCAGCTGATTTTAGTATCATTAATTTTTTAATATTGAGATTATGAGAATTAAAATTCTTTACTAATTATAAAAATTATAATTATTTTTTCTTAAAAAAATATTTCAGTTCAAACTTTATAATAATAATAATTTTTTTTATAGCAAATTTGTAATAAAAATCAAAAAAATTGTCAAATGTCAGCTGATTGCAGTATCATTAATTTTTCAATTGTAGAGATTATAGAAATTAAAAGTTTTTGCTAATTATAAAAATTGTAATTAGTTCTCTTGTAAAAAATATGTCAGTGCAAATTTTTTATAACAAATTTTTAATAAAAATCAAAAAAATTGTCAGATGTCTGATTTGAGTATCATTAATTATTAAATTATAAATATTTAAATTTTTTATCAGCAATAAAAATTATAATTATTTCTTCTTTAAAAAATATTTCACTTGACATTGAAATTTTCATCAGCTGATCTGTCATTAATTAAACTTACTTACACTCCATTTTTTCGGAGTTATTTTCAATTCATGAAAAAATATGATTTATCGTTATTTATTGAATAAATTATAAATATAAAAAATACTCGAGTGTTAAATAAAATGTAAATAAAATTATCGTTAAAACAGTAAACATTCGATTATTAAAAATTTCAATTGTCGGATCTTCGATGCGCAGTCTCACACGCCGCGATCACGTGAATCGCGATGCGACCTAATGAGATGGATGTCTGACAGAGTGGGAAGTGCAACGTAAACGCGTGAGAGTACGAAGAAAGGTTTTTTCAGTGAGGAGAGAGGGGAAAATATTTAAACGTCAAAAAAAAAACAAAAAATATCACTAAAAATATATGGATAAATATTTTTTGTAACAATGGATACTTTAATGGCTGGGCATCGAATTTATTTTAGAAGAAAATTGATGCGGTTTATCAACCCCCGAGCGTTTCACGTATACGTGGCAACAAATCAATTAAAATTGTTTAACGTCAACATGCGCACAGCAAAATCCTGTGCATTAATATAGGTAGACATACGCAATAGCAAGTGTTGCTTCTAATACATGCATACAAATACACAATACCCATACGTTTCTGAAAATAACTGGTTGATAATGTTTCTTAAAGTGAAGTCACTATACAGCATCCACCCATAAGAGACTTTATCTTACTTATTTACTTTATTTTGAATATTTTAAGTAAAATATTGCTGTTTAATAGTTGAAGTGGAATATCTATTGGAGTAAAGCATATTTCAACTACAAGCCAATTATTTCGGAGTAATTTACATACATAAAAGCCATTTAATCAGGTTTTACAAATTAACTCTTATTATATTATTTGTATTCTTACTTGTATGTGTTTTTTCGATATTAGAAGAGTGGGGAGCTGTTTGGCCACCATATAAATATTCCAATCGTCAGTATCGTTATTCAGTTCTTCACTTGGCCCTCAATTATCGAGGGAATTTATCAGTGTACCTTTTCATCCTACCTGGAATCCTTTTGTACTAATTTTTTTTTACTTGAAAAGAATTTTTTATCCTTTTATTTTATGTTGCATTCCACTGTCTGCACTTAATACGAAAATCGAATTTTTTTTTAATTTTGACTGACATATTTTTTATGCTCATACTTTTTATTTGTTAAATATTAAAAATGGGTTTGAGAATTTTGGTGAAAGTTTGTGAAACAAATATATTTTCACGAGCTGTATCAGGTAACAAGCCATTATGGATCACTTTTGGAAGACAAATAAGCTGGTAAGATTCCCTGGAATTTTTTTTTAAAATTCCTCCAAAGTTATTTATTTAATGAGAAAATTATTAAGCAACCAGTAGATACTTACAATGACTATTCTGTAATTTTTATCATGATTATTATCATTACAGTGGTACTCTATAATCATCCTATCATCTATAATTCACCCTATTATTTGGATGAATTTTCCTAACTTCCCATTTCCGGAGGCTATGGAGAACATATTTAATATCTATGAATAAAATATAACTTTAATTATATAAATTACAAAACCCCGAAATATCAAAAGTGTATTATTTGTAATATGAGAGAAATTACAGTCTATTATAAAGAAACCTTTCCTCGACCTACTTAAAGTGATCGCGATAATTGATAAATAAGAATAATGCTTTTGATAAATGTCAACGAGATATCATCTCAATCAGTCTAATGACCCAATAAAATTTTTAAACTTGTAGACATATTGAATTATTTCAATGATTTTATACCATATTGTCTTGCTTTAGTTAAGTGATGAAATATTAATCATCATAAATAAAATTGTCTACGTGTACATGTTTGATAAAATATCAATATTGATTTGTACTTTTGTATAAAAGAAATTGCGTTGGTTTTTTTTTTCTTTTGCTTTTTCATTGCTACAAAAGAGATAAACTCTTATTACCAAATCTATTTAAAATAAATTTCATAGTCTATACAAATACAAATATTTACTTATTTATTTGAACTAATGACTTGGCTGTTAGCTTATTTCGTTATCAAAGTGTCTAATAATGATAATATGGCACATTGAAATATTAGCAATCTATTTCTCACTAGAGTCAAGTCAACTCGGTCAAATACCCCTCTTTGTTATTTCTAAATGATATGCGTAATAAAGTCTTCATTTCATTTTACATCACTGTACCGAGTGCTTGCGGAAATGCTGCCAAGAAGTTGTTTTATTGTTAAGCAGAGCTATTTATTATTTTTACTCATGTTTAATATACTTGTTAAGAATTTTTGTACTAAAAATCATGCGTAATTTGGCTTAACTTCAACTCTACATATATGTATATACATATTAAAATGATAATTAATTACGGCAAAGTTGAAAACAAACCAGTATTTTTTAATATTATAAAATTATAATATGAAGAAAGCGACTGATCTTTTCAATGTCGCATTTATCAATTAATGTCAAGCGTAATATTTTATTGCAAATTATTTGTTTACTTATTTATTATTTTTTAAATTATTAGATAAATTATAATTTATGCATGACTTCCCACTTGAGATAAATAAAATAAAATAAAATAAAATAATTTTGATTTCAGCACGACCATGTCAAGGACGATGCTTAAAGATTCGCCGAACGCGGCTCTCAACAAGACATTGCTGAACAAGTATTTGGATTTACCTCAACCAGACAATAAAATTCAGGCAAAATACATCTGGATCGATGGAACTGGCGAGGGAATACGATCCAAGACGAGAACTTTGGACTTTGTACCCAAGCATCCGTCGGGTTAGTTGTTCAACAATTATTTATCAGTTAAATAATTATTAATTGATCGACTTACTGTAATAACCACTTGGTTTCAAGTGATTAAAAAATTAGCGTATCTATGTGTGTCAATACACAATGAACAGCTGTTGATTATTTTTTATTTTTTATTTATAATCTGAAATTAAACAAAAAAAAAAAAAAATATGCATTATCTCTAAATAAAATTTTAATTATTGCAGAACTTCCCAAGTGGACTTACGATGGTAGTTCGACTTACCAAGCTGAGGGTGGAAACAGTGACGTATTTCTGCTACCAGTAGCTATCTACCGGGACCCAATTCGCCGTGGGAACAACAAACTGGTCCTCTGCGAGACTTACACCAGCGACATGACTCCAACTGCAACAAACAAACGTTTTAGGTGTAATCAAGCCATGGAAGCTGTAAAATCTGAGGAACCGTGGTTTGGAATTGAGCAGGAGTATACTTTCCTCGATTTCGACAACCGGCCTCTGGGCTGGCCAAAGAATGGCTTCCCTGGACCCCAGGGTCCCTACTACTGCGGTGTAGGAGCTGACAGAGTTATTGGCCGTGAAATCGTCGAAGCGCACTACCGCGCTTGCATGTACGCTGGAGTAAACATCGCTGGTACCAACGCCGAAGTAATGCCATCGCAGTGGGAGTTCCAGGTTGGTCCTAGCGTTGGAATTGCTGGTGGAGATGATCTCTGGATAGCCCGGTTCTTATTGCACCGCATAGCTGAAGAGTTTGGTGTTATCGTGACCCTTGATCCTAAGCCCGTTGACGGATCCTGGAACGGAGCCGGTGCCCACACCAATTTCTCTACCAAGTCAATGCGCAAGGAGAACGGAATTGTTGAGATTGAGAAAGCTATTGAGAAATTGAGCAAACAGCACGTGAAACACATTCAGGCTTACGACCCACGTGGAGGAAAAGACAACGAACGTCGTCTTACAGGCAAGTGCGAGACCAGCAGTATCCATGATTTCAGCGCCGGGGTTGCTAACAGAGGTGCCAGTATTCGTATTCCTCGAGGAGTCGCCGAAGATAAGAAAGGATACTTGGAAGACAGGCGGCCTAGCAGTAATTGTGATCCGTATTCTGTCTGTGATGCGTTGGTCCGTACATGCTTGTTGAATGAGTAATTTTGTTCCTCTGTTATATTATATTTAAATGTACAACTAGATAAGCGCAACAATGGTATAAATTATATAATACACGTGGAATTTTAATTTTATGTTATTCTTTTAAAAACAAAAAATCTTTTAATGGAAGTGTAATAATTGTCATGTAGATGGGTGGAATAATGATGTAAAATTTACAATTTATGAAATTGTCTTTTGATCTACGTCAACTTATATTTTCTTTTACGTAATGGGCAATTATTTTATTATATATTTACAGAATTTATTGCTATTGATACTTTTAATTATAACTACGAGTAAAGATTTATAATCAAAAAATAATAGAATGAAAAAAATAAATTCTTCTAACTATTTTTGATAAGTGAGCTTGTATTTTATCAATTTGAGCGAGGCTGCCTTCCATATACGGTCTGTAGTGAATTCAAATCTTGTGGTTAGATGAAAGAGTATAGTTATATATGAAGTTTAAGACTAATTACAGGCAATAATAAACGACCGTTGTATTCATTCCGATGCAAATCCTCGATTAGATTGAGCAATTTGATATTAATTATTTATACTAGCCAAAATTATTACACTTTATCGGGATATTATCATAATCTTTCGTTTATTTATGAAATAACTTTAACTATTTTTTATCTCGCCGAATCTTTACCGATGGATTATTTATTGCTGTTATGTTAATGACAATTATCGTTGACATAGACAATTAACATTATATAATATTTATAAAGATATTTTTTTTTTTTTTTTTTTTTTTTTCAATCATAAAATGCTTTTTATCGTCTACTCATTATTATTATTATTATTATTATTATTATTATTATTATATACACAAATATTACCATATTTCGTAATTATTATAATAATACATTACAATATTTTACGTATTTAGCTACGAATTGGTACAATAAATATTAATCAGTTCAATTGTAAAAAACGTAAAGACATATTTTGGATAATGTGGGATTATTTCGATGTTATTTATTAAGAAAAAGTATATATAATGTATGTATTGTTGAACTGTTTAATCAAATTGTAAAATTTAATAAATAAACCAATAAATAATATGATGTTTTAAACAATTTGAATTATATTAGTTATCGATACATTTATAATATTAAATACCAATTTTTTCATTGCTTTTATTTACATCCAAATATAAAACTAATTATTTTCAAATTGTTGGATTTTGTCTGTTAAATCTAAGAACACTTTAAATGAAATAAATAACATGTTAAACTGATTACAAAACTTTTGTAAGTATAAAAAAAAACATTTTAAAAACTACAAAGAAAAGTAAAAAAAAAAAGAACAGTCAGTTGGCAATTCAGATTATTGTCGTCAACAAGTTTGTATCAATTAAATAAAAAATACTAATTTATTATTTATTTATCTATTAGATCTAGACAATCAAGGAGTAGATAATGTTTTTATCTATGGAACCAAAAATACTTTATCCACACTTACGATGATACTCTGGAGTTGCGGCTCCGTAATCTTGAAGACTGAATAAATCGCTGCTATTTTTATGGAGATATCGCAAGAAATCGTGGATATGAGTTAACAGTAATGCGATGCTTCGCTCATCTAAAGGCGTATAGGCGAGCATGCTGCCTAATTTCACTGTAAAAAAATTGTTACAAATTAAAAATAATTGATAAAATAATAGAAAATTTATGATTGTATTTAAATATAGTACCAAATAATCGAAGTAAATGAATGGCCCCATATATTTGGCTGGGAGGTGTATTAGGCTTTGCTGAAATTATTTCGCTGTATTGTTGTCGTTCCCATCTATATAATAATTGTGTACCTAACATGACATTGAAATATTCTTTCAAGCCTCTTGTTACTTCTAAAACAGCGCTTTCTCTGCAATAAAAAGAATAGGTAATTTATTGAATATAAGATAATTAAAGTTCAAGTGAACTAAATATCTCAATTAATGCCCTAAATAATTAATCTGACCGCTATATTTTTAAAGGTTTAACAAGTGTCATCAAAAACTAATTTTATCAATTAAATTAAATTGAATTGAATGGTAAATTACACCGCTAATTGATATATTGTGCATAAGTACGAGATGATTAAAATGATAATTAATTAAATTGATAAAAAGAAATTGTCAATCATTGAACTTTTTTTTTATCGATTTAATTAAACTAGAATTGAATTTACGCGCGCAAGCGCGCGCCTTGACTATAGAGTTTGCATATATTTTCATGCTTATGATATATTCGACCAATCACGTTACGAATAGTTTGATGCCACATACATTTCATCTCAATTTTATTATGGAATTTATATGAAATATTATTATTAATATTTAGAAAAGATAAAAATCACTATTGGGGAAAAGATGAAATAAGTGGGGAAGATAAGGAAACATGGGCGAGGGTACGATGTGGGAACATAGGAAGAGGGGGAAAGAAAGGATTTAAGGATTGGAGATGCAGAGTATGTGAGGGGGAAGAAGAAACCCTGATGCATATAATGAAATGTGAAGAAATATATGAAAAAGTTGGAGAAGAAGGAACGAGTTTTTTAAATGAATGGAAAAATTTAGAAAATGAAGAGGTTGAAGAAAGATTAATAGAAGTACTAAAGGGAAGAATAGACGGGAGAGCATGCACGGTCTTCAGAAAAATTGAAGAGATCCTAAGAGAAAAAACGGGATTGCGGAGTTTGGGGTAGGAGGGTCACTAGAACAACGACGTGCAAACAAGAGGAAAAAAGAAAAGAAAAGAAAAATAGAAAGATCAAATAGAAAGAGAAATAATATATATACAATTAACATACAATGACAATATATGTAAAAACTTTGTAAGAGACGAAAGTCTTGAAAATAAAACTATTTATTATTATTATTAATATTTAGATACTATACTGATAAATAAAACTAAAATTAAGCCTGTGGATTGATTTAAAGCTGAGTATTATCTATACAAGTAAAAAAATTTCTTCTTAAATGGATTTAGAGTTAAGTCCTAAGGTTTAAGAAAATAAAGATTATTCTACAGATGAATAAAAATATAAACTAAACATACTTATTAGGAGTATTTGTTTTACTAGATGTCTTGAACTTGACATAGTCATCTAATATTTGATCAATCGTGTGCCTAGCCGGTAAAGTGACTAACTTTTTCTGCCGAATGATCGCATCCCAATCATCAACAAGCCAAGGCTTTAATTCGTCGGGAATTTTAACTTTAACTTCAACATTTGCTAAGAATTGCTCTTCTGTTTCAACTGAAGGGTCCACGCGGCTGCAAATCAAACATTTAATTTATTAAAATATTCAATAAAAGTACTGATTCGGTAAATAATATACTGATTATAAACCTTCGCTTCTTTCTAGGTGCATCTGAGGATGAATCGTGCGACGAAGGAGTTACAGAACCACTGTTAGCTTTATTACGACCAGTAGTCTTGTCACCACCAGGTACCGGTGTGCTTGCTCGACTATCAGACTCTTTGTCTTTGCCACTCTCGCTTTTGCGTCCTTGTCCCTTCAAAACCGTGGTGGTTTTTTTTCCTTTTTGCGTCGACTGCTGGGCTGCATGAGCGCGCTGTACCTCTTTTTGTTTTTGCACATTAGTTTCGTTGTATTTCAACACACGGCTTTCCGGGACCCATTCATCCCAACTATAAAAAAAAAAAAACAGACATGATTGTTGGATTCTACTGATGCTTCAAAGGTGAATGACTTTAGTCATCAATTTTCAACTAAAATAAATATTAATAACTTACTTTTTATTCCAGCCGGCATAATGTATAAAATATTTAACTGTTTTTTCCTTAGTGAGTGATGATTTCAAACATTTAGCCTCATAAATAAGGGGACCATGGAAACATAGTACTTTTTCACCTAACCAATAAAAAAAGAATTTCAATTATTATGCAAAGTTAATAACTAATTATTAATTTGAATTAAATCAAAAAATAAACTCACCTTCTTGGAATTTATTTTTCTGAGGCATTGAATTATTTTTATAATATTATAATATCTATCTGTCTATTTAAGATTAGTTGATATACTCTACGGCTTTCGATTGTTTACAACGGCAATAAAAGTAGCCAAGGAAATTAAAAAAAAAAAAAAAAAAAAAACAAAAGATGTCAGGCTAACTTCACTCGATACCGCTAGCGCCAGTGGTAAATACTCGAAGTACTTTGTCAATATGTAAACATTTCACACAATAAATATAAACACTCTAACCGTTGAATAATTTTTTAAAAATTAAAATATAAAATTAATAAACAATAACACTTGTAATGTTTTGAATTTTTATTTTAAAATTTATTTAATATGTCTGCCAATTATTACTTTGTTATTGTTGGAACTGCAGATAACCCATTGTTTGAAATAGAATTTAATGGCTCCAATAAAGAATCTAAGGTAATTATTTTTAATTTTTAATTAATTGGTTTACTTGTGATGGATTTTAATTATTTTTTAAATTACAGAAAGAAGATCATGCTCATCTTAGTCAATTTATAGCTCACGCAGCATTAGACCTAGTTGATGAGCATAAATGGAAAACAACAAACATGCATTTAAAAGTTATTGACAAATTTAATCAGTGGTTTGTCAGTGCATTTGTCACAGCGACGCAAATAAAATTCCTTATGGTACATGACACTAAAAATGAAGATGGTATTAAAAATTTTTTTAATGAAATGTACGAAATTTATATTAAGGTAAGTAATATTCGCCAAGACACTTGGATTTTTAACCAGTTTTACTGGATCCAGATTATGTAAATATTAATCTTTATTATTTATCTTTTACAGTATTCGATGAATCCATTTTATAGAATAAATACTCCAATAAATTCTGTTGGATTTGAAAAAAAGGCACAACTTTACGGAAGAAAATATCTGTCTTCATAATTATTATTAAATTTATTGATTATTATAAAAAATAATTAAAACAATAGACATACGACGGTTGTTTCTATTTAGAATTTATATTTTATTATTATTATTATTATTATTATTATTATTATCATAAGTGGAGTTATAAATTTTTCATACATTGAAAAATTTTGTTTAACTCAATCGTTTAAAAATTATCGAATGTCAATTGTTTTTATTATTGAAAAATATGAGTTTATTGAAAAACTTTGTAAAAATAATTTATTAACAATATATTAAAGCCAAAAATAGTTGTTATTATTTTTAAAGTAAAATTTATTATTTAATACTTAAGAATTTTGATAATGAAATTTTATCTATTATGTAGTTCAAGTTAAAGCTGGTACTTAAATAATGAATTAATTTATTTAATGGACTATAAATAAGAATAATTAACTATTTAAATTTGGAAGGCTAAAATATTTAAAGCTGTTTTTTTTTCAAAAAAAAAATATTTTATTTAATAAAATGACATTCTAACTATTTTTGTAATTTGTAATTACTCAAACCAGATTTCACTGATACTCATTTACATATAGTTCAGTTAGATGAATGACCTTCACTAAGATCTAGAGGTTAAAATTACACACCTTGAATGCCGAAAAAAAAATAGTTAACGACTAACTACAAAACAAGTGCAACGTTTACATTTGACGTGTCAAACAATGTTGACTGTTGATAATAAAAAGGTAATTACTATTTTGTAATTATAATTTTCGAGTAATTTAATTAAGTCTGATTCAATTGCTTAATTAATATTCTAAAAATATTTATAAATAAAATGATGTTTAGCAATATTAGATAGACACAGCAAGATAACCTCTGTATCTTTGTGTTGATAAATTTAGTATATAAATAATTATTTGTTTGTCTATTTTTCAGTATTAAGCTCTAGATGATAAACATTTTTTAACGTAGTAAATTTTAATTTGTAAAAAAAAAAACAAATGTAATCTTATCGCAGTTGTAACAAAAGCTATGCATTTATTAATGTTTTACGACCATTGATTAGATATAATCTGTTTTAAATAATTTTTAGGAAATTTTGCTGTAATAATAAATTTATTAAGTTAAGTTATAATTAGAGATGTATTTTTAATATCAATACCAGAGTCATGTAATAATTATTTATAAAATTTTATTTATACTTATTTTTTTTTTTCAAATGCAACAGGATAAATCAGCGGAATTATTCTTGAATGAAAAGATCTATAAAACAATTTTTATTCAAGAATAATTGGATGAAAGAAATGAATAAACGAGAAACGATGAAAATTTACGTAACATGTTGACATGGTAGTACTGATAAAAATATTAGTAAAAAGTTTTAATCGGCAATGCTCTGAAACCGAAATGGAAAAAAGGTAAAAGTTACCAGGCCAGCGATAATTTAATTAAACGAATAAAAATTATTTACAAAAAAAAAAATTTATAAAGGCGATGGCAATGTGGAAAAAAAAAAAGTCATTTTTAAATTAATGACAGCCTAATGATTAATAAATCAGTTGTAAACATAAATTCATTTATATATTTTCAATTGGAAATAATGAAGCCTTGGTCCGTACACGATGATTAAAAGTCTACTGATAACGGCCACTAAAGTTTTAACTCAGACAGATGTCCAACAGTCATTTAGTTTCTGTTGAAAAGACAATCTAATCACACTTAAGTATTTTTGGTTTTTAAGTAGTTTCAACCTCACTCAATAGTTAAACTATTTTTAGTCAGTTTATTTTCTAAAAGTTTGAAACTTACTACCCAAATGGAATATTTGTTAAGAGTAAGTTATTGATGAATTTTACATTTTTTATTTATTTATTTTTATTTTTTTTTTTAAGTAAAATATGCTGACTTCATCAAAACAATCTTAAAAATAATCAATTATAGCTATTAATATCATTTAATTAAAATTTTTTTCTATTGCTAATCGACACTTGTCGCTCTAATGTGATAGATGATGCAGCAAAAATGATACGCAGTTGATAATTGTAATAGTTAAACAACTTTAGACTCATCATGTGTACAATGGGGGAATTTTCATCAAGGTTGTTTAGCACATAAATATATATTGAAGATATTTTAACAGATTACTTTAAGACTGCATAACGGACAGCACATAAAGTTATTGCTTTACGCGTCAGAACTGACTTTTAACAACTTCTAAAACTGATTGCTGGTTTTAGTCGATTGTACCATCTTAAAAATATATATAAATATTTATAAAGTTATTTAAACATAGAAGATTTTTTATCGAAATACGATTATTGATAATTAATGTGAATTTTAAATATTTAGTTAGATAAAAATAAAAATGATAAATTTTTTTTAATAGTCCCTTGGGCACGTACGTCAGCCCTCTGACACTCAAGCTTTTCGAGAGAGAACGAAAAGGGATGCTGAGAGCGAGATGCAGTTCGAATTAAATCGTCTTGAAGCAACAGCTCCGGGGCATCTACGAGATCGCATAAAATTAGAACTAGATGGATTCCAAAAACTATTTCAGAAGTTCCTTCAGGATCAAGGACCTTCGGTTGTATGGGATCAAATTCAAAAGTTACCTGAAGGAGCGGTAAGTTTTATTACTTAAAAATTTTTTTTTTATTTAAAAATCTACTAATAATTTTTTTAATTACAGATCAGAGATTATGATTCTCTGGTAGAGCCAAGCTACGAAGAAATTCGTACTATGTTAAATAAATTGATAGTCGTTAAATTAAATGGAGGCTTAGGGACCAGCATGGGATGCCACGGACCAAAATCGTCAATCACTGTACGGAATGATCTCACTTTTTTAGATCTTACAGTACAGCAAATTGAAGTATGTACACTTTAAATAAATTAATGCTAATTAGTAGTTATTATCATTATACTGTTATATAATAATTTTAATTTTAACCAGCATTTGAATAGAGAATATAATGTGAGCGTACCATTAATTTTAATGAATTCCTTCAACACGGATGATGAAACACAAAGAATTATCAGAAAATACAAAGGAATTGATGTTATCGTTAAAACTTTTAATCAAAGCTGCTTCCCTCGTATCAGTAGAGAGTCTCTACTGCCTATAGCTAAAAATTGTGATGTCGATGACGATATGGAGTCGTTAGTACAATAAATTACTCTTTATACCACTGATAAAGTTTTTTAGTTTTTATAAAAAATTCTGATGTATGATTATATTTTTAGATGGTATCCTCCGGGACACGGTGACTTTTATGAGAGCTTCCATCGATCAGGTTTACTGGATGAATTCATACATGCTGTAATTTATTCATTGCTTTTATGATTAATCAAATTCATATCGAGTATGAATCTAAGATATTTTGTGTTATAGGGACGTGAATACTGTTTCATTTCAAATATTGATAATTTAGGAGCAACAGTAGATAATAAAATTTTGAAACTAGTCCTTGAACCGATGAACGGCCCCCATGAATTTGTAATGGAAGTTACGGATAAAACACGAGCTGACGTCAAAGTAAATTAGTCTTTTTTTTATTGATCGGCGGTCTAATTAGCAATTGGTTTAGCTCCTTATTTTTTAGAGGGTGATTATTTAATATTTTAATGAAGTAATAGTCTAATTATAAATTATTTGAATGATCCAAGCCAAACTATTGTATCTCTATTAGATATTAAATTGCTTTTTAAAGTAATAATACATTTTGAACTAATTGTTTTTTTTTTGTACAAATGAAAGATTCTCTAAAATGGAGTTAAAAAATTTGTTATTAATTAGAACGTCGTGATGTTTCTTGAAAAAATTTACAAGGTGTTTAATGTTTTTTAATTATTTAGGGAGGTACTCTAATACAGTATGAAAATAAGTTACGTCTTCTGGAAATAGCACAAGTACCTAAAGAAAATATAGATGAATTTAAATCTGTTAAGACTTTCAAATTTTTCAATACTAACAATCTATGGGCCAAACTTAGTGGTAATTATAATTATTCTATTTAAAAATAAATTTATTAGGCTACTAAATTTTTGTTATATTTTAATGATTTTTTTTTAAATAGCCATCCGCCGAATATTGACTGAAAAAACGTTGGATATGGAAATAATAGTTAATCCAAAGGAAGTTGAAGGTGGACTTAATGTTATTCAATTGGAAACTGCTGTAGGTGCAGCTATGAAATCATTTGATGGAAGTATAGGTATCCATGTGCCACGAAGAAGATTTTTGCCTGTTAAAAAAACATCTGATTTATTACTTGTCAAAAGTAATTTGTATGATTTTCGTAATGGATCTTTGTTAATGAGCCCTAAGAGAATGTTTCCCGTTACGCCACTTATTAAATTAGGTGACAATCATTTTGCCAAGGTAAGAAAAAATTTTTTTAAGCTATAAAATTTTGGAGTTTAAATTACTATTTGTATTTTATTTTTTTTAGGTAGCAGAATTTTTACGGCGATTTGCCAGTATTCCTGATTTGCTAGAACTGGACCATCTAACTGTTTCCGGAGACGTAACATTTGGTCGCGGTGTATCACTGCGTGGTACAGTAATTATAATTGCTAATCACGGAGAACGTATTGATTTACCGTCAGGTACTATATTAGAAAATAAAATAGTATCAGGTAATTTACGTATCTTAGATCATTGAAAGTTTAATTAAGATTTATGTAAGAGTTATTATTGTATAATCACTGAGTCAAGTATAAATTAAGAGCCAGTTTTAATTTAATGTTTTTTGGGTTCGATATTTGTCGATTGCGCAAACAAAAAAATTTATGCTAATTTTTGTAGTTTTTTTTGATGAAATTATATACTAAAATATTGATATAAAAATATACGTACATCTAGCCTGTATGAAATTTATTTTAGTATATTGTAACTTTTTTTTTTTAATATTTTATCAACTAATATTCATTTATTCAAATAAATTCGCTGTACAAGATAATACTTATACAATAAATATTTAAAATATTTTACTTCACGTATCCACAGTCTTCTTTGCTTAAACAATTCAAGTTATTCGTACATTTAATTACTCATATATTAGATAATTTTGAAGGAAAAAATAGATTTTATTTATTTCTTCGGTTTTTAACATTTATGTCAATGGTTCAATTTTCTAAATGCCTTTAACAATAAGTAATTGTTTTTATTTCGGACGGTTTTATAATTTCATTTTTAATAGCTCGTCATTACACAGGTTTTCATCACATTGTGACGCTTCCAATAATTCCGAAAAAATATTATTTATTTGGTATAAAAAAAAAAATTCAAATAACGATGAATATATAAATAAGAAATAAAAATCGTCAAAAAATTAGTGATAATTAACCAGTATGTACTTATGTAAAAATACTTTTTTTTTTTTCTTGAAAAATATTATTTGGAATATAATTTAAAAATAACAGTCAATTTTTTGTTAAATAATGATAAATTTCAGAATTTTGATTCTAGCTGATATGTGATATCCAAAATATATATGTATATAAATATATAATATTATATAAATTGTAATCACATTAATATCATAATCATCATAGCAAGAAAAATAATAATAATAATAATAATAATAAAGATAGTTATTATTTTTACAGCGTTAGATTGAGCTAGTTTTTGGTAATGTTTTTATATTAGAATTTTCACGCTGACGTTCATGAAATTCTTGAAAACACGGTACAATGCATAAATTTATTTGACACTCTGGACAATGATATTTTGTTTTTCGCCTTAATGTACGACCATGAGTATCAACAGTATTCCAACAATGATTGCATCCTAATGCTGGTCCTTCTCGTTGAACCGGGCAATGACCCGACCGTTGATCGCTTGACCCGCCTTCTCTTATTATTCTTGTTTCTCTTCCACTGCCGAGCTATAAATTAATAAATTAAATAATCACATAAATTTAAAAGATAGTAAATTGAAATAAAAAAAAAAAAGTTACCTGTGGTGTTGATGAACTTCTGAGTAATTCAGCAGGAATAATTCTTATACAACTAGAATTATTTCCAGTGTCTTTGGTTATCCTGGACTCAGTCTGTCCCTCTTCAATTTTAATAAGAGGAATCGGATCAGCAGTTCCGGAAGGACTCGTAGAACGACCAGGATACTCGGGATTGGAGTGCTGTCGTTGAATCCAGTAATTACTAGAGGAACTTTGTTGCTGACTTGGCAAAAGAGGATGAGAGTGCTGTTTCACTAAGTAGGATGGTTGCGGTACAGTTAGCAAATTCGTGCAAGTCGTTACTGTTAGAAGAGTTTGTTTCGACGTCGCTGGCGATTGAGGTTCATTGTCTTGCCACTGATGCGACGAAGATGGAAGATTCAATATCGGAGTAACTGAATGAGCTGCTGGCGACGATATTATTCTTGGTGATCCGGGTTCACTGTCAGGCGATGGATGTCCTGGCTCAGATTCTTTTTTTACTCTCGTTTGTCGCATTAACAGTAATCGACCCCGTTTTCCTTCAACCTGCCTGTTGTGATGCGCTGAAAAATATTTTTAATGCCCGATTAAATAATAAATTATTAAAATTTTTACTCGGATAAATATATTTTTGTGCTGCTGAAATAAACAAAAACAGTTTTTCATTTTTTTTCTTTAATTTTATTACATAAAATTGTCTATTATATCTACAAAAAATTTTTTTAAGAACACTTGTCTACTAATTAACTTTTTTTACATATACATGATTATTAAAAAAATTTTTTTTACCATCATTCGTACACAGAGGACAATAATGTCTACATTTATAATAATTATATAAAATGCAATGATAATTTTTTGTTTTTTTATTATCAAGTATAAATTGTATTATATGTATACGATTATAATAATAATCATTTTAATAATAATGATGCTAATGATAATAATAATAAAAATAAAAATAATAATAATAATAATAAGTAACGATAAATAATTTTAATATAATTATTGTCATAATTTTTGAAGAAAACGGTCCTAATAAATTAGTATGAATATTTTATACAGAATAATTAGCTAATAATAAGCATTTAGAAATCACGTATACTAAATATGTTATTGGAATTGAATTAAAAATAATAATACATTTTCAATGTTTGTTAATTTAATTAACTAGCAAATACTTTGAGTTAGTTTCAAACAAAACTGCTTTTTTAAATGCTGAACGGAGCTCTGCTATAAAAATTGCCAGTACTAATTTGTTATCTAGTCATTTACGAGTACGATTTATATATAATATTTCAATAACTATTATTTTATATATATATATAATTATTTAATATTTATATATGTATACTTTTTTTTTTTTTTTTTTTTTTGGAAAATATTTTATCCTAAAAGAATACCTATAATGAAAGACGTACAACGATTTGTGATTAAAATAAAAAATAATATATATATATATAAAATATTTCCGAATAATTTATAAATATGTACAAAATTGAATTTTTTTTATACACTAAAGACTTGTTGTCACAGCTATTTATATGTCTGATTTATTTTTTTGATTTAGCAAAAACGAAAACAAAAAGTATGAAATTAATAATGAGATAAAATTTATATAAATTTAGAATTGACTAAAGCTTATTTGTACATGAAATGCGGGAAAACGTTAGCTCACATGGCATTATAATTAACACCGTGTAAATTGATAGGCATAGATGGATTGGGTAGTGAGTAATCAATATGTCTAGTGTCAACGTAACCGCCGAGCATCGCGTGAGGCGTGTGGGTGGGTATCATGGTATGAGTATTGTGAATATTGTGAGCGCTGTGAGGACTGTGAGTACTGTGAGCACTGTGGACACTGTGAGAGCTGTGCCCGCTGTGAGTACTCAGAGGAGTAGTCGGTGGACCCATGGAAGATGGACTTGGTGGTTCAACAGGTGGTGGAACTGGAGGAGAAGGCGGCGATGAATTCGACTCGTTTTTGACTTTTGATTTAACACTCGGTCGATTATTTGGATAGCCACGTTTTTTGTACTCCAGCCACAGGGTTCGATTGTTCACGCCAAACATCCTGGCGGCTTTGCAGAATCCGATCCCGCCGTAGCGAACAGCGTCCAGCGCTCGAATAAAATTCTCATCAGCCTGCGGATTGGTGGACCTTTTTCGTTTAACTGTCGCTTGAGGACTGGCACAGGGGCTCTGACAGCTATTTGAACACTGACCGGAGGGTGATAAACCGCCTGAAGATGAAGTATGCTGCAATCCGTGTGGTGATCCTGGGTAGCTGTTCATAGCACAACTAGAACCAGTGGTGTTGGTACCCGGGTACTGATCGCTGGTGCTTGATGACGCGGTTATTTCTGGCGTCGTGAATGCCGATGATGCTTGAATCGACAGATTCGTTTGACACGAGGATAGAGCGAAACGTGGATACGTATGCTCCATGATTGTCCATTGCAATCCTGTAGAACAGACCAATTTCATTTTTTTGGTCAGAGCATAGTTTATTTTCAATTTATATTATTTATAATTCAATATCTAACTATTATTTTATTAATACTTTAATATTTAAAGCAAATTTATTAGTGATAAAATAAAATTGTAAATCTTAAATTTTATTAATTAATTATTTCATTTATTTGAAAAATGTTTTTACTGTAAACCCAAAAGTTTTTTTATGCAAAAGCAAAAAAAAAAAAATGAAACTTTCATTATACCTGCATGTGCAATTATTATAATTATTAAAATACCATGTCTCATTATTGATTGATAGATAATTAAAAATTAAGGTTTAATATATTAAGAAATAAATATAGAAAAATTATTGTTCAAATATAAATGTGGCATGGCACAGATACATATTCAAGCACAGCAGCATCATGAATATTACTATTGGAAAAAAATTAAAAATAACACAATAATAAAATGGCTAGAAAAAGCACACACACATACTCTTGAAAAGCTAAATAATTTGTTTGCGTATATTTACTTTTTATTTATTTACTTAAATACATACTGGTGTGCAATGTATCTGTGTGCCATTATTATTATATAAATCATAAATCTATTGATATTTTTATCTGGTTTTAATTAAAAAAATTTTTTTCTCAAATATCCGCTCTATATTCATGTCAAACGTCTGTTGATTCCGTTGTGCAACATACTTGAACGCATCTGTGCCAGCATATATCACACAATTGAGTATGGGCTTATAATCATGCAAAAATAGCACGGTAAATGTATACCACCTAGATTAAAAATTATTGGAAAAAAAAAAAAAAAAAAAAAAAAAAAAAAATAAAAAAATAAAAAAAATAAAAATAAAAAACAAAAAAAATCCTTTTGCTGAATTTTTGACGAGTACACAGTAGCGTACAAAGTAGAAGGACGCGTGTTAATGGAAGTAAAAGTTGAGGTAATATCAATAGTGAATTAATGCTTTTCGTTTTCTGTCAATAAAACGGGGCAAAGGGTCTCAGAAGTAACTGAATACCAGTGTTAATAATTGAAATAATAAAACAAACGTTTAGCTGTTAATTAAACTATAAAATTAATAGCCTATCAACATGGTAATGCTCCATTTGTAGTTTTACTTTTTAATATGCTATCAGTTTTTATCTAAGAAAATTTGAACCTAAAATTACTTTGCATAATCGTTTCTACAAACATTATTGCCGATAAATTATTCAAATTCTCAAATTAATTAATGTTAAACGTATTATTTAAAGTAACTATGAAGAAAAAAATAGCTTACCTTGATGTGCTGGTGCTTGAGACGAGAGTGATGAACTTTGGCCTGCATTTGCCCCAGATTGTTGACTTACATCGTGCACAGAGCCTTCACTTTGAGCGAGTGTTGTCGCTGTACTACTTTCCATGTTACTCATCTGGAAGAAGAAGAAAAAGAAACAAATAATTAATCAATAATCTCAAATTATTATTTATAAAAAAAAAGGCTGTACTGCAGGTAAGAGTACAGAAAAGTAATCGGAGTTATTTATAATGTTATATAATAAAACTTACAATAGATATTTGATCTTCATCAATGCTTCCTTGTGACTCAGTACTGGTATTAACTGGACGTCTTATATTATCCCGGTTCTCCTGTGACACTATCAGTGGCTCGGGTTTAACAACATTTGTGGCAACAAGTGTTATTTCGCTAATTTCTTCGTTTTGTTTATCGCCGGAACCAGATGCCGAACCAGTTGACGATTTTCTCAGTCTCTTGCGTCGAAATGACGGCGACATTGGCGATGGAGTTGGTGAACATGATTCACCACGGTCTCCACCGCTAGGGTCACTGCTTCCACTTGGCCATTTGGTTAATGTTGCTGGATGCATTTCAGCGAGTCCCTTTATTTTCAGACTCTCAGCAGTCTGAAATTTTTATTTAGATCAATATAAATTATATTTAAAAAATATATGGTACAAAAAATAGCAGAGAACCGAATTTTGTTTAAAATAATTCTCTTTTACAATATTTATAGTTTAAAAAAAAAAAAGCAAACAACTATCGGATTTCTGCTATTTCCAGTAAAATAAAAATAGATTTTATACCTTAATAATTGAAGGTAATTGCTCTTGAGAAACATTAACTTCACCGTAGTACATAAAATCAACCATTATTTTTAAATCAGAAAATTTAACATCTTTTAATATAACAATAGGGTGCTGGCATGGATTAACAGTGAACAATGATTGAAAATATGTACTGCAGGCTGACAATACCACTTTATGTGCTTGTAAATGCCGGCCTTCGGCAGCTAATGTCACATCAACCAAAGTTTCATTTGTTAACAAAGTTGAGAACACTGATATGAAGTTTGGTTGATGATTATTCCATCTTAGACAAAATTGCTGCATACTCATAGTGACTTTTTTTTATTTATTTATATTTATTTCTGATATACGTGCACCAACTGTAACAATAAAATAAATTAATAAATAAACAAAAATTCATATTAAATTTTTACTAAATAAATTGCTCGTAATTTGTTAATAGGTTTTTACTCAATTATTATTATAAATTGTTCTTGGGATATTTTGTTGATTGGACAAACAATAAATTAAAAGATGTTATTATCATAAAATTATCTCAATTAATAGTTATACGTAATTATTAAAATTATATTAACGTTGTTGACATATTTATAATTATAATTTTATCGAAGGCTATAAAATTTCACTGTTACAAGCTTTATATCCATGATAAAACACCAACAAAAGTGGAGCACAATTCAATGTTCACAAAATAAAACTCCAATGCACGTTATTTACAATTAAATTTTAATTAAATACTTGCAACTGTTAGTGTATATGTGTTATGTTTGATAAAAAATGTGATACACACCAACAAATACTTATTGTTATATATTGTTTCACTTGTCGAAAAATGTCTCTTACTCTCTTGGTGTTTGCTAAAATTACCAAGTAGACTGAGCGATGACGCTTGTGTAACTACTGTTCGCAAGTGACGTCATACTCCCAATATTATTTTGTAAATACTGCGTCGTACTATCGACATTATTTTTTTAAGATTTGTAATCTCTAGTCAGTAGCGATAATCGCTCCAATGTATACGGATTTTAAATAAAATAAACAACCCAACAAAATCAACAATTCCAAACTAATATAATTAAATTGGCACCGCGACGATGGTCATAAATCAGAGTATGATCAATACACCACTCGGTGCTGGTCGCTACTCTGCTGCCAAATTGTCAAAGTCGCTGATAAAGGTTTCTATTGCACCGATGGAGATCAGTTTTATTATTTTTTTTTTTTTTTTTTTTATGTTTGTTTACATGTTTGCAATAAACCAGCGTTTTATTTACTACACTAATTGAAAGTTTTGATTGTTTATGACACTAGAAATTTTTTTATAATTTTATAACAATGAAATTATTATAAAAAAATTCCACATGTGAAAATTAAAAAAGAATTACTTATTAGTGAAAATTTTTTAAACCATTTTTTTTTTTTTGTAATTGATTTGTTATGAACATTAAAAAAATTGACAGTTTTGTCAGCTAACTTCAATATCATGATTGTTTACGTTCTTATTATATGTGATTAAATTTTTTTATGAATTAAAATATGAAAATAAAGTTAGCTGACATTTCAAAATTTTTAGAAATTTTTTATTGAAGAAATTTCAATTAAACAATTAAAAAAAAAAAATTTCACATGTAAAAAACTTGAAAAACTACAAGTGCAATTTTTTAGAAATATTTTTTTTAGTTGTAATTTAGTTTAAAAAAAAAATCAAAAATTTTTAGACGTCTGCTAACTTCAGTGTCATATTAAAATACTGAATTTTTGAATATTATATGCCTTTTATTATGATATTAAAATTGGGAGACATTTGATAATTTTTTTAACAAATAAATTGTAGCAAAAAAAATTTTAAAAAAAAGCAATTTTCTATACTTAATTTATTTTTCAAAAAATTTTCAAGTGTCTGCTAATTTAAGTGTCATACTTTATTACTAAAATTAATCTTGATAAAAATATTATTTCCAATAGAAACTTTTTTTACATTAATACTAATACCAAAAAAAGTGTATATATGAATCTTGATAATTTAAAAAAAATGCGGGAAAAGATGGTGGCGCTAAACTAGCTAGTGGAGAGAGTATGAAGAACAAATTATATTCTACAATACATGTGTAACATCTGTAGACTGACTGTATGGCTGCAGTGGTTGATTACGGTACATACTCAACTGCAGTGATTAGTAAAAAAAAATCATTGAACGAAATAACCTCCATCGTCACGAATGATAGTGTGAATTTAAAAAAATAGCTAACTAGGACAGAACTGTGCCTCAGTGAGTTTGTATACAGACGCCATTTGGAGAGCGAGTGTAACAAGAACGAAGAGCGAACGACGACAGCCGAAATGGAAGAGAATCAAACATCGGAAAGTGTCGCCGTGTTACCGGACATGTCCGAATCATTAACGAGCGAAACCGAGGAGTCGTCTGGACTAACGACTGAACACGAAGCCCATCCGGTTGCTGTTGCATCTGTTCAAGGTGTATCAACTGTCCAAGGGGTACCAGTATCGTTACCGGTTGGATCTATTATTGGCGTCGCAAATGCCAGCAATGGCACTTTCAATGTCATCACCACAGACCAGTTTCAGGTAGACTTGCTCACTCTATCTTGATAATCTACTATCATCTACTGTCACTATCAGCTTTGAGCAACCCTTGATCCTTGCTCAGGCTGATAAAATATTTTTAATCTAATATTCATTGATTATTATGTAATCAGTCTTTATATTATTGATTTATTGATTTTATTTTATCATTATATTAAATTGATCAAGTAAATTTTATAAAAATATTACTTTTTATTGCAGCAATTGTCGAACTCAGGCCAGTTCAAGCTATGCGTTGATAACGGGTTCCTGTGCGAGCCTCGGCATGAGAAGGAAGCTGATCCTTTGCGCTGGAACAACGAGATTAAAGCAACTCACATCGTCATTCAGAACAACGCCGAGGAATCTGAAAATGAGCAGTTACAAGTTGCCGCCAGTAATTCTCAAACTCTCTGTAGCTGGACTGAAGCAGCGAACATGGCAGTTTTACCGATAAGATGTAAAACAACAAACGCTGAGCTGCATAAAAGTAGATTTGGCTCTGGTGGTAGAGGAAAATGCATCAAAGTCGGGGATGAGTGGATGACACCCAGCGAATTTGAAAATCGCAGCGGGAGAGCATCGAGTAAAGATTGGAAAAGAAGCATTAGGTTTGGTGGCCGTAGCCTCCAGACTTTGATTGAAGAAAATATTTTAAAACCACATGCTACATCTTGTACCTGCGCTGCTTGTTGTGATGATGATACTGCAGTAAGTATATCATTTTTATTTTCAATATCAGTTTAATAAATAAATAAATAACTTTATAATTTTATTTCAGAGCGGACCAGTTCGTCTTTTCACTCCGTATAAACGCCGCAGAAGGGCGCGAGATATATCTGACGGTGAGACACCCTCAAGAAAAATAAAAAGCGACAATTCACGTGACTGTAGTAATAATGAAGAGAGCGATAACGATGTTGGGGTGTCAGAAAAAGAAATTTGGCCGCAATATGTATCGGCAGAAGGCCTTGTAGTTCATCAATCACAAGACCAAGAACAAGTTTTGCAAACCGTTAATGTCGATCACGAACAAACGGATGAGTTATTTAAAAAATTAGATGACATGGCCAATACCATGGTGAAGTTAGCCTATGACTTTAGAAGGACTGTAGAAGAAGCCAAAGAACTGAGTCATCAGCAAAGACGCGAACAAGCTTTAGTTGCTCAACTTAATAGTACTAGGGGTGATGTTATTGAAGCAGTTGGCTTACAGCCAGCATCTAATTCTCATAATAAAAAGGTATTTTATTTAATTTGTCGAAAATTTATAAAAAGTATAAGTTGATGCTAATAATGTTTGGGTTTTTTTTTGTTTTTATTTAGTGTGCCAATTGTGACAGACCGGCGATGGCTGAATGCTCAATTTGCAGGCGTACGCCATACTGTTCAATATTTTGTCAGCGTAAAGATTGGGCTGGTCATCAGGTCGAGTGCGTTAGGGGAGCTGAGACCGTAATGTTGATCGTAGAAAGTAGTAGTGCTGACACTGGGACATTGAACACTACTGAAGACTAGTAATTATAACTCGTTTGACATCACAATTATTTATTTTTTGTGTTCCTTGATGATCAGTCAAACAGTATTTTTCAGTGCAAATGACACTAATAATAATTTAGTGTAAGAAAACTTTATCATTAAATAAAATTTAACTAAGATTGTAAATAAATTTAATATTTTATCATTGTAATAATTTGTCAAACATAAGACATTAAATGTCACGTAAAAAATATTATCTTTATTCATCGTCATATTGATTAATAAAAAAATGTTTTTCAATATTTATTTAAAATTTTTTTTTTTTTACAAAATTAATAATTACCGTAATGCTTCAATCGATACAAATGCGCGCAACTTTTGTTGTTTGAAACACCGAGAAATCCACTATTGGGAGAAAAATCGATTGCCAGGGCATTATACATAGTACTTCTCTGTGTAGGGAAATTAGAAAATACATTGAATGATGGTAGATGCACCATTCTAAAAGCATTTTCTTTATGTTCGGATGCCATAGCCAATATTTCGCAAGTAGGATTAAATTTCAAAGATGTTATTGCAGTACTGAGGTTCTTAATTATTTTAGAAGGCTTTGGAATTCTCTCACGTAGAATTTCGTTTGTCTCGTAAATATTTACAATTCCTTGTTTACTTCCAGTGGCTAAAAATTGTCCACTCGGCGATACTGCAATTGACGTACCAGATATACAACCATCATCAATAGCTCTGTGTACGCAAAGCCGGCTATTTAAATCCCACACATATATTTCCTCCGTTTCTGTGACCAATAAATAATAATTAAAATAAATTCATAAAACTCATCAATAAATATAGATATAGAATTTTTCAATTACCTCCACTAGTTATTAAATTTTTACTATCCGGAGTGAACGTCGCGGCAATACATTTGTTATTCATCATAAATGTATGAATAAGTTCTTTCGAAAAGGCTGACAGTAAATATATTTGTCCCAGCTTTCCAATGACTGCAATATATTTACCATCCGGCGACACTTCAAATTTCTATTAATAAAAATGAATGTTAGTTTTAATAAGTTTCAAACTTTTTTTAGAATATTAAATAAATAATTTACAAATTTAACTAACCGTCATTTTTGTCACGCCATTCGGCAATGGAATTTTACATATTTTACCAGACATTAAATCATACAACTGACAATAATTTTTACGACTTCCAGCAATTATTTCATTACCGTCTCTCAAAAATTTTGCTGCATTTATTTTATAGTGTTCAAACTGTAAACTGTGTAATTTATTGTTATCTTGACCATCGACCTAAAATAAATACCATTAATAAGTAATTATTGTACGAATAGTGTGGAAAAAATAATAAAACAGACTTACTTTAAAAATCGACAGGACTCCAGATAAACCGGCAACTAAAGCAACAGTAGACGTTGGGTGAAACTGCAAACTAGTAACAACTGAACCTTCACTATGTGTTTCTGTGTTAATATCAGTGAGGGCTTTAATCTCAATAGTTCCACGGGGTAATTTTTTATCTTTCCCAATTTTTAATCGATTACTATGCTGAAGAAGCTCTTCATCCGATTCATCGGAGTCTTCGGCTTTTTCCCGGTCAATTTTCGCCCATTTTGGAGTACCGACAAGAGATTTAAATTTATTCTCCAGCAACTCATTGTAAGATTTCTCAGGTCTACCTCCTGGTAATTTTCGATGTTGAATCTTCAATGCATCCTTCACTCTAAAATAAATCAGGATATAATTAGTAAAGACCTAAAATTTATAATAAATCAAACAAAAATAAAACGTACGAGTAATTTTCTTCGTCATCATCAAACCAAACCCGTGTGCATTCTGGTTTATCTTCTTCAGCCTCATCATCATCATCATCATCATCATCATCATCATGACTGTCATCTTCCTTATCTTCATCACTTTCATTTTCCTTCGTCTTGTCATTTTCTCCACCCTTATCGCTATCATGCTCTTCATCGTCACTTTCTTCAGTTTTATCATTATCATGATCTTCATTATCTTCGGATATTCCTGAATCTTGGCCTTTGCTAGTTTCTTCAGTTTTATTGCTGACCTTCACATTACTTTTGTCATGTTTGGACAAATTTTTAAGAAAATCTTCAGAATCTTTGAAAACTACTTGTTGTAACCTGCAAATATACATCAATTACATTAGTCTAGTTATAAATCATGATAAAAGAGCAATTTAAAACTTACCTAGCTTCAACTTCTGGGTCATACTGTAACTTTTGTCTTTTGGCTTTACGTGGTGCCATTGTATTTGAATATTATATTAAATTTTTTTATTAATTGTCACAACAGACAAATTAAAACTCACGTGGAAATTTTCATATAAAAAAAAAAGTGCATGTTTATTTTTTCAATCGCTAGAATTTTTTGATTTATACGCCCCCTTACAGAAAACATGAACAATTAACAATTTAAACTCACTATTTAGCCCCAAAATTAACAGATGGCAGTAGCATGTAAAACTTAAATGCACCAACCGTTCAATTTTTTTAGATTCATTAAAGGAAAAAAAAATTTTTTCAAATAATTTGATTTACTTGTATAATCTGTATTCACAAATTTACATTTTTTTTTTACATATATTTATAGCTCTTTAGTTTTATCTAAAAAAAATGGTAAGTTAAAAAGATAAAATTAAAATTTTTATAACTAAATTTCATGGTCATTTAATTACAGTTTTTTTTTTCTCTGATTAAGCTCACAATGGATGAGAATTATTCTTTAAAATATTGCAGATTCATCTACTGACATACTGGTTGAAACTCAAAACTTAAGAAAATAAAGAGAAAAAATGAATCTATTTTTATCTATGAGATAATAAAAAAATACCTTAATAAAAAACAATCAAACAAAATACCAACAAGTTCGATGCCGATTATTTAAAAAAAAAAAAATTATTAAGTGAAATTTTCGTAAGGCGGAATTTCGCGAAATCTTTATATTACTTAATTAAAAAATATTTAAAACGTAATTCTAAAAAGATTATTTTTAATTTTATTAGTATTGTCACTTGAAGTCCTGTAACAAAGCGTGTTCATGATGTATTGGAGAGAAAGGTTCGTATATATACACTACATTGTTACCAACTTATAAGCAATAATATTTATACTGGAGATATTTGATTTTACCCACACATAAAAAAATTAAATACACCTTTACATACCTATACGTATATACTTTATGTGTTAGTAGTAATAAAATGTTAAAGCATCTTTAGGTTATGAAGATCTATCTAAATCCGCGGGAAACGCGTACCTACTCATTATTAGCGTTCGCGTTCCTTTCAGTCTTATCGATTGCCCGATGTTTACAATATATTTTAAACAATGTGATTATTGATAAATAAATAAATATTAATAAAATTAAATTATTTAAGTGATTGTTATAAATTTGCGGAGTTAAGATAATAGTAGTCAAAAAAATGAATTCTATGAATTAATTTATTAAATGTAATTATTTGACCACTCTATTTCCGCTGTTGTGGTTATCAAAAATATATTTTAGATGTTTAATACCGACTATCATTAAACAATTTATTTTTATATAAATACAATTCGTAGTGGTGATATATGATTATTTAATGAGCTGTGTTGAATTCAATTATGAAAAATTTTTTTTTAACTAATTGAATTTATTATTAAGCAATAATGGATACCACTAGTGATAAACAAGTAGAGAGCGATTATCATGATCATAAAAAAATGGATATAAATGGAGACAAGGTAGTTAAACTTAAAAAAAATGGTAAATTGTCTATTTCAAATGCTAATTCATCAACAAGTCGCTATGGTAGAACGATACGACACGTTATTCAATCGAATGACAATAAAAATATTGATAATCAGGTAACTTTATTATATTAAATTATTTTATTTTAATAGTGTTAATATATAATTTATGTAAATTTTTAAGATGACTGTGATGTATGGTAATTTATTTTAATTGTTTTCAAAATCAATTTATTGAAATTATTTTTTTGATAATTGCAGACTTTAAAGCTTCCAAAGCCAGAGCCTAAAAAAAACAATTTGTCGGTGAGAAAAAGTGATGGCAATAAAGTTGTTAGCAATAGTAATAAAGATGTGGAGATGAGTGTTTCTGATGATACTAGTCATGCGGGTGATAATATTAGCGTTGTATCACTGGAAACCTTAGAAGCATCAGAGGAGATTTTGATGAAAAAGTCATGGTGGAAAAAACCTGATGATACTCTGTGGAAGCCTGGACAATTAGCTTGGGCACAAGTTAGCACTTTTCCATACTGGCCGTGTGTTATTACTCTAGATCCTGATCTTAATCGATTTGTCAAGTGGAGAGGTGAGTAATTTAATATTATTTCAATCATACTTTGAGCATTAGATGCACTAAAATTCCATTTAGTGTCATAAAATTAAAAATAATGTTAGTTTCTGCTTGTTTTATTGAATTATTTATTTTATTATTTTAGCTTTTGGTAAATCAGTTAGTAACATGATTCATGTCCAGTATTTTGGTGACAAAGGACGTCACAATTGGGTTGCTGAGGCTTCATTAATGCCATTTTTAGGTCTTGCTAGCTTCAAAAAATTGGTCCAAGAGTGGTATGCTCTGCCAGACTCCGTCAGAAAAAAAGACCTCAAAAAAACAGCTGGATATAGGGTTAAACCTTATATCAGTGCGAAATGGTCAATCGCTGTTCAAGAAGCTGAGCCGTTGTTGGCCATGGAACTCGAGGAGAGGTTAAATGCCTTAAAACCCCAAAGAAAACGCGAACGTTCTGATAATAGCATTAATTTAGAAACAAAGAAAGTTAAATTAGATAATATCAAGGAGAAACCTAAGATTAGAATTCGCTTGAAGAATCCAAATATTGAGGTAAAGAATGGGGCAAAAAATAACTTGAAAAATGGTGTAAAGAATGGTAAATTAAATAGTAATGATAGCAAGAAACCTGATATCGATGACGATGCTAGAAGTGTTATCAGCGTAGACGGAGAAATTCCTCCTACACCACCGTCAAGTCATAAAGACTCGAGTGATGAGTCTATTGTCATTAGGAAAGTCAAAATAAAACGGATTAAGAAAGTCGTGGAGCCTATACCGAGTTTTGATATTTATTACAATCGTAACAAGGAAGGAGTGGCAAATGTATCACCCGACTCGACAGAAGATGATATAAAAACATATTTAAAAAAAAGTTGGGAGAACATGTCTGAGCAAGCTCGTATGAAATATATTCCCCAGGTGAGTGAACGCAGTAAGCAAAGTTCAACAGATCGCGAAACTAATTTTTCAGATGAACCTGCGCCCAAGCGCAAGAGAGGGAAAAAAAATAGTATCGGTAAAGACGAGTCTATTGTCGAGACGGTTAAAAAAGCTCGTATACCAAATTTATTTCGCGGCACAAAAGCTGAACGAGTTTGTCAGATTTGTGAAAAAACAGGTAATCTTATACGCTGTAAAGGTCCGTGTTATTCTCACTTCCATTTGAAGTGCGTCAAGCCAGGTGAATCGGAGTCTGAATGCAGCACAGAGGTTGAAGATAATGTCGACGATAAATCTTTGGAGAGTAGTAAAATCGATGATAAATCTGTAAAAAATAATAAAATTGAGGATAAATCTGTGAAAAATAATAAAATCGAGGATAAATCTGTGGAGAATACTAAAATAGAAAAAAGTGACTCGGTCGTAGTAGTTGATGAAGAAGAAAACAATAAAAAAGATAGTCAAACGGAAGAGGAAACATTTAAATGTATAGATTGTTTGTCAGGTGTTGCGCCAGCTTGTTTTGTATGCAATGAACGCGAAGACGAAAGAATAAAGTGCTCAGTAATGGCTTGTGGAAAACACTACCACGCTGCTTGCTTGAAGTATTGGCCGCAGTCGCAGTTACAAGGCGACAGATTAAATTGCCCATACCACACGTGCCACACTTGTATATCAGACAATCCGCAAAATGGGTATTCACGTGCTCCCAATGAAAAAATTATACGTTGTGTCAGATGTCCATCTGCTTATCACGCTTCAACGACATGCTTACCCGCAGGCTCAGAAATTATTACGGGAAGTCAAATGATTTGTCCGAAGCATTACAAGGCTAGTCATCCACCGCTAAATGCTACTTGGTGCTTCCTTTGTACCCGCGGTGGAAGTCTCATATGTTGCGACACATGTCCTACTTCATTTCACGCTGATTGTCTTGGTGGGTTTAATCAATAATCTAGAAAGAAACTTTAAATTATTTTATTAATATGTTAATTTTTTTTTTTTTTTTTTTTTTTTTTTTTTTAATAGGTATCAATGCACCTGACGGAGCTTTCATTTGTGAAGACTGTGAAACTGGACGTCTTCCACTTTATGGGGAAATTGTTTGGGTTAAACTCGGTACCTATCGATGGTGGCCTTCACGAATTTGCTTCCCTCATGAGATTCCTTCCAATATTCAAGCGGTATCTCATAAGCCTGGAGAATTCTGTGTTATATTTTTGGGTACTCTAAATTACTATTGGGTCCATAGGTAATTAATTTAAGTTCTGTTACACTATTTTTGTTATTTATTAATGAATATATTTATTAATTTGTTAATTTAATGTCAATAAAATTATAGAGGACGAGTATTTTTATATCAAGATGGAGACTCAAATGTCAAGAGTTCAGTCAACAAGTCTGGAGTTGACGGTGCATTCAGGGAAGCTTTGAAAGAAGCTAACGAACTCCATGAAAGATTGAAAAGTGAAAAAAAAGAGGATGAATTACGTGCTATAAAACCCCCGCATTTCGTTAAATTAAAGATAAATAAACCTGTCGGAAATGTAAAACCCGCAGATGTTGACAGTATTGTAGCATGTGAGTGTGATCCGAATTGGGACACTCCTTGTGACGCCAACAGTGATTGTCTGAATCGTATATTATCTATCGAATGCAGCCCCGGTATTTGTCCCGCAGGATCTAAATGTTGCAATCAATCATTTGCAAGAAGAGAGTATCCTGCAATGGAACCATTTCACACGCGGGCACGGGGTTGGGGTCTAAAGACTCTTGAAAATATAAAATCTGGTCAATTTGTTATTGAGTACGTGGGTGAAGTTATTGATGAAGCAGAATACAAACGTCGTATTAAAACGAAAAAGGAGCTTAGAAATGAAAATTATTACTTTTTAACCATTGATAACTATAGGATGATTGACGCTGAACTTAAAGGAAATTTAAGCAGATTTATGAGTATGTTTTTATTTATAAAATAACAGTAGCTTTATTAGTTATTGTAATTACTAATGAAAATAATTTTATAGATCATTCATGTCAACCTAATTGTGAAACACAAAAATGGACTGTCAATGGAGACACTCGTATCGGTCTTTTTGCTCTCCGTGACATTGAAGTCGGCGAAGAATTAACTTTCAATTACAATTTAGCTTCCGATGGTGAGAAAAGAAAACCGTGTCTCTGTGGTGCTCCAAACTGCAGTGGTTTCATAGGTTTAAAAGCTCAGAAATTGTCATTAACTCCTACTACAACAGGACCACAAATTAAATCAAAACGCGGAAGACGGTAATTCTTTTTATTTTACATAATAAAAACTTTATTTCTGACAACAATATTTATTTAAATATTTTCGTTTTCTGTCACAAGTATTCACCTAAATTTGTATCCTCATAAATGATAAAAATTTATTTTCAGTCCACGTATGATATATAAATGCTGGAGATGCAGTAAAGATCTGTCCGATAGAGAAGAATTTGTAATATGTGACTTGAGAACTTGTTCCAAAAGATATCATAAAAAGTGTGTCACAGTGCAAGGTGATGCTTCAAAATTCAGCTGTCCTTGGCATCATTGTCTTGAATGTAATAAAAGATGTAAAAAACATTGTACATACTGCCCTATAGCATACTGTCAAAGTGAGTTATTTTTTTTTTTTTTATTATATTCAATGCAATAAAGTTTGTTGATTTATTAATATTAAATTATAGATAGATAGATTTATTTACAACAGTAAGAACTGATTTTTACTATTTTGTCATCACAGTATGTTATTTTAATTTGCATCTTGATAAATACTTAAAGCTCTGGATCTAGCAGCACTTTTACTTAAATATTTCATATTGTCGTTAATATCACTTTTTACTAGATTTAAAATTTTAAATTTTTAGATTATTTTAAATTACATTAATATTAAATTATTTTAGATCATATAGAGGGAAAACTAAAAGAATATAAAGGAGAAAAAGGCAGTTACGTTTGCAAAGTTCATGAGGATTCGGACGATTTGGACTTGCAAAAATCACTGCCACCAGAAATCAAGGTTGATTCTGATAACGACATTGAGGCGGATCGAGAGTCACTGTTAGCAGATTCTGATAGTCCTATCTCCGAATTGTTACCCAAAGAGTCATCTCCACGTGTATCGATCGCGGAGGTACAGGAAAGTACGTAATTTTCAAGTAACGATTTAAATATTTACTTTTTTTTTTTTTTTTTTATTTTGCTATACATGTCATAGTCTAATAGAAAATTGTACCGTTTTTTTTAATTACTATTATTTTTGTTGAAGTATCAGTTTTATAGAATCTTTCTACTGCTTTTGATAATTAATTTATGGTTTTTAAAACATAATTAAATTAATGAAATCAAAATTTATTTATAAATTTTTATTTGTGAAAAAAAATATTTGATTTTTTGAATAATTCATTATCGATAGAATAAATTTTGATTTTATCATAATCATAGATTTATACTGAGGATAAATAAAAACTAAAAATTTAATTTTGAAATAACTACTTTTATATGTTAATTAAATAATTAATTTTTGTTAACCAAAAATATTTTTTGTTGGCATGGCATACATTGTTTTTAATTGTCATTGTAATTTTAATAAGTGGTTGAAAAGTATAATTGGAAAATTGTTCTAATTGTTGTTTTGATTTGTTTTTTTAACTGTAATTAATTTAATGTTATTTTTATATTTGTAGGCTTATCAATTATTATAATTTTATATTAATATAAGCTTTTTATGAAATTTAAATTTTATCACCAACAATATGTGGAAAAAAAATTTTTTGTAGGTCCCAACAAACAGCGAAGACAGCGAAATCTCGGTAAAAAAAGACAACGAAGATAATAAAAATTGAGCGATACACAATCGGAAATAGCTAATATTTATAATGACGATTAAAGACTTACAAGAAACTTCTAGGCAACAATTTAAATAAAATAATAATTGACAGAAAAATTATAATTGTATTATAATGGAAAATGATGTGGTGTGAAAGTCTTTAGGAGAAGAAATTTTTGAATAATAATGAAATAATAGTTTTTTTAATAATTTTTACTTAGAACTTTTGTAATTTGGTTTTAAATATTGTGTTAAAGTATAATGAATAATATAATCAATCATAAATATTCTCAATTTTCAATTACAAAATATAAATTTTATTATATGTACACTAGTAATTAAGGTAGTTAAATTACAAATACTTTTTTAAAAATTGTGTTAATAATAATTAATTGACACAAACAGATAAAATAAAATACTTCAGTCATTAATTAAAAATCATTATTCTGTGTTAAAAAATGATAATGTTTAACAAAATAATGTTAGTTTTTGAAAATGAATGTAATCCCCGAAATAATTTATCACACAAACTAATTAGCTTGCACATTTTCTCATTTTATAAAAACAATCATCTTTTCTGCCCTCCAGCCGGAAAGTGACAACTTTCTGTCCGCTGCGCTAAACAAAGTTGCCACATTCCGGCTACGTCGAGCAGAAAAATAGTATACACACCTTGGCCTAAGTATGTAATATACTATTTTTAACAAGTAGAAATCAAAATATATATTAAAAAATTTATTTATTTGCAAAAGTTGTATAATTCATTTTTACATTCTCACAGATCATGAGTATCACTTTTAGCCATATTTTTGTTACTGATCTTACAATCACTAGTATCGCGGTTTTTAATATTTATTTCTTTTAATTTAAGTGAAAAATTAGGTGATGTAACAAATAATAAGATAGTTAAAAATTGAATATATTAAAATATTAACCATTGTAAAGAAGAAAACAAATTATTAAATAGTTAAGATTCAATAGTTCGAAAAATAAGGTGATGTAAATTTAAAATTAACAATTCAATAACATAAAAACATGATGATGAAAATTTTTAAAAAAAGTTTTACTTTTATACACGCGCATCTTTACCGTAATCTTGATAAAGTTTTGGACTTTCTTGCACTGGTGATGATGCACTATTCTCTGTCAGAGTAGTGTTTGTTGAACTACTATCCGTCAAAACAGTTACTTGAGAATTTGAAGCTACAGACGTTACTTCTTCTGCAATAAACGATCCATATTTTTTTCTTAATACTGGTGCGATAAAATTTTGACCGGTCGAAAAGTCGCGTTTTATTATTTGTGGCTAAAATATAAAATAAATCATCAGTATTTATATTAAAATAAATAAATTAATAATATTTACTTTTGGTTTTGAAGCTGGGAGAGTAGCACCAGTAACTAGGCCCAGAATACTGGCAGCAAGGCCGCTAAGTTGAAGTGCCGCAAGAGGTGACAATCCTTTACGGACCAAACCAAGTGCCAGAAGCGCGGCTTGTGCTAGTATAGGAGCCGCGCCTGCTGCACTTACCGCTGCACTAGCTAATTTACCGCCTCCACTACTCGGCCCATACGCAAAACACAAGTTGTGTCGATCAACCATGTGTTTTATTAAAAAATACAACAAAGCAAATGGTGTAATTAGCGGACATGCCATACTGTACACCGTTGTCATTGTAAATACAAGTAATAACCACGCGTAATGTGCACCTAGGGGAAATTCCCACACTACAGCTTTTCTGACATAAACACGTTCGGCGCGACTTCTTGCTATACAAAGTCTAATTGTATACATTGCTAATTCCGGAAATCTTACTAGCTCAAGACCACATCCGAATAAAGATGCTGTTATTATATAATTCACAAAAAGAGCACCCTGAAAAATTATTTCAGTATTAGTTTTCTGTAAATCAAAATTAGATTTATAAATTCTAAATAATGTTTGTTTATCAAACCTGATCAGCTAAAAAGATACATTCCCATTTGATAGTTGTGTTACCAAAAATATTACGTTCCAAAACAGCTTGAGCGCTGGTTAATCCCAAACTTGGCAAAATAAGGACCATGAGTAGTAAAAGTAACAATGTTTTTTTCATTATTGCGTTATTGAGCCCACTTCGAGTCCAGTGTCTAACTAATAACTCACTGCGTCCAACTAGTACTGGCATAAGAGCCGTTATACTTACAAGCATGAGAGTCGGAAGAAACGTCGATATTACTGAACCTAAATTTTGAAGTTCGGGAGTTATATCTAATTGATCCAATGCTGACATTATGACCTATAAATTAAAATTAATTAATAAATAAATATATATTTTTTAAAATACATAATTGATCATTTTTAGGATTAAATTTAATTACAGCTGGTGTCGTTACGAAGAATAGAAAAATAGCCAATATTAAATTGATAAGAATAGCATTGAAATACCAAAAAGGTGTTGGTATATTTAAATTTTCCCAAAAAATATCTGAAGGCGCCGGAGCGTAGTTAACTTCCCATTTGATAGCTGGAGCTGATCTTAGCTGTCTACGCATTGTCCGAGCAGCTCCAGGTGTACCTAGTCCATAAATTTTTAACGTTAAATTTTCATCAGTACTATTTAAGTACTAATAATTGTAGCAATTAATTTACCTAATGTTACAAAAGCTATCCCCAGAGGCTTACTTAAAGCGACTTTCTTTTCTTCTTCAGCTAGCGCAGTCAACCGTATCTCTTCGGCTGTATAAAATTCTAAAGCATCTACTTGCTTTTTACAGCAACACCCAACTACTTGTCCACATAAGTGTGGATAAAGTTTTATTGGCTCTTTTTTTTTATTATTATTCTCACAATATAGTCGAGCCTGCTCAGCACAGTCGCGCTGAGCTTCTAAAATTGACAATCTTTTAATATCATGAGCTAGAGTAACATCCTCTACAGTCAATGTCGGAAATGCCTCTGTAAAATACTCTTTAAGACTATTGACGTTGCATTGGTGCTTTGGGATTTCGCTTATTAATAATGTTCTAGCTGCCAGTTCCCCAGAAGGTCGAGCATCACGAACCTATAGATTTAATACCGTTAATACTAAATAAATAATTTAAATAAATGACTAACGGTAATTATTTACAAATCAAAAGTTGGAAAAAAATTTTTTTTTTTTTTTAATTGTTCATTTTTTTTATGTATTTAAAAAAAAAAATATATATATTAATAAAATCAAATAGAAATTTCGTTTTAAAAAATCGAAAATTAAAATGCTTGACCCCACTTGTAAATATTTATTTACCTGACTGCTCAATTAAATACCTGCTTGGTGAATCTTCTCATTACATAACTACCAATAGGTAAATATGACATAACAATAATTGTATAAACCCACATCCAATTTGATTTGGCATCAACATTGGATAAAGTTGTCAAACTAAATGTTTCATTGCTATCACGACGCATAGTCCCACTATAATTTATTGGTAGTGCTACACACAGGGCAACAACCATCATCATAAATGTTAAAACGATAAGATGACGTTCAAATGTTACATAGAGCAGTCCATCAGGGCCTGCTCGTCTTAATAATTCTCTGTCACTGTAAATTACAATAAAAATTAATTTAGCAGATATTTTATAATTTTTTTAATAAATAAATTATGTCAAAGAAAATGAGAAACAAAATTGACGTTTAGAAAATTAAAAAAATACAATTTTTTAGAAATAATTTTTCGGAGCAAATTTATTTATTAACAAAAAATTAAAAAATGGTCAATCATTAGATTACAATACATTTTAACTTTTCTTCTATCAATTTATAAATTTTTATTCAAGCCAACGTAATTGACGGAAGTCTCTCATTGCCATTAAAACAAAGAACAAAGTACTTACTTGACTTTGAAAGCCGTAACAATCCACGAAAAAAATCCTCTATCATAAGTTGACAGTTGAGCACTCGCAGAAGCTTCGGCAGTTTCAGCTGTTTCTTCATTGTCGCCGAAGAATAATTCCATCCATCTATTATCTGATTTGTTTAATAATGCTAAACGCCCGTAATTCCATGCTTTTTTTCTTAGCAAGCCGAATAATAATACTAAAAACTGCAATAAATAAATATTAATTAATATTGATTCATTGTAGTGTGACGTAAAAAAAAAGTTTTGTTATTAAACTCGGTAATAAAAGTGAAAATATAACTCATAATAATACTCACAACAAAACCAATTAAATTAAATAGAAAGTTTACTGGAATACCAGCGTAAATGTCTGGTATAATTGTCTGATTAAATCTCCGTGATATAATGCATGTTTCGACAGAAGGCGTATAACTAAAAATAGATAAAAATATAAAACAAATTAATGTCATTTGAATTAAATCAAAAACAGCGATAACAATAAGCGACTATTGGACAAGCAATAATATTTCATTTATTGCCTGCAATATTGTTGTTATTATTTTCGTTAATTAATAAAATAAAAGTTTCAAACTTACTTTGCATAAGATTGATTATCAAAATCCATCTTTATGGTTTTAATTATTAAATTTCTGATTCAATTATTAAATATAATAAACAAACCATGTTCGGTAACATGTGTCAACATGACAGATCGTAGAGACCTTTCTAGCTGACGGTATTGTTTTCTTTGTGTCAATTTTACTTTTGACAGATCTAAGATGGAATATTACACTACATAATAAAAATAAATATTATTATTATTATTATATTATACTAGTAGGTGAACCATTATTTGCAAATATAGATACTGTACACATATTGGTCTAGATCAAATCATCTGTGCTGCCTTCTTGCGTTTTATTTACGTTATGTGTATTTTTGGATCGATATTTATTTTCTTTCTTCTACGTAAGAAACTACTTTAAGAGACCTCTTTTATTTATTTGAAAAATTGCCGCGTTACAAATAGTTGAATAAAAAAAAAAAAAAAAAACAAACTTATAATGAAAAATAAAAACTTGCTAAAACAATCATAATTATTAATAATAAACTTTTTATGACTATCAATAATTAGTATATTACATAAATTTCAATATTAACATTATAATTTTAAATATTAAACATTAAATTTAAATTTATTTTTTGTAAAAATTATTTAGTTAATTTTTTTTATACTTATAATATTCTATAAAAATATTTACAAGTCTTTGATTCTTTACAATTAATTACATTATTCATTTTCAGAAAATTCTTGATTAGCAAGCTTATAAAAATATGAATGGACGTCGTCTAATAATACGTTTGGTTCATCGAATTCTTGTACTAGACCACCTTCCATGACTAATACTCTACAAATAATAAAAAATATAAATTATAAATAGTCTGATAAAGTGATAAGCTTACAGTTAATTAAATAAAATAAATTTTACCTATCACAATGCATAATGGTCCGTATACGATGAGCTATAGTAATAACAGTGGCACTTCTAAAGGAAGACTTTATTGTTGATTGTATAGCTTTGTCAGTATCTGGATCAACATTTGCCGTTGCTTCATCAATACAAAGTATCTGTAAATTACATAATTATTAATTACTGTAAATAATTATTAATTTAAGCGTACTCACTCTAGCATTGTGCAATAATGCCCTGACTAAACAAAAAAGTTGCTTCTGCCCAGCACTCAAGTTATTTCCATTTTCTTCCAGCATCGCACCTAATCCACCGAATCTATGAACTAAATTACTGAGCTTGCACTTTTCAAGTGCTTTATAAATTTGAGTATCCGGGTACTGATCAAGCGGATCAATATTTTCACGCACCGTACCAGAAAAAATAAATGGATTTTGCGGTATAATCGATAGACGTGACCTCAAAGCATTCAATTGTAAGTTTTTAACATTAACATTATCAATAAGTATTTCACCGTCGTCAATTTCCACAAGTCTAAATAAGCAATTAAATATAGAGCTTTTTCCTGCACCAGTGCGTCCGACAATTCCGATTTTTTCCGAAGGTCTCGTTATGAAGGAAATTTTGTTCAACGACGGCGCCAAGTGTTCTCGATACTTGAGAACAACTTCTTTGAATTCAACAACACCCTGACTAGGCCAAGCGTAAGGAGGACTATCACCAGCCGAATTTTCAGTCGGGACATTATCCAGATACTGTTTGATCCGTTCTACTGATATCATTTCTCGTTCTGTTTCTGTAAAAACGTTCACCACGCCAGACAAAAGTCCCGTAACTGACAATGCATACGTGATTGCAAGACCAATTAAACCTGGATCTGCAACGTCAAATTGATGCTGCAAGACTGCCATCACACAGACACCGCCCAGGAGTGCAATGGCAATAAATTGCAATCTTAGTCCTAACCATTGACCAGCAGCAATTGATGCGAAACTCGCTTTTTGATTAGCTTCTAAATATATCTCGTTTTGATGCTTGAATCGCGGCACCACCCGAAATGCTCTGATACTATTCAAACCTTGGAGAGTTTCATTGAAGTGAGCGTAGAGAGGCGACAGGGAAGTACTTCCAAGTCGTTTTAATTCTCGAGACGTAAGTCTATAGTGATTTTGTATCCAGTGATAGATTGGGACCAGCGGGGCTAGTATTAAAAATATCCATGGTAAACCGTAAGCGGTTACGATTATGGTGCCGATTAATGCAAAAAATTGGGCTAATAGTATATTTGCGACGAATGGAAGTGAGTCGTCTGCTGTGTAAGTGTCTGATGAAAAACGATTTAATATTCTTCCCAGAGGCTGGGAGTCAAAGAAACTCGTTCGGCCACACATTATTACTCTCAATAATTGCTTGTGGATTACTATGGCTGCGTGGACACCTCCGTAAGCGAACATAAACGCGCGGATAAGTGTAAAGATCGAATTTACAGAAGCCAAAATCCCGTAGATCGTTAGATAATATTTAACAGTATTATCAGCATCGAAGAATGCTTGAAGTAATTCCCTGGGAGGAGAAATTGTCGAGTGGTTGACTGACACGTTGGAGTGAGTGACCCAGAATGAGAGCCAGAGATCGGTGACGTTCTTCGAGCTCTGCATCAAGAGCATCGCTAAGAATATTGAGATACTCAATGAACGCCCAATGGCAGTTAAATAGGCGCCGTATACTCCGATTCTCACAGTGCCTTGCTCAACAGATTCTTCTTTCAAGAGTGAGTCACTGACACCATGATAATCTTCTATTTCATTCAAGTCTTTAGAAGAATTAGTTATTGATTCTACTTCTAATTTGTCTGACGACTCTGATGACAGTAAATAGTCCTCAAAATCACGCAGTACTTTATTTGGAGGTCCTTGTTTTATTATTTTTCCTTTAGCCATTTCTATTACCAAGTCGGCGTGAATTAGATACTGCGTCTGGTGAGCGCACAGTATCCGGGTTTTATTTTTTAGTAGACCAAGAATTACATTTTGAAAGATGTATTTAGCGACTTTAGTATCCAGCGTCGCTAAAATGTCATCTAACAGATAAATATTTTTGTCAGCGTAAACAGCACGAGCCAAAGATATCCGGGTTTTTTGACCACCACTCAAGGTACTACCAGCTTCGCCAATTCCTGTCATGTCTTTTTTAGGCAGACTCATCAGCTCTTCTGTCAATGCACATGCTTTGAGAACTTTTTTATATTTATTGTACTCATAGTTCTTGCCGAATAAAATGTTATCTCGAATGGTCCCGCGTTGAAGCCAAGGATTCTGTTTTACGTATCCGAATCCTTTGTCCAGCTCACTTATCGCAACGATTCCATTTAATTTTGTTATTTCAGCCAAAATTCCGTCTAACAGCAGCGATTTTCCTCCACCAATTTTACCCATCACACCAATCAGTTGGCCTCTTTTTATTTCTACATTTAAATTTTTTAAAGTGAACGCTCTGTCAGTTGCGAATGTTACTGTTTTTGTTTCTTGAGACGTCGACGGGTACGGTAATATTTCATCTAAATTTTCTTCGTCTGAAAAATTTTTTTCTGGTGATCCATTCACAGAAAATGTTACATTTTTCAGCAGAACATCAATTCCTGAAGGAGGATCTGAATAGTAAGTTGAAGTTTCCAAATCTGTTAACTGTAAAATAAGGTTGTAAAATTGAATTATCATTTTTAGTTTAAGATTAATAATAAAATTTTTATTTACATCTAATAGTCTTTGGATACGCTTCACTGAAACCCATGCTTCTGTAAGACCATTCAGTACCCATGGAAAAGCATTTAAAGGTCCGATTAGCATGTTTAATAATGCCATACTCGTAAATACAGTTTTAGCGTCCAATGAATTTCCAACAAGAACATATGTTGAAAAAGTAAGGATAGAAATTAACACAGGCGTCGTTGCCCAAAAATATACACACAGAGCATCTAAATATTTACGGCCTTTCAAATATCTTATTTCACTTTCTCTAAGATCTGAAATTAAAAAATTTACGTGAATTTAAAATCTAAAAACATAAAATATCAAAAACAAATTAAAACTTACGTAAAATACTACGCAAAAAATGTTCCTCCCATACATTTAATTTAATAGTAGTCATGCCTCGCAAAGTTTCTCCAACTAGTCGCACCCTCTGGTCCTTGAACTTCATCATCTTGGTACTGAGTATACCTATTTTATTGGCAATATATTTATTTATCGGTATCAAAATAATAGCAAAGCTTACACCGGCGAGAAATGATATTCCAATTTGCGTGTAAAGAAGATAAAGAGTTACGACCAGTTGCAGAGGAATACTCCAGAGTGTATGAAAGCTAGGACAACTGTTGACGATTCTGTCGCTGTCTGTACTCATAAAATTAACTATTTCTCCCATAGTAAATTCTTGGTTTAATTTTACGCTCGAAGAGTGCAGAATTTTGCGATAAACTAGAGTAATTATTGCACTACGGATTTTCAATCCGACGAGACTCATCCAATACGTGAAATGTGCTGTTGTAAATGCTCCTAAAATATTTCTTTGATCAAAAAAATGGCATTAAATAATTTAAAATATTATTTACCGATAACAGAAGAGAGAAACATTGCAGATGCGTATAAATATCCATAATAAAGTGGTTCACTTTTATCTTCAATAAAGCCAACAAGTTTGTTCAACAAAATCGGAGCAATAAAACCTGAACAGTCTGCTACGAATTTTAAAATACCAACTGCATAAAATTGCCATCCGAAACATTGGTGCAATAATTTTAACAATGATATATTATTACTCGACGACTCTACTTGTTCTCCTGTTTCATCTTGCTCAATATCAACGTAAATATTTCTTTTTAATCTAGGCTGAAAATAAAAACAAATTTACAATTAAGATTCAAAATAAAGTATCAATAAAAAAAAATTTTTATTACCGTTTTTCGAATATTTTTATCGATGCTATACACAATAGAAGCCGTAGTAACTGATTCAGGAAGATCGTATAAATCATCAGCGTGCTTCAATGATCCTCTTACTCCTTTTTCCATCAAAGGTGTCACCCAGTAGAACAAGAGCTTCGAAAAATAAGTTTCATTTTCCATAGCAGTCCCGAGATAATTCGGATCCTGGTCACTTGGAAAGTGTACGTATGAAGAAGAGGGTGAGGATAATAGCCCCGTATGTTCGCCGATCTATAATTCATAAAGTTAAAATTATCATAGTCAATTTTGGTGATAAATAATTTAAAAATGTAAAATAAACCTCAGTGTATCTAGTAGATCGATCTGTAGGAATTTTACTTGGTAAAAGCGTCAGAGCGTACAAAGCCATCAAAGTAACGACGCAAATACTAAATCCGAGCGATAAATGCGGTAATACATCATCTTCATCATGGTGTTTGACATGAGACCGTAGCAGTAATGCAGACACACCAATCAACATAAATATCAGTGCTCTGATTATTACTGGTCCTCGTAAACTGAACCGTGGTCCTCGTTTCAGGGTGAGAATAAAAATAAAATGAATTACCCAGGCCAGTCCTTCAGTACCTGCCACAATGTAATCAATCGGTTTCGCTGACGTCGCCTGGTTACTTGAATTTTTAATTATTGGAGTATTAATTAAAAGAACTTCTAAGGAGTAAATAATTATTTTTTATAGTCTACCTGGGAAGAAATGTACCATTTGCTGGCACTTTATCATTATGAGAATTTATTGGATCTATTGTTGTGTTGGTGAGTATTATATATGCTCTTATTATTGGAAGAGTTATCAGGCATGAGGTTATCATCAATCGCAAGGTAATAGCATAGTGGGAAAATGATATTCTGTCATACGAGTATGGTGTACTTTTTTTTCCGCAGTAGTAAGCTGATACTATTGCTAACAAAGCTAACGTTGGAACCTGAAACAAAAATCAATATTTTTATTAATTTGTCAATAAATAAATAAATTGACAATAATTAGTGGTAATTGTATTTAATAAATAATTTACTTGTAGACATAATTGTTGAAAACACAAACTTAAGTCATTAGTGGCAGGATTTATAGGATTCAGACTCGAATTATTTCCACATAAATTAGCCCAATTCCAAGTCCATTTAGTTTTTGTGAAAATTTCTAAATTATCCATACTTTGATTTTATCAATCCTGTGAAAAAAAATTATTTTACTATTTATATACAAAATTTATAAACAAAAGAATATTTTGACAGGTGAGAAACAATTGTGTTTTTATGTAACAATTATTCATTGTTGATTAAAAAATACTTGCATTTATTTTAAGTATTTACAATCTTGGAGAACTATATATAACATAATTAAATTTTAACCACACTATTCTGTTCCAATAGATGAAAAGTTTTATGAACTGAAATCTTGATAACATTCAACTTGTTTGGTTATGTTCATGGTCAATGACTAAGTAACCGGACGTTTGCTGACGATTATCTTTATTGGGTATAAATAATTTTTTTTTTTTTTTAAATTGACTTATTAATAATTTATAAAATTAATGTTTTTTTAAAACTGCTGATAATATTAATTTGATTACTATTGAGGTAAATAATTAAATGTGATCAACGATTATTGTAAATAATTACAAAAAAAATGAGCATAGTTATTGACAATAACGAGTAATGCGATAAGTATGAATCATAATTAATTTTTTTTATCAGATAAATTTTTTTTATATGATATTGATTTCAGAGTTGTTTGGAAGTTGAACGTTTAAATTAATAGAAAAATATTTTTAATGGATCAGCTGTCAGATCAAGAAATAATGAAGCCAATAGTTCACGTTGATAATAGTAATAACGACAACAATCAAGAAAAAAATAATGATATTGAAGAATTATCACAAATTGAAGGTGAAATAATAAGTGTTGTTGCTGAATCAACTGCGAGATTCAAATGTCTTCACAAAAATGAACCGGAGTTGACAATTGACGAGAAGCGAACAATTGCTAGTAAATTATTGCATAGAAGTCCGGACCAGTTTCTCGCACGGTTTGGTAAATTTTTGAATAATGACCTGTTGAAATATTTTGAGACTGATGACATTAACTATGGCGTTGCTCATTACGTTAATAAGTTACGAAGGTATTTTAATAACGCTAGTAGAGAATTAGATACGAAAAATAGAAGATACGAAGCTTTGAAGCTGTTAGTTGAAAAAGGAGAGTATTTTAGTGAGACTGCAATGATGAGACGCAATCCGTTGCTCTATCAAAATTTAGTTGGTCAGTATCTCACTGAAAAACAAAAGAAAGAGAGAGACAATGCTGACACTGACAATGATGACAAAACTTTTTTGGACGTCCTGATGCAGGGAATTGAGCGTGATCATATTGAGAAACTAATGAAGAGGCAAGAAGATGCTGAGAACGAAGTGATGGAGGAAAATGACTCTGATTCTGAGTCTGGTGATGAAGATTGCAAGCTTAAAGAGAAACCTGATCTCGTTAAGGATAATTGTCAGTGGGGAGAGTTGCCTGATGGTGGAAAAATATCTTGCAGTAAAACTACATCAGGAAATTATTCTGATGAAATAGAAACCGAAAACCCTGGAAATAAATTGAAAGGAAAAGAAAAAAATATTAAAACTAAGGAAATAAATATTTTACGTCGAGAATTTATTACTCATATGTATACTAATTTTTTAAATGGCCACGACGTTGATTTTGACTACAGGTAATTTTATTTATTATTTTTTATGATACTGAAATTGAAAGTCATCTGATAATTTTTTTCAATAAATAAATTATAGCAAGAAAAATTATTAAAAAATTTTCATCTTTAGAATTTCTAAGCAATTTTATAAATGCAATTTTTTTAATTTAGTTTATTTTTCAAGAAAAATAAAAAAATGATCAAATGTCCGCTAATTTCAATATCATTATTTTTTTAACGATACTAGAGTTAGCCGACATTTTAAATTTTTTAATTTAATTTTATTTATGAAAATAAAACTAAAAAAATATTTTTTCAAAATTGCACTTAAAGCTTTTGAAATTTTTCAAAAATGAAATTTTTTTTTTTAATTATTTTGTAACAATTTTTGTATTATAAAAAATTATTAAGATTTTTAGATGTCGGCTAACTTTATTTTCATTATTTTTAGATTGTATATTTTTAATTGTTTTTGTAATATATCTATTTAAATTTTTATTTTTTTTAGTACTGTAGATGATAACGAAGCGTATGATAACGTTGAACTAAGGACACAAGATGAAGAAGAAAAGTACTTCGACTCGGAGTCACCGGAATTGATTAATTCCCCGAATGTCAACCAATTCCAAGATGAGTCCGAGGATGAATTGGATAAATATATGAACTCCTTGAAGGTCCATTAATATTTATAGTAATATTTAACAGGATTTTGTTTTCCACTGAAGACTGATGGTTTATTATTTCATTTAGGAAGAAACAAAAATCACCCAAGAACCACCTTAGAAGCTCAACATATTCTTCAACCATTATTTTATCTCACAATAACTAATTTTGTCCTTAAAAATAAATATAAAATATTTATAAAACGATTATTGAAAAATTAATTTTAATTATTTTATTCAAATATTACCCGCGAAAAAAAAAAAAAAACACCAGTGGCGCCTCTTCAATGACAGATTACATTGACAGATAGATGATATTATTTACATGTGTATTGGTGTGATTATAATTGGAGCCTGGTGTATACAGGGAAATTATAAATTTTATTTTATTTATATATAAGCAATGGTATGTAATTTATTCTTCATTAATTTTAAGAAAATCAATTTATTTATGCATGTATTATTTAATACCAGTGGCTTTAAATTAATATAACCGATCTTGAGTAGCATGTTATAATATTGAATGTCAGAGGTTACGTATCAATGATTGACTATCATCAATTAAAATCATGTAGTTTATACTTTTAAAAACATCTGTATAAAAAATTATCAATTATCATTTTTTGGTTTTATTCTTATTTCAATTAACACACTAATTTTAATCCTTAATCTAAAATTTTTAGTTGGTAAAAAACTGTTATTGGGTGGTAATTACTAATTAGAGATGATACTGAAGTTGAAAAACGTTAGAAATTTTTTTTTTTACAATTTTATAACACTGAAATTATTACGAAAAAAATTTAATAAAAAAATTCCATACGTGAAAATTGATAAAAACTATTAATTAAAATTTTTTTTATTGTAATTGATTTGTTATAAAAATTAAAAATTAAAAAAATTAACAGTTGTCATTTAATTTCAGTATCATAATTAGAGTTGTATTTATTTGATTGGAAGTAAGAATAATTTAGAGAAGCTAGTGTAGACGTAATGCATGGTTGATTTGGTTGGCTTTACTAGCATGGATACCTGGTATTTTCCTGGTAGGTATCATTATTTTTTTCTCAGCCAATGACGCCTGTAATGTCGGGACTGGAGGAGCAGGAGAAGCTACTCGAGGATGCTATTGGGGTAGTCAAGGTCCAGGCATTTCAGATGAAGCACTGCTTAGACAACGCTAAACTCATGGATGCTCTGAAACACGCCTCTACAATGCTAGGCGAACTCAGGACGTCGCTTTTGAGTCCTAAAAGTTACTACGAATTATGTATCCTTTTTCAACTTTTTGTAATAATTTGTTCTTTAAAGTGATTAATTAAATTTATAAAATTCCTTACATTATTAATGAATAGATATGGCAATAACTGATGAGTTAAGACACTTGGAATTGTATTTACTTGATCAATATCAAAAAGGAAAGAAAGTTACAGATTTATATGAATTAGTACAATACGCGGGAAATATTGTCCCTCGTTTGTAAGCATAATGTTTTGATAATTATGAATGATAAATGATAATTAAGTTGAAATTAAAAATTTATATTCATTATTTTTAGATATTTGCTCATTACTGTTGGGCTAGTTTACATTAAGACAAATCCATGCTTGAAGAGAGATCTACTGAGAGATTTAGTTGAAATGTGCCGTGGAGTCCAGCACCCTTTGCGTGGTTTATTTTTACGGAATTATCTACTGCAATGTACGCGAAACATTCTGCCAGATGTTATTGAAGGAGATGATGAGGAGGGAACTGTTAGTTTTATTTATTTTTTTTTTTTTTCATTTTATTATTAAGCTCCGATAAATTTTTATTCAATATTTTATTCCCTAGGTTCGCGACAGCATTGATTTCGTGCTGATGAACTTTGCTGAAATGAATAAACTGTGGGTGAGAATGCAACACCAAGGTCACAGCCGCGATAAAGAGCGACGTGAACGGGAACGAGAGGAGCTTAAAATTCTTGTTGGGACTAATCTAGTGAGATTATGCCAACTCGAGTCTGTGACACTTGAAATTTATAAGAAACTTGTGTTGCCGGGAATATTGGAGCAAGTTGTCAGCTGTCGAGATGCTATTGCTCAAGAATATCTTATGGAATGTATTATTCAGGTAATTAAAATTTTTTTTAATGCTTTGAGTAATTTAATTAATTAATTATTAAATAATAAGTTTTATTTTCAACTTACAACATATCATAGGTGTTTCCCGATGAATTTCATTTACAAACGTTGAATGCATTTTTAAAATCCTGTGGAGAGTTACGTAATGGTGTTAATGTCAAAAACATAATTATATCGTTAATTGATCGTCTCGCTACATTCAGCCAACGATCAGACGGTGTAGGAGGGCCTGGAAGTCCTAGCCAAGCTCCAGGAATCCCACAAGACGTTCAATTGTTTGATGTATTCAGCGACCAGGTCGCTACAATTATTGAGGTAAATTCCTGTGTTTATTTTTAATTGATTTAATATTTCGAAAAAAATTACTTGATGATGACTAGATACTACACAATCGTTGATAAAATTTCTGTGATGTTTATAAATGAATAAATGAATAGCTCTTACTCATCTAGTTTAAGTCTGAGGGTGTAACTTTTATTATTTATATTATTTCTCAGTCTTTTATTTTTTTTGTTTTTTTTTTTTTTACATTGTATTTTTTGTGTTTAAATAGATAAGGCAAGATATGCCACCGGAGGATATTGTTTCATTGCAAGTAGCATTGATAAACTTGGCCCATAAATGTTATCCAGATCGTGTTGATTATGTGGACAAAGTATTATTTACAACTGTACAAATTTTCAAGAAGTTAAATGTGGAAAAGTAAGCAGTTTAATTAATAAATATTAGTAATGATTTATAAAAATAAATGAAATATACTTTTTGTTTGTTATTTTATAGGCTGGAATTCAACAGCGCTGTTTCGAGAGAGTTATCCAGACTGATGAAAATACCTGTTGACAATTACAAAAATATATTAACAGTTTTAAAATTAGAAAATTATGCGCCTCTTCTAGAGTACTTTGACTTTGAAGGAAGAAAATTGTTGGCTGTTTATATTATTACAAATATATTGGATAATGAAACTATGATACCCAGTCAAGAGCACGTAGACTCGGTTTTGTCAATGATTGCACCCCTTGTCCAAGACCAACCGGACCAGCCGAATATTGAAGAAGATCCCGAAGACTTTGCTGAAGAGCAGGGCCTCCTTGGTCGTCTTATTCATCACTTCAAATCCGACACTGCCGATCAACAGTATTTAATTCTAAGCGCCGCAAGAAAACACTTCAGCGCTGGAGGAAACAAAAGAATTAAATATACTCTTCCGGCGATTGTTTTTCAGGCTTATCAACTTGCTTTTACTTACAAAGCCATCAAAGATCAAGTATTTTGTTTTATTTTTTTTTTTTTTTTTTTGTGATTAAAAATATAAAGTTGTCTGAGTTCAAGGTATTTAAGATTAATTTATTTTTAGGACGAAATGTGGCAAAAAAAGTGTCAAAAAATATTCCAGTTTTGTCATACATCAATTACAGCTCTAATGAAAGCTGAACTTGCAGAACTACCGCTAAGATTGTTCCTTCAAGGGGCGTTGGCTATCGGAGAAATTCGCTTCGACAATTTTGAAATGGTCGCGTATGAATTTATGAGTCAAGCTTTCTCGATTTACGAAGACGAGATAAGCGACTCCAAAGCTCAATTAGCTGCAATAACATTGATAATTGCAACGTTCGAACAAATGAGTTGCTTTAGTGAAGAAAATGCTGAGCCAGTGAGAAATCAATGTGCTCTGTACGCAAGTAAATTACTAAGAAAACCAGATCAGTGTCGTGGAGTAGCTACTTGCTCTCACATATTTTGGTCAGGAAAATCTTTAGCCACTGGCGGGAAAGAGGTACGCTCTATTGATTATTAATTTAAATAATTAAAAATTTCTAGGGCATTTAATTAAAATTGATATTGATATTTTTAGATGCAAGACGGGAACAAAGTTCTTGATTGCTTGAAAAAGGGGATCCGAATCGCCAGTCAGTGTATGGACACATCTGTTCAAGTACAACTTTATGTGGAATTGCTAAACCATTATATTTATTTCTATGAAAAGGGAAATTCTTCTGTGAGTGAAATATTAATTGTAGTATTTTAAATTTATATTGTGGTTAATTTATAATTATTTTTATTTTCAGGTGACGGTGCAAATTCTCAATCAAGTAATAGCAAAAATAAAAGAAGAATTACCGAATTTAGGAGTTAGCGAAGAGACGGAACAAATTCAAAAACATTTGGCTAATACGTTAGAACATTTGAAAAATAGAATGAAACTTTCAGAGTCTGAGGCACTTATACAAGCGTACAACGATCTTGTTTTATAATCTAAGTAAATTTTTTAATTAAAATCTGTGTAATTTTGTAAATATGCAATTAACTACAAATTGGAGTATAAATAATTGTAGGTTCAAAATTTTTTATTATGGTTGGGAATCTCTTGGGTACTAATATTTAATAAATTTATTACGCATACAGTTATTTCACAGCTACTCCTGTTATAATATGAATGATGATATTGTTATTATTATTCTTTTGTAAATCGATAGTTTTTAAGCTCATTATTATTTTAAGAGAATTTTTGATGAACAAAGTTGACCTTTTAAAATATTTAATCATAAAAATATATATTGTAGTTTATAAATTTATATTTGTGACATTATTGTAATAAATATAATTTACAATTATAATATAGTAAAGAAATTTTATTATATTAAATACAATTGAATTTTAAAGTAAAATATACAAAGAAATATAAGTAACATAAAATACGTTTTTACAATAAATATTTTTTTTTTTTGACTGAAAAAACTATATTCTTCTTAAACTATTACAAGAAAAAAATTTAATATAATGATTGGCTTATTTATTTTTAAAATTAGTAAATACATTCTTGAGGTTGAAATTAAAGGAATAAAGCCATCTAGAATATTCTGAGCAAGCGAGTAGGAAGTACTTTTTTTTGAAGTAATGTAGCAGCGACAGGCTTGATCTTAACATATCATCTTGATGATATTTATTTGCTCTACGTCTCGCAATATTTGATACCTAGTTACAGCTAAAACAAATAATTTTCCATTATTATTTGTGTATTTGAGACAGGTGATAGTGTTACGAATTAATCCTAGTAATTCTTGGCACTTTTTCTAATCTATTATTAAACAACCACTAATTTTATGAATTTTCAAAAATAAGCTTTAAATAAATACTTTACTAAGTTGTATATGAAATCGGCTTACTGATATTATTACTGCGTTTGTTTTAATATTTACCTGTTATTGATTTGAAAAATAAATACTTAATCATCATCGCCGTCGTCATCGGATGGAACAAATAAATCATTTTCTTCCAAGAAATTGGCTATGTTTTTACTAATTGTTGCTCCAATAAGAAGCCCCAGGGATACTCCAGCAATAACTCCAACCCACCCAAGTGGCTGGGTCTTAGGCTCAGGAAGTATAGCTCCGGATCTGGTAGTTATTGAACTCGTTTGCGTGTGGTATTTTAAATTTGTCATCTTCAAGCTATTCAATTTCCAGAATACTTTTCTTAGATTTGAGACCGACATTTTTTCAAAATATGGAACCACTTATTTTAAAACTTTTTATTCACTGTTTATTATCCGGAATAAAAACAAGCAGATAATTATTTTTAAAAATAAACCACGTCTGTGTAAATATAATGACAGTGTCAATTAAGTACAAGGCTATAAATAAATCGTTTAATTAAGCACCTAGTATTTATAATTAAGGACAATATTCTTGAATTAAATTATTTTTCACTCAAATATTATAATTTATTGTTAAACATAACCAGCGCGGTCGAGTATCTTTACACGAATTAACATAAAACGCAAATTTCACCCGTATATATCTCTCAACTACATTAAAGGTTGATTCGCAAATTTTCAAGCACCTGAAATAAATATAAATAAATATATATGATTAGAAGGATATAAAAAGATTTTATAATAAATACCTGAGAGTATTTTAAGTCTTGAAACATATGATTGCGGAAAAGCGAAAAATTTTGTAAAAAAATAAAAAACTAAAATTATTTTATAATTTTACATGAAAATCAGGCTGAATATGAAAAACGTATATATTTTTATAAAAATTAATATGTAAATAGTCATCTAGGGAGCACCACTGACAACATAAAAAAATTCTGAACTGTCTTTCTATTCGTTCTATTCGGGGATTTCTGCATCAAAACCAAAACACTTGTTGGTCCCGCCAAAACCACGTGTATTATCTATTATCTGAATTTGGATATAAAGTTTTAAATTTAAGATCAAAAATTAATAATGGGTCGGTCGAGAAGGAATAAACCTAAGAAAAATTTTGCTGAAAAAAGACGTGAAAAAAAAGAAGTAAGTATTCTATGTAATTGTTGTTTTAATGACAATTAGTTGGTTATGTTTGGTAGAGATGTCTAAAAACTGTTTTATGTTTATTTAGAACTCAGGACAATTCAAAAAATCACTGGGTCGTTACAATGATATTGTCAGAGAAAACAAAGATTTTGAGACCTATTATAAAGCTCAGAATGTTATTCCTGATGATCAATGGGATGCGTTCATAACAACAATAAGGGAAAACTTGCCATCAGCTTTTCGTATTACCGGGTCTCAAACCGAAGCAAAAGCGTTGCTGAAAATCATCAAAGGAGATTTTTTCGAGGAAATTCTGAATAATAAGTTGGAGGGTGAGAAAGAAGTGGCCAACGAAACGGAAAAAATGCGACCCAAGTCATTGCCATTTTACCCGAATGAACTGGCTTGGCAGCTACAGCTTACACGTAAAGACATCAGACGCTCGGAGGCGTACTTCAAGTTGCATAATTTTTTGATTGCTGAAACCAGCAGCGGGAACATCAGCAGGCAAGAAGTTGTCAGCATGATTCCTCCATTGGTGCTGGATGTCAAGCCGGATCATAAAGTTCTGGACATGTGTGCTGCGCCGGGGTCTAAAACTGCGCAATTAATTGAAATGATTCACGCGGATGAGGGTGTTGTACCAAAAGGATTCGTCATTGCCAATGACGTTGATAACAATCGTTGCTACATGCTTGTACACCAGGCCAAACGATTGAACAGTCCTAATATTCTCATTACCAATCAGGACTCGTCTATTATGCCTAATTATAAAATTACCAACCCAGATGGCACTCAAGGAATTTTGAAATTCGACAGGATACTTGCTGATGTTCCTTGCAGTGGAGACGGAACTCTGAGGAAGAATCCAGACATCTGGACCAAGTGGTCACCAGCCAACGGGAATAATTTGCATGGCATTCAGTACAGAATCGTGAAACGAGGACTTGAGATGCTGGCAGTCGGAGGCAAACTGGTTTACTCGACTTGTTCATTGAATCCGGTGGAAAATGAAGCCGTTTTGCATCGTATTCTCGCGGAGACTGGTGACTCTGTCCAGCTGGTCGACGGCAGAGATTTAGTACCTGGACTTAAATGCAATCCTGGGGTCAGTACTTGGTTGCTGGGTTCTAAAGACGTTAAGTTCTACAAGTCTTGGGAGGAAGTACCTGAAACTTGGCACACGCAAATCAGACCTAAAATGTTTCCTCCTAATCCTGAGGATGCTCCCAAATTTCATCTCGAGAGGTGTATGAGAATATTACCTCATCATCAGGATACCGGTGGATTTTTTGTCGCATTGCTGCAAAAAGTTAAGCCGCTACCTTGGGAAAGTGAATCGGCTATGCAGGGGTCGAATCAAGATAAAGAGAAGAATGGAGAGGAGATTCCAAAAGAAAGTATGGATGTAGAGGATGAAAAAGAAGATGACAAGAATGACAATAATAAACGTAATTTGCAAGATAACAAAACTGCTCAACCTGAAAGGAAAAAGAAGAGAATTTATGGATACCGTGAAGATCCTTTTGTTTTCTTTAAGGATGATAAAGAAGATGTTTGGGAATCTATTAAGTAATTTTTTTATTTTTAATGTTATTTTTTTTTTTTTTATTTATTATTTTGCAAAATTAATGATTTTTTTTTTTTTTTCTAGGAAATTTTACAATATTTCAGACGAATTAGACCCCCGTTGCTTGTACGTTAGATGTCATGAGGGTAAAAAGAAAAATATTTACTTCACTTCTCCAGAAATCAGGGATATTATTTTATTAAATGAACATCACATTAAAATGATTAATACGGGAGTTAAAACATTCGTCCGATGTGATAACAGAAACATGAAGTGTGCTTTCCGAATGGCCCAGGAAGGCTTGCCGAGTGTTATCAAATTCATAAGCGACAATCGTAAAGTAAAAATTGGTCAGGCGGATTTGGTAATGCTTTTGCAGAATAATAACCCGAAAAAGCCTCCAGAAATTGAGCTGCTGAGTAAAGAAACTCAAGAACGACTCAAGACTGTTGGTAAGAAGTATTTTTATATTATATCTCTTAAATATACGGCTTTTAATCATTTTATTTAATTTATTTATTTTATTCTTTAGACGCTGGTAGTTGTATACTGATGTACGAAGAAGAAAATTCTTCAGATCCGTTGAGATTGAATCTTGTTGGATGGAAAGGAACAATTTCATTGAGAGCCTACGTTCCTATTAGCGACACAATACATTACTTACGCCTGCTCGGAGCTGATTGTTCAAAATATGGTAATGACAATTTTTATTTTATTATATAAAATTTATATTTTTGATATAATTAATTTTTTTTTTATAAATTGCAGAGGTAAATAAATTTGAGCAAAACAGAATTGCTAATAAGGCTAATGAAAATGACGATTCGTCAGTGAAAGCTGACGCTGACGAAGGTGAAGCTGATAATAATGACTTGGCTACTGAGGAAGATTCAGGTGCCATAGACGAACAGATGGAAGAGGTAGCTTAAATGTATATTTAAAGTTATTGTGGTGAGCTGAGTAATTTTATATTTTTTTCACGTGTCTTTAATTTAAGGTCGTGTATAAAATAAATCCATTTTAAAATTCATTAAATGTTTATTCTATTTATTAATTTAAAACAATAATAGTGAAAACTGATTTTATTAATCACTCAGTCATTCGCAATATTAAGCAAATAAAAATAACTAAACTGGTTCGGCCGGATATCGAGGTATTTTTATTATTGTTCACATTATTTTAATTTTATTTTATATTATTAATTTTCATTATTGCTAAGCAGTAATGGAAATATTAAGCGTATCTAAAAATGAAGTTTATTTAGTGTGCGATATTTCTTCTCAATGGACATAAAATCTTTTTATCATTTTTCTTACATAAGTATATACTTTTACACTTTTTTAAATAATTTTGGATATTGACTAATTTCATCACTAAAGGACGGGTTTGACTATCAAAAACATTAATATACATATATAAGTATATAAATATGAAAAACATTATTCCAAGAGTAACAAATATATAAACTATAAATGAAACAAAAAAAAAAAAAAAAAAAATAGTTTCAAAAATCCAACCGAGAATTAAGTTCTCTGGTAAACTCATACAATTCACAAAAGTGAATTGTATCAAATTAATGTTAGTAATCTCTCCCGGTTGGTGAGGTTATTTTTCCACTCAAATTTTGTGACTTTGACGGCGATTTTGTGCCTAAAAAAATTATTTCTATTATAAATAACTAATTTAAGACTATATTAAATAATAATCATAAAATATATACATGTTTTGTTGATTTTATTCCTTGGGTTATTTGGACATGGGTTCTCTCCCATCAAATGATCTTTCCATTTATTTTTATTCACCAAAATCCTACATAGTGGACATCGCTCGTATCCCTCAACTGGTCCTATAAAATAATTAATTTAATTAATAACATATTTATTTTTTAGACATCTATAAGTACGTACTCGTGCACGAGTCATCTTTCGAATGCTCCGAAAAAGATTTTTCGACAATAGCTTGTTTGCAAGTATCGCACTTTACGTAATCATTTCTTTGGTCACATTCGCTCAACAAGTGAGAATTTAGATGCGATATTTCAACCACTTGTTTACACAATTCACATCGTGTCAGCATTGGACAAGTGCGCCAGTAATGTATATTTAGGCCTTCTTCAGAATATCCTTGGCCTTTTGATAGACAAAATATGCAACACCTAGAAAATTTATTTTTTTTTTATTTTTCTTTTAATATATTACAAAATTAAATTTTTTATAATGTTAAATATTGATGAATTTTTATTCTCATTACTTATCGCCTTTGTGATCGGTGCTGTTATCCGACGGTGACGTGACACTTGTTGAGCTTTCTGTGCTAATTTGTACTGGGCTTGCACGAGACGGTGATTTTGTTGAATTAGTAACATTATTATCGATGGACTTGGTACAAGTTGGAGTAGTTGTTGATTTTTGCGTCGATTCCATTTCTTTTTTCCTCTAAAAACATCAATTAATATGTCAGCAAGTAATTAAATTATAAAATAAAATAAAATTTTTTTTTTTAACAACTATTACAATAAATTTATACCTGAAGATCTATCCGATCAAATTCGTGGTACAATTGACGATACAATAAATTTCTTCTCGTAATATCGTCATCAGGCGGAAGTTGTTTGCGAACTAACCTGGGATTTATTTTATAAACAAGGACTAAAATTCTTTCAGAAACTTTTCTTACAGCTTCTGCTGGATGGAGTAATCCGGAAGAACCAAGGTCGGATAGTGTGCGACACGTTAACCCACTGCAACAATTACAATGTCTTCTCAGAAAACAAGCATACTAGTTTTAACAACTAATTAATTTTTCGAGGCAATGTTAAATTTTTAAATCTAAGTTGGTAATTATTCTACTTAACTTTTTAAATTTAACATTCCTCAAATATCTAAGTGCTACTTATTTACCATGAAAAATATTAAATAATTTAAATATAAATAATAAAATTAAATCTAATGAACTTCTAATCACCTCTGCTTGTCTGTAGAAATACCATGATTGAGAATTAACTGCTCTACCATTTCTAAACGACTTAATGCTAATCTTTGATGTGTACTACTCAGTATTGGGCGGCTTAAATGGACTGGAATAATATGAAGCTCTCGGACGCACTGGCAATCAGCCATACTCAAGATTGTATGTACTGCCATGTTATGAATTCGCGGTGTTGTGTCGCCGGACTTAGTTAACAATTCAGGAAGCAATCTATCTACACTACGAGCTATCTCTGTTGAAGAAACTCTAAAAATAAATGAAAAATAATTTTAGTTAACTGCTAAATAATTAATAACTACAGAGGTAAGTTGGACTACCTATTGGTGGCAAACTCAGAGAAAAAAATTCTTATTAATTGCGCAGCTAGGCTATATACACTGAACACTTTGTCTCTGAGAGCGCGATGCAACAGTAAAATAGCAGCTCTCGCAGTCTTATTCGCCGAATGCTTTGAAACTTCAGGGTCGAATTTTTTTAGCTCTTCTTTCAGAATCATAAGTCCTTCTTCTTTGTCCATAAATTGTTTGGAGTAAAATTTTTCCACCATCTCCATTCCGAAGACAGTTATTGGTAAAGCAGCCTGTTTCTTCTCTCGATCATTTAATTTTGAATTAACTTTTACTTCACTTTCCAAGTGACATTCTCGGGTAAATTCATTAGTATGAGAACTGTAATTATTTATTTAATAAATTAAAATTTACAAATATTCAAGTTATCATTAAACTTACTGTCGAAGAGCTGGAATAGTTCGTTCTTCATAAGCTTCATAACTAGACCGCAAAGAAGGACCCGCTGATTTGGTCTTTCGTCTCAATGATCCAGTATTTCTATTAATTTGTCTTTCTAACACACCATTCGGCGGACTATCAGTAATTTCTACAATAAAAAAAGAAACAAAATATATTAATTTTAATTAAAATTAAAAATTAGTTTAAAAATAAACAAAACTAGGAATTAATATTAACCAGCTAGCACTTATATATATATATATATATATGATTACAATAATTTCAATAATTTATTATTACATATTTAATAGCCGTTAAATCATTAATAATAATCCTAAGTACTAAATAATTTATGTACATTGCCGATTGGCGTTTACCTATTCTAATAAATAAATAAATAAATAAATAAAACTACCTGGACTATGAGGTTTTTGATGCAGCGGAGAAACTGGGGGCTGATGCGGAGGACCAGTTGGTGAAAGAGCTCCTTCACGGTTCGGTGGAACAACCAAACGAGGTGGCGACAAAATATCTTCTTGTACAGCTGTATTGCTACACGCCCCAGCGTCACTTGAAGCCGGCTCTTTGCCGTCAATCGTTGATACATTATTTTTTTCTAACGGCTGTAATGTTAACGTCTCTCTAAAAATCCATCTCTTACACTACTTACACCATCATTAAGACTTACCCCATCGACTTCGAGTAAATCATTAACTTCTAAGCTTTCATAAACCTCCTGCCTATAGTGTTGCGCTTGAGCTTTTTTTGCTTTCGCTTTATCGTAATCTTCCAACGCAATAGCGTACTTTTTTTCCAGCTCATACTTGCCAAGTCTTTCTCCTGCTTTTCTCAGTATTTCCATAGCAACTTTTAATTTTGACGCATATTCAAATCTTTCTTCTGCTTGAAATAATAAATATAAATAATTTTTCTTAATTATTTAAATTAATTGATAAATTTAAATCTCACCTTCAGCAGCTTGTAATTTTTTATTTTCCATTTGCCGAATTATTTTAGCGACTTCACGATCGACATACATTTCAAAAGCTAAATCATCATAAGGTGACGTGTAATGAGGATTGTAAGGAGCATCTTGGTTATTTACGTCTTGTGTACAAGGCTCACCAATAATATTTATAGCAATAAGTCCAACCTGAATTAAATACTTATATCAGTTATCAGTAATACACTCCAATAAATCTTATTAACAAAAGAATACAAAAGCCTTTATGTCATCTTTTATTACATTATCGAAATTACGTACCTGCTCGTGAACATTGTGAGTGTTTTGGTGAGGCTTGTGTAGCCTTAACTTCAATGACAGGGCTTTCGTCTCCGGAAGTGCAACGCTCTTCAGCTCACGGCTTTTGTAAAGTGTAGATTCATTGTCTGACAACGTTATGTAGCCTAAATAGTTGAAGGACGTATTGACAGAGGCATTTTCTTCTTTAGTCGTCCATATTTCTAATTTTTCCGCTGGAAAATAATAACTTAATTATTCACCGCCATTTATATTTTATATTACAGAATCTAGAGCAACTATGAATATTTCATCATGCAATTGTAGATAGAGAAATGTAATTGTAGCTTGTGATTACAAAACTATTACTTTAGATTCGCGTGTGATCTATCAGCTCAAGGCTGTTCTCGTGTGAAATTGGACATTTAATTAATCACTTATCACTCCGGAAATCGAAAAATTATTCAAATAAACGTTTTAGTTTACTTTTTTACTTACGTATCAGATATTGGTGTGCTAAAACTTGGATCCTTGTTATTTTAGCCGGTGCATGTAAGCGAAGAATTAATTCCTGGGGATACCCGCATTTTCGAGCACTCTGCCATCCTCTCACTGTTGGTCCATGGACGTTTAACTCAAGACAGGAATGTCTTTCATCTTCACCTGTTTAAATAATTTTTTTTAAATTAATTTTTTATCATAAAAATTTCAAGCGCATGAATGTAAAATAATTTTTAGTCAAATATTTTTATATAATTTTTTGTCTTAAAATATAAAACTGTCAGACGTCAACTATTTTTAGTATCAATATTCTTGATAATATTTAAATTTTTCATAAAAACACAAGAATTGACAGATATTTTAAATGAATAGGTTATTTTAATTTTTTATAAAAAAAAAAATAAAAAGTATTGAATAATAATTATAAGTGAATGTTTAATCATGTGAACTTACTTGAAGCATATATGACGTTGAATTCAATCTTTCTCGGCATATTTGCGAATTTAATATTGTTGATAACTTATATTTATCAAAATTTATATAAATGGTTAATTATTGAATAAAATTATTCTTATGAATTTGATATTATCCGGATGATAAACGTGAATTTTAAAAGGCACAGTCATTTCAAGCTCAAATGTGTCTTGGGTGCTGCTGGCAAATAAACCCCGGCGCAGAGCCAACCCGCACAGATAAGACGTCTGATCACAGCTAGGCTTGCGCCACAACTGAATAATACTGCATTGGCTCTCGTTCTATTCCCTATTATATCTTAGACCCTCGCATTATTTTGTTAATATCTTCTCAAAATTTATTATTATATTTGTTCAATGTTTTTTAAAAGTTATATTTATTTTCATTACCATTTTGCAAGGTGTCTTTTTGACTAGATGTAATACAGTCGGTAGCTAGGCAGCAACGTTGTTTGATGTTGAATTTTTTTTTTCGCCATATATTTGCTATTAATATTTATTGATGATAAAAAAATTGATTATTTTTTTCACATTAGCAAAAAAAGGAGTGATTGTAGCCGTGTATGTTTGAACTAATTATCTGTAATTATCTTTGGAATAGATACCACAAACATTTTTTTATTAAGGGTAAAAGTATTGTCTAGCAATAATATTGCATTCATCCCTTGATTTTTGGACTAAATTATGCCGTCGACTGTTGATGGATCAATAAGTGGAGGCTGCGTGACGTCACGAGGGTGCGGCGAAGAGCGTCGTGCCTTGTGTAAATCGTTAGGCGTTTAATTTGAATATTTTTAAAATCCACGTGATTATTTTATGAATGAACCTGTCAAAAATTTAACAAACTGTGCCAATTTAAACTATACAGTTTGCTAGTTAGACTAATAATTTATTTTAATTGATTATTTTATACTAAAATTTATAAATTTAAAGAGCAATTTTTTATTTAAAAAATTGTACTCATTTGTACAAATTCATAACAATTATATATATAAATAAATTTAGCAGATATTAAATAATTTTTAGAATTTTTTTTAACAAATAAATTATGGCAAAAAAAAAAAAATAGGCATGTAGAAATTTAAAAAAATAAAAAATGCAATTTTTTAAAAATGATTTTTTGAAACAAATTTATTTGTTAAAAAAAAATTAAAGAATTCTCTAATGACTGCTAACTTTAATGTCATCAATTATATACAAAAGGTGGAATGCATTTTAATCCATATCTTCATTGGTATTATGATTGGTATCGAGTATTTTTGTTAATTTTAAGTGGTAGCAAAAAGGTAAACAAGGCCTTTGACAAATTGGATTATTTCGGAGCCACCCAGTTTAGATTCGCCGTATACTCGATCGACAAATGATATGGGAACCTCGCCGATTGTATAACTAAATTGACGAGCTCTTACTATCATCTCCATTTGAAATACGTAGCCTTTGGATACGCAGGATTCGATCAGTCGTTGTAAAACATCTTTTTTGTACAGTCTGAAATAATAAATATTGTTAAAGAATTATTGGAAATTTTACTTATTAAAAATTCTTATTCAATTAATTGTACCTAAAGCTGCCAGTTAAATCACTGACTCCTGGTCTTAGAAGGATTTGAGTAATAAAATTAGCACCACGACTTATGAGCTTTCTTTTGAAATCCCAGCCATAAACTCCGCCACCATTTATGTACCTAGTTCCTGTAACAATATCGTAATTGTTCTTCCTCTGTAACTCTATCATAGGCGGAATAAATTGAGGCTGAAATATAAATGATAACAATAGTAACTATTTAATTATAATTAAAATCACGTGAGAAAATTTTTCAAATCTTCAAACATTAATTTTTAATTATTGATTTTTAATAATAAAAATCTTTGATGACAAATATAAATTTTGAAGTAAATAAATTATGAAAACTTACATGGTGTGACAAATCAGCATCCATAATTATTATAAAATTTCCTGTTGCATGTTTAATACCATGAATGTAAGCAGTACCGAGTCCTAGCTTTTTCTCTCGAGGTCTCAGAAGTATTTTATCTTCCCCATAAAGTTTTTGCAATTTCTGAGCAATCTCCAGAGTACCATCCGGTGATCCATCGTCGATAATTATTATTTCATATGGCGAACCACTGTAAAAATTTTAGATGATAATTTAGCAGATATTTAATTTTTAGGGCCAGTTTTTCAATCCGAGATAAAATTGTATCCGATGCCAATAAATATCTAGCTATATAATTCATACCTATAGATATATGTACAAAAAGAATAAGAAAAAAATATTGACATGTAGAAATATTAAAAAATTATAAATGCAACTTTTTTAAAAATAATTTTTCAGAAAAAATTTGTTTATTAAATAAAATTAAAAAATTATCACGTGACTGCTAACTTTAATAATGTCATAAATTTTGGAGTAAAAAAAATTATTAAATTTATCTCATTGATTTTGTGTACGTATAAGTGAGGTTATGTTTCAAGTACTTACAAGTCGTCCATATATTTGACAATAAGCCATATAATTATTGGTAAATTTTCAACTTCATTGTAAGTCGGTAATAAAATTGAGTACTTATCATTTGCAAATGATTTAGTTGTCATTTTAAATGTGTTTTATTTACTATTTTTATTTATACCCGTGTTTTGTATTTTTTGTATCGTGCCGATGACGTTTCGACTTTTGACGTAAATATCGATACCAACAACTAACATCTGTTACATATACACCAACCAGTGTAAGGGGTGTGTAAATATGCACTGGGTGAATAGGTGAATGTGTAGGTATATAAGTACTGATGTATACGTGAGTACACCTACACTATATACATATTCAAGATTATATGGTTTTGTGATAAAAATAAACGGGAGTTGAAAAGTATGTATTTTACGTGACAAAAAAATTATTTTCGGCCCAAGTAATTCTAGATTATTTTATTTATAAAGATTTTATTAATTTAAAAGTTAATAAGAAATTGTGATGTTTATTTATGTTGTATTTTTGTACCTGTAGCAATGATAACTAGTCAAGTGCTCAATCTGTCATACATTTACTTTCATTAACCTCACCTGTATGTTAAAAATTAAAATTGTAATGTTCAAACTAGAATTTTTAATAAAAATAAATGTGCTAATTGATAAAATTAATTGAATTAATAGAAAATAGTTTTAAAAAATGGGCAAACCAACAAAAGTGGTTGTTTGTGGAATGAAAGGTGTTGGAAAAACGGCTATGTTAGAACAATTAATTTATGGAAATGTAACTTCTAAGACAGTAAGTATTAATGATACCAAAATGAGACAATTGTTTTTTTATTTTACACTAAATTTTATAAACAATTTATGTTTCATAAAGAGTTATATTAAAAAAATATACTTAAAAATTGTTTTGCAATTTTAAAAATTTTTTTTCTACAACCGGTATATGTGAACAAAAAATATTAATGAAACTAAAATTAGCCGACAGCGAAAAATTTTTATTTTTTTTTTATTAATTTGTAATTTGTAATTTGTAATTTATTGACAAGGCCGTAGGACAAGGTCCTCTAACGGCCTAAAGATAATACAAAGCAGGATATGTACAGATGAAATCTAACAAAATGTAAAATAAGTTTAACATAATTAATAATATTTAAGGTCTCTCAACGTCAATTAATATTGAAAAGAAAAAATAGTCAAATGAAAAAGTAAATCTTAATTGCACAAATTATCACAATAAAATCAAGAGAGTTATCTATGCATAAGTTGACGACTGAATGTCTCTAGCATTCCAAATATAAGTATATCACACACAGGAAAGAACTAAGGCAGCGCACTTGCGACCTCAGTTCGCTCTATAGCCATGAGATGATTATAGCAGCTGGTTTTAAACACTGCTAGAGATGTTGAAGTTGTAATTGCTGACGGTAAAGAGTTCCAAAATGCGGTGCCTACGATCAGGAATGAGTGCTGCATTGAAGTTGATGTGCGAGGAATTAGCGCAATAAGCGTATCAGTCCGGTTATTGTCTCTGTGCCGAGCAACGTTGTGATTCATTCTAATGCGCTCACACAACAAGGCATTCTTGTTTAACATCAGCATGCCGTAGAATATGCAGCCTAACAGATACAACCGGCGGTTGTAAGGTGATAGCCATCCGAGGTCAAGTCGAGGTCCACTGATATGCTCTCCACGTCGCTTGCGTAATACAAATCGTGCACAATTATTCAACGTAACCGTTAGCTTTTTCTCAAGACTTAGATTTAAGTTTGTAAGAGCCACTGCACAGTAATCAAAGACAGGAAGGACCAAGCTGGTAACGAGCTGCCGCTTCAGATTGATGTTGAGTTCATTAACCGATTTACGAAAACGATGCAGCATCCTTGACGCAGTATTACACGTTCTTGCAGTCTGATCCGCCCATGACAGCCTTGGATCAAGCATAACACCCAGATACTTGAAGGTAGCCACGTACTCGATATCTTTGCCATCAAGGACCAGGGCTGGTGTCTGATCGAGCTGAATGAGATTCACATTAATTGAATAGCAATAAAAAAATATTTTTAAAAAATTGCACGTATATTTTTTAAAATTTTCTACATGTCCAATTTTTTCTTTTAATTTTTTTCTTATTATTTTATTAATAAAAAAAATTTTTTTTAATTTTCAGCTGTTTGTTAATTTTATTTTCATAAAATATTAGTGCGTTTTTTTTTTTTTTTTTTTTTTTTTTTTTTTTTTTTTTTTTTTTCTTTTTTTTTTTTTAATAAAAACATTGTTACGAAGACAATTAGTTTATAAAAACAAAAAAGTGTCTAGTGTTTGTTATTTTACATATAATTATTGAAATAACAGACATTCAGTAATTTACTTGTTTTTATTTGCAAATTAAATGTGATAAAAAAAAAAAAAATAAGGCGCGCAGTAGCCTATCGGATCCGGCCCTTGCTACCAAAGCATTGGACCGGGTTCAAATCCGACGTACACCAATGAATATTTTCAATATTTAAGTGTATATTATTATGCTCAGCCCAAGAAATACAAACGAGTTCCAATCTCAAAAGTTTACCTCCTACCGTAGTCGCTCATGACCTTAGTAGTTTATGCGACTTTAAACAAATTAAAAAAAAAAAAAAAAATAAGTATGAATATTTTCAAAAATTCTTTATTTCATTTTTTAAAATTTTTTCGAATCTATTCTTGACATGCTAATTTTATAATTGAATTTTATGAATTAACTAATTGTTTATAATTTTTTTTTTTCAGGAAATTCACCCGACAATAGAAGATATTTATTCAGCAAACATTGAAACCGACCGGGGGACTAAAGAAAAGGTCCAATTCTACGACACAGCTGGATTAGAAGGGCTGCAGAGCAGCGCGAGTAACCAGCAGCAGCAATTAGCACGTCACTACCTCGGTTTCGCAGATGGGTATGTTCTAGTTTATGACACTGCCAAACCGGAGTCGCTTGACGTTCTTATTCCCCTTAAAAAAGACATTGACAAGAATAAAGACAAGAAAGAGATAATTATAATCGTGGTAGGAAATAAATCTCGCACTGACACCAGTCATGACAGCTTAGAAAACACCGCCAGCAAAGCTGTTAACTGGTGCACACGTGAAAAGATAAAACACTTTGAGGTAAATGTCTTGGATCGAAATAGTTTGTACGAGGCGTTTGTTTACTTGTCATCAAAATTGAATCCTGTACAAAACAAAAGTTCATTTCCGCAGTTGAGTATGGGCAGAAAAACTGTCAAAGCTGAAATGACATGATTATTTATTAAATTTATTTGTTGATAATTTTTAAAAGACATTACTGAGATATATTTAAAAAATTTTTATTATATATATTATTTATCACACTTTAAATATTTTATTTTAATAGATCTGACTATTAATGCAATGAGATCTGATTTTATAAAAGCATTTAATGACAAAAATAAAATGTACCAGTATAAGTAATTTGATTGAATAAATACATATTACTTACTTAATAGAGTTATAGAGTCATAAAGTTCATAGTCATGCATAATATCTATTAAAATTTAATGGGGTAGTTGATTAGAAAAAACTTTGTTTCAAGGTTGGTTTGTTTTTTACTTTTTGATACTTTGTAATAAAGATTATTTATAGCATTTTATTTATTACTGCCTTAATAGCAAAAATGACCTTTTGGCATCGAAAACTTTCGTTGATAAATTAATGCAAGAAAATAAATGAGTAATGAAATTATTTTTTTAAATATTATCAAGTCATTTATTGTAGATTAAGCTTTTATTACTGGTACGTTTATATTTAAAGTTATGATGATGGCAAAGTACTTATTACATAAGTAATAAACATTAGTGAGTTTGCACAACGAATACAATCAGTACAAAAATTATAAAATTTGCTCCTTATTGTTAATTTTAATTCATTTTTTGATTTTTCTATTGTAGTTATAAAAAATTAAGTAGAATAGTATTTAAAATTTTACTTGTTACGTATATTGTACTTAACTGTTAAACTTATAACTATCAATTAATAAATATGTATTAGGGTGTATAAAAAAAACCAAAAAATTTTTGTTTTAAATCATTGTGAAATTTTGTCAGAGGAAGCCAAAATAAAGACCCTGTAAAAATTTGAGCTATTAATATTAAAATTAATTACACAAAATGTTATTAAAGTGAGAGAAAAAATTACAAAACAAGCCGGTACATAGTTTGTATGACTAAATATAAAATTAAAAATTTTTTAAATATATTTTTTCCATGTTATTTTAATAGAAAACAGAAAATTTCAATTCACGATTTTTAGATATCAATATTAAGAGCTCAAATTTTGACAGAGTCTTTATTTTGTAATCTGGCGAAATTTTATGATGGTTTAAAAAAAAAATGTCTTTTTTTTATACACCCTAATATGTATTCATTTAAAAAACAATTAAATAGCTCACAACGCATTGAAGACGATACTTGTTTAAAAAAATACGTATTATTTATTTATCGTAAAATCTAAATACCTCTAAAATAAATGAATCTGTCAGAAAAATTAACGTATTTAAAAATTAGTCAATTTAATTCTAAAATAAATTACCAAATAATGGCCTTTTTCAATTGCCTTAAAATTATCAGCGTTTTGAAAAAATAATCCCATAATTTGCTGCTTATACCAAAACCTGTTTGTAAAAAACATAAATTGATGCAATAAAATATGTAAGTTTAATTGTAAAATTGATTTTTTACATTATTTACCTGATTCATGGTGTGAAAAATGATGATGGTTGTGGTATCGCTTCATTTCGTATAAATAACTCTGCGAACTTGGCGTTCCGTAGTGTAAATAATAGTGTATGAGATCATAACACAAATACCCTAAATAAATTTATCGATTCGTATTTATTATTTAGTGAATATTAATAGTCATTAAATTTAAATACCTATCATAGTTCCGGCAGTGACGAGATCGATTATCGTTGAAGGAATAATAATTTTGTATACTTGGTAGACGGCACATGCTACTAAAATACCGGCTGCTGGTGGAAATACTAGCCGTCGATCATCGAATGGAGCCTGAAAAAAAATTATTAAACTTAATTATTAGTTCGATTTATTGTTTTTTCAGGTAATATAAAAATTGATATACTTTATGATGAATTCCATGAAGAATAAAATGTAATGAAATGAGAAGTTTTGAATTCGCTGGTGGTTTTAAATGAAAAATTCCTCTGTGAAGCGTGTATTCAATTAGTGTCCACAGTAATACGCCCAAAAATAATGCAAGTATCTTGAAGAATATCGAATAATCTAAAGAAAAAAAATCCACAATTAATAAATATATTATTTTTTTATCCTGTAGGCAAAAAAAATTTTTTTAATAACTTACGAAGTGGCCCTGAAATGTTTTTCAGCAATCCGAGATACAGAAAATAAATTGAAATCGGTATCCAAACAAGCGGTACTGCGTACCAGGGTGTGATTGTAAGCATTTCCAAACAATCTGATTCAAAAAGACGTATCCGACGGTTCACGGGTAAATTAACCCACTCCCAATATTTATTTAACAACAACCCAACTTGACTCAACAGTGGAGCATTCCAGTCAACTAAATTCTACATTTAGAATTGAAACAAAATGACAATTTAAATTAAAATAAAAAAAAAATAATTCATTCATCAGAATGAATGAAGAATAATTAATTAAAAGAACCTCTATATCTTCGTAAGCTCTTTCATTATCAATTTGGAATTCATTAAACAAATGAAATGCTGCCTCGGAATGTTTAACATCATTAAAAATATTATCCACCGCCAATCCTTTATACGCTTTCAGTGTTTGACGGCCGCCCGGATGATATTTCAAAAAATTACTTATCTCATAAGTTTTTCCTTGATATTTAACGATAAACTCACGGTCATCTTCACTTGTGCTATTTATTTTATTTACTTCACTATTATTTCTGATTAGTAAAATATTTTTCGAGACCGGTTTCATCATTTTCCGATCGATTAATTCGTCCGTTTGGATAAGTTTTTGAAACATTACTATTAAACGCACTCTTCACTGAAGTTATACGAATGTTTCGACATTATCTTCTATTAATCATTTTCCAATTGCTTCATATTTAATGATCACGTTTTAAGTGATTAAAATTCAAACAATAGAAGATTAAATTTTTAGCTAATTCTTTCCTTTTGTAACAGTGGCCTTCAAACAGTAAGATACCGCATTCCTAAAAATGTTTGTTAAAAAATTTGTTTTTATTTCCGTTTAATCGAAAATGAATTCAAAATGAAAATTAAAAAAAAAGATTTAAACCGAGAAGTAGATAGCATATTTTTAAGTGAAAACAACTGTAAATCTCATTTAAACGGTATTAGGTCTCTTGATACCCCGAAAAAATATCCCCAAAATAAATATAATATTTAAATATATAAATATTAATCTTTTTAAGATAATGATTTCAAAATTTTGATGTTTATTAATCCGTTGCCACGCTTGAATAAATGCAGACAAAATCCGTATAAAAAGGACACAGCACGATAACAAGCTCATGTGTTGATCTACTGTCGAATAAGCACCGATAATATGTTTTAGCGTATTTTCAGATATATACATTCAAAATCACGCCTAAATAAGTGATGAAATAATGTCCGTAGTAGCTAATATTTTTTATTTTATAAAATATTAAGTTTGTTCGATATTGATTGTATGATAAATAATCCTTGTGATATTTCGTTTATTGATATTTCGCTGAAGTGATATTTTGTGTGGGGATATTCATTTTGGAGATATTTTGTCGGGATATCAAGAATCATCGAACCATTTAAATTTTATTTGTTTAATTAATTTAAATTACAATTTGGTTGAAAAATTTTCTAGGGTCAGTTTTTGATGCATCATTATTTTTAATTATGAAAATTAATTTAGCAAATAATTAATAATTTAAAAAATTTTTCTAATAAATAAATTACTGCATAAAAAACATAAGAAAAAAAATGGACATTTAGAAAATTTAATTAATTAAGGAAGTACGAGCACCAAGGCAACTTTTGATAAAAGGCTTGATTTTTTTTTTAATATGAAGTTTAAATATGTCTAAACAAATCCTGAAAATTTGAAGGAGATTGCCCGATCATTTAAATAAATAATTAACTTTAAAGTTGAGCAATTTAACATTTTTCTCGTAAAACTGTCGGTGAATATTTTTAAAAAACTTATGGATGAAAGTAAATATATTAGTGATAAATTTAATTCAAAAATATTTACACTTGCCCGACTAATTAAAGTGTATTAATTAAAAGAAAAATAAATGCCGCCACTAGCCAATGTTAAATGTATATCTATATATTTAAAAAAGTTTGGAAAATCCAAATGAGCATGCCTTAAGCGCTCATGTCATACATAAAATATTTAGATCATAACAAAAATTATTCGTTTTTAATTTGAATTTTCCCGCGAGTAGTATTATGTGCTCTCTGTAGGTCGAACTAAAGAAAAATTTTAACAGATGATAAAACAGTTAGTAATTATACCATCATGTATGTTTATAGTTATTTCAATTCTGTTTATGAAAAATAATACATATGGCTGCCGAAATCGCAGAAAAAGTCACCGAACTGACAATCGAAAAAAATTAACTGTATCGAAACGGAATTATTTTGAGACGCAATTTTCACAAGGGTTTAGCTCCCGTGAATACCACGCTTTTATTCATTTAATTCATCAGAAAAACGAGTTTTTTCTGAGAAATCTTATTTAATCGATAAGAAAATTTTTTTAATGTGTTCTATAGTTACTATTATTTATTTCAATATGCTTTTTATCTATAATCCGTATTAAATTAAAGCTATTTTAAAAAATCATATGGTTACTGCGTTCCCCTTACCGCGCTAGAGTCGATACCTATCCCCACCCCGCCTGGCGCTCGTACTTTTTTAAAAATAATTTTTCGGAAGAAATTTTTTTGTTAAATAAAATTTGAAAAATGGTCAAGTGACAGCTAACTTTAATATCATTTTTTAATTCACTACTCTTGACATTGGAAATAAATGAGTAACTTTTAAGACGTCCGTTTTATTTCTTCTTTATAAAATTATTTTCTTTAAATCATATTTTAATTATTTACTTTCATTATAAATTCTAAATTGACACCTTTCAACATTCCACTCTGACAATAAATCAAGCGGTTGTAATAATAACTGAAAAATAATATTTTTCTAGTAGATGAAAATATGTGCACATATCTTTTATCTCTTCCGTGTGAACTTTCTACTGACGTGTGCAATCAAAGTCGAGGTGAGTTTTATGCGCGTAAATATTTTAAGAATAGCCGCGTTACCATCTAAATCAAAGCATCATTGGTAATTTCGGAATTTATATATATTCGGCAATTATAAATACCTTGAACATACTTATTATGTCTAAGGTAATTGACAAAAGTGTTAAAATGTACTTAGTATAAATTGAAAGATACACTTTAAACACTGTCACTTATTTTTCAAACACAAACAATGTGTTGCGTGATGTCTGGTTAATTTGAATTATCATTTTTTTTATTCTTCTAAGCCAATGTCACTAAAATCAATAACTCGATAAAAAAATAAATCATTTGCTGATAGAGAAAAAAAATTAAATAAAGTATATTAATGAAATAACAAATCGAATTGACCGTGGGACTATTTTACGAACTATCCTGGCCGGAGATCTAGATTCAACTGACTGGTAACGCTGAGTAACGTTTGTTATCGTTGACACTTATAAATAATATCTAAAGTTGCTTTTTTTATTACCTAAAATCATCCTTGGGGTTTACTGGTACTCATTACTCGCTTTCCTCTATTTTCAATATTCCCCACCTCATCATGGAAATTAATCATTTTTATCTCACCTTTTTTAATCATACACGGAGTATATATCTGTTTTTTGCATTAGCGAACATATATTCGCCTATGATAATCCTTTTTACGATTGATAACACTACGAATGATATCATATCTAGAGATGATATCCTAGATCGAAGATCCAATAGTTTTTTAAATAAAATTTATCATGTGAATCATAAACTAGTTTAAAATTTAATGTTTTATCATTATTGTCGGGAAGTTTATCCCGTTGCAATATTAAAATTATATCTGTATATATGATTTTTAACATTATAGCGAAGCAAAAATCCTGAAAGTAGTTATCATTCAAAACACATTACAGCTAAGTGTAAAAACAAATTATCGACTTTGTGTCATGCATGGTGACAACCAACAGTTCAATGTGAGCCTTATATTTATAGACCTGTTCGATTTTAATGACACATTGATGTTCATTTTTTCAGTACTAATTGATCATCACCTTATTAATGATGTAGCTCTTTTGATTGACACAAACAGAAATTTAGTATTCATATTTCACATCTAGGTATTTATAATTCAACAATTCATATATTCCGTGTACTCGTGTCCAGATTATCAGATTGTAAATTAAGATTAGTCGAGTTGTCAAATATACTCAATTTCTATTTGTAAAAACAATGAAGATTATCCAATTGAAACTGATTGAAGTTTAAAAATTTTTAATAAAATTATATTAAATATTGGCTTTAGTTTTGAATAATAGTCCAGCTATATATTTAGTAATAATTTAGTAATAAGCAATATATAAATTATCTTATGAAATAATATACAGAATAATTTACAATAATACATATTTTTATAATACCACATTTTAATCTATTTTATGCATTCGCTCTCATGCGCAATCAGATAAAAAAGTTATTCTATTCTATGACTTGGTGACAAACATTAGCAGAATTACTAGATGCTATCTACGAGTGAATATGTCACTTTTCTTCGAAAAAACAATCATTCATTCTATTTTAGAATTAACAATTCTTTCAATAGTCAAGTACATCCATCTTGAACGACTTAACTTGAATTTCTTTCGGCGTGATATTTTTATGTAAATTATTACATATGTGGTTTATATCTTGATTATCGTTATCTTTATTATCTTCAGGAAAGTTTTCCAACGACGCACGATTTCTATCGGGCTAAAAATAACAGTAAACATGGTTAGTGGTTATTTAATGATGTATAAGCAATGATAATATGAATTTTGGAAATAATGCTGATTCATTGTTATTTAAATTTATCAGATCGATTAATTAAATTATATTAATAAAAATGGTGCAATCAACTCACAACACTTACCACTGGTTCTTTCCTTGATTCAGTTGTATTGACCCAGTAAATATTTTTCTGATGTGTATTCATATTAATCCCAAAACACTTGTATTTATTCAGTAGAAAAACAATAGGGATTGGGGCGATTCCAACAAATATCATACAGATACCGATTATTAGTACCCAGTTTGGGTACTCTGTTGTTATTTTTTTGCCCTGTAATAAGAAAATGAAAAAAAGTTTTTTTTTTTTTACAAACAATTAATTTGAAAACAGTCAATAAATTGTAAGATTTTGAGAAGAACTCGAAATTGTAAATTTGAGTAGCTTGCAAGTCTTCAAAAAAAAAGTTTTCAATTACTTATTAAATCTTGATAATTAAAATTACGTCTAATGAATAATAAATAACAATTTTAAATTCTTATTTTATATATTAATTTACAAGTTTAAATTGATTTTACTTTATTTATATACAAAATGGTTTAAATTAATAAATAATAAATAAACAAAATCTAAACGAAGTGATTTTAATACAATTAAACCATTTATCAGAATTACAGTGTAATTTTAAATTAAATTTTAAATTTCTCAATAATTATACAAAAAACGCATTAATACTTACTAAAGAAGGATCCCAAGTTGAATATTTCGGTTTTATAATTAACATTGAAACAATACTAGAAATTAAAACCACAGTTATAAATATCGGTGCAAGAAACCTCCATGTAATTTTCCAATAAAATCCTGGCTTATATCCGGTCATAAATTCAATATCCTTTGAAAATCTGAATAAAACAAAAATTTAGTATGCTATAAATATTCTTTATTAATACTTAAAAAATGAATATACTTTTCATAGCCATATACATAGGCAACGGCTATTACTTCCATCAAGGCAATAAGTACCAAGCCAATTGTGCTAGCGAAATTGTCAAAAAACTCCAACCAATACTCTCCAGCTCCTGTGCAGAATATGAGGCCAATAAAAAAACAGATTGTACAAATAATTCCGGTTAGGTATGGCTTTTTAATTTTTTTAAAAAAGTTCATTTCGAAGACTACGCAGAGCATTCCTTCCAATAAACCGATCTGCGTTCCTAACCCCAGAGTCAGAAGCATAAGGAAGAATATACAAGACCAAAATGGTGCGCTTGGCAATTCTACAATCGCTTGAGTAAAGACTATGAAAGCCAATCCTGTTCCTTCGGCCGCCTAAAAAATTAATTTTATTTATTTAGACTTTTGTGATGAACATTTAATTATAGTTTACTTACTTGATTCAATTGTTCAGAGACGCTACATTTTTCTAGAGTGAAATTCATTGGAACAAGAGAATGGCTGTAGAAATCAACAGCATTTTGATATTTTTCTTCGGGATCATTGACATCATTTAGTAGCCCATGTAGTTGGAGAAGAATCCGATTGCTGAAGATATTAAATAAATTTCAAGTGTTGTTTCTTTTTTTATTCCAACAAGCTTACCTTTGAAGACATTTTTCCACGTTTGACACAGCTTTGAATCCCAAAATTGTAAATACTACAATACTTGCATAAATAGCAGTAAACCCATTGCAGATACTGACCAAGATAACATCTCGTACGCAATTATTATCCACAGGGTTGTAACTTCCGAATGCGATCAGTGAACCAAAGGCAGAACCGAAACTGAAGAAAACTTGGACTGCCGCATCCAACCACATTCGCGGGTCTAATAATTTTCCAATCTGTCGAAAAAAATTCATTTCAGTATAATAATATTGATAAACTTAAATTGTACAAAAACAAAAATATATATTGCTCAACCTGTGGTGTGAACATATGTTGCAAACCAATGATAGCTCCTTTCAAAGTGATTCCTCGAATGAAGAAAACTGTGAGAACTATGTACGGAAAAGTTGATATGAAGTATATAACCTGAAAAATTATTTAATAAAAACATATATGGTACCGTTAATTGATGTTACTGTAATAAGCAGACACTTGAAAATTTTTTTTAATTAAATTAGGTCTAGAAAATTATTTTTAAAAAATTTTTTTATTATTTTTTAGACCTTCTAAAGATGGAATTTTTTAAGACAGAAGTTTTCTGATTAGAAATTTTTTTTAAATTTTCTAACAATTAAATTATTAGAAAAAATATTAAATAAAAAAATTCCACATGTAAAAATAAAAAAAAAAAATTTTTAATGGAAGATTTTTAAAGCATTTTTTTATTGCAATTGATTTGTTTTAAAAATAAAAAAAATTAGTTCTGAAAAATTATTTTTAAAAAATTGCACATCTTTTTTTTACAATTTCTATGTTTAACTTTTTTTTAATTTTACTATTGCTATAATTTATTTGTCATAAAATTAAAAATATCATGGCTCTCAACTTCAGATCATAATTTTTAAAAAAAATTTTTCTTAATTTAAATTATTTATTAAAAAAATGATCAAATGTCTCTCAATTTCAGTATCGTCATTAATTATCAATAATTGACAATTCATAAATCTTCATACCTTGCCAGAAGATTGAATTCCTTTCATAACAATAAAGAAAACAATGATCCAACTTATAAATAAACAAAGAACAATCCACCATTTGAGTTCCATACCTTGCTCAATAGAAGGCGAAGCGTCTAAAGTTACTCTGTACCAATAGTAAGCAGTCGACGAACTTTTCGAATATTCTTCAACGTAATCATCGGTCGTGGTATTTTTTGGACAATCCGTCCACGCCAGAGTGCTCTGTATAAAATTATCTTGAAATTAATCTTCAAGTTAATAAAACATTTTTTTCATACATTTATTCATTATATATTAATCAGACACACAGTAAATCATTTTGATACCAAAAGTATGTATATAGAGTAGACATACGGTATTTAGGTAAACAGTGCGCAACCTGTTCGCCGATCAGCCGTCATGCCGTTGCTTAAATTTAAAGATTAAGTTTCAAGTTTTAAATTAAAGTTTTATTTCAAAGTTAACACTTACTTCCATACTTTTATTTAAATTTAAAGTGAAAACTCTTCCTACAGCCTTTTTGAATGCATTTTAAATCAATAAATATTTTAGGTGTAATTCATTGTCATTATTAATATCAATCGGTGAAGTAATGGGTCTAAAATAAGAGTTACTTACGCGTAACGAACTGAAGAAATAAAAAAAACACCAAGCTATGATTATATTATAGTACAGTGCAACGAAAAATGTAACGATGCAAGAAGAAATGCCGATCCCGCCAAGACAGGGGTGAATTGTATTCCACACGCCAAACGCTCCTTGTCGCAAGCGCTGTCCAATTCCCAGCTCAATTAAAAATATGGGAATGCCTTCGAGAATCAACATTATGAAATATGAGACCAGAAAGGCTCCTAAAAATATAAAGGTGTAAGTTATCTTTAAATTTCAAAGCAATAAAACCAATTATATTAGATACACAACAAGGTAATATTTCATTACTTATCGACAAGTTTAATTAATTAAATATGTTAATAAAGAGTAAATATTATTATTTTATCGTTTTTAAATATTATTGCGTTATTAAAAAAATTTTCATCTTGTTTGTTTTAAATTTATTTGAGAATTCTTGTATTGATCGTGGAAGCACCCATCTATTCTCCTTTATGGTGTTTCTGCGTCTCTCCTCTAATTTGTCTTTCTCTAATAATTTCCATTCGAAAAACACAGTTTATATTTTTTTCAGAGAAATATTTTATACTAATAATTTATGACATTAAAGTTAGCTGTCACTTGATTAATTTTTAATTTTATTCAACAATTGAATTAATTCTAAAAAATTATTTAAAAAAAATTGCGTTTTTAATTTTTTAAAATTTCTACATGTCAATTTTTTTAATATTTTTTTTTGTCATAATTTATTTGTTAAAAAAAATTATTAAATATCTGCTAACTTTATTATCATTAATAATTTACTGACTCTAAGAAGAAATTTATTTAAAAAGAAAAAAATTAAATCAAACTTACAAAAATAGAGAGTAAATAAACATACCACCACCATTTTGATGACAAAGGTACGGAAACCTCCAAATATTTCCAAGCCCAACGCTGTAGCTGATAATACTCATAAAAAATTGCAATTTTCCGGACCATGCTGTGCGTTTATTTTCTAAATTTTCATTTGAATCATGATTATTTAATTCCATGGTAGTTTTTTTTGTTTTCGAAGGCGCTTCAAAACTATTTCTTCTTGTTGTTTCACTCATTTTTTTTTTTAAATTTTTTATTTCTACTAAACTATAATTTATATTTAATAAATTAAAATTTTTATATATAAAAATTTTGAAAAAAAAACTCTAACTAAAAATTACAAGCGTGTTATATCACAAAAGATACGGATGAATAAAAGAATAAGTAAGTAGAAATATTTAAATACTTTTCAATGCTGACGTAATAAATAAATTGAATTTTTTATGTTAATTGGATAGTTAATTTAAAGAAATAATTTGTAATTTACGTTTTATTTTTGCTCGTAAAAAATACGCTTCTGTCATTTATTATTAGAGTTAAAAAAAAAAATGTTTCTACTTGTTAAATTAAATATTACTGAGATAACGCAAATCAACTGTCAAATGTCGAACTGAGTTTTTAAAAACACAGGCCTTATGGCTTTAGGACCCATTAATGTTTGTATTGATTACGAGACTCTAGCTGCGAGTTACAACCATCAACTGAGATGCTGAAGCGAATTCGCGAATCCTGATAATTGAGATACAAGCATGCGCATGTTACCTTCTGAATTGAAAGAATGGGCTACTTAAGACATAAGTATTTGAAGCAATTATTAATTTGGCTTACAGAAACGTTCCCTTGTTACCTATTATGTTATTGTTAACAGTAATAGCGGGTATTAAATGTATGGCGGCTCTATCAGAAAAGATTTTTCAGCTTAAACATTAGAATATTTAATTAAACTATTCAATTTATTCCAACTTGAGCATCAGCAACTCTAAAACCGAGGAAGCCAGACAATTGAGTTACTGCTTATGAAATAGGAACTAATTATCATTACTCATCTCATCTGTTACAAACTCAATATATTCTTAATTAAAGCATGTGTTTTTTAACGTCACTGAATGGAACTAAGGTCAAGAAAAATGCTATTAAAGATGCAATGCGCACTTCACGCCCAAAGAGACAGACTACCGTGTAAACTCAATATTTTCTTCAAGGTAGCTTCTTACATTCGTTTTAATAAAATTTCCGACTGATAATTAAAATTTTTGTAGAAAATTACTTCATTTATAACTTTTAGTCCGTTATTTCGAAATTAAAACTTTTTTTATCTGCTAATTGGCTTTTCTTACTTCTTACTTAACAATTTTTCTGTATATTTTTTAAAAATGACTCACCTATTCATTTTTAATAATTTACATTATTTAATAAGATAAAGATAAATTTCTGAGTAAATTATTCAACAAAATTAAAAAAAAATGAATTATCACAACGATTTTTCTTGTTGTTGAAGCACTAGACGATTACATGCATAGGTTGTGATTACTCAATCATTTTTACTATTCCGATGTACAATATTGCCATTCTGTAAAAAAAAAGTAATTAATAAAAATAATAAGATTTTTATTATAAAAAAATACAAAGTGCGTATTGGTACCTGGTGGTTTTTTTGATACAATCCAATCAACGTAGTAACTGACATCAGTATTCACGGACGGACTTCCGGTAGAACAAGCCATGCCGTAGTCGATAATGGCAATTAGAATTATTCTTCTTGTTTCAGGGTTGCGCCATAGCACGGGGCCGCCACTATCATTCTAAAAGTTAAAAATTTACCAAATTTTGACTGGTCAAATACGGTATTATATTATAATTGTAATAAATTTTTTTACCGAGCAGCTGTCTCTTGTCTCATCTAAAGTACAAATTTGTCTGGACCCGATTCGGTTTGGATATGCGTCAGAACAATTTTTCGGGGAGATAACTTTGACTTCAGCTTTTTGTAGTATGTTAGATATCATTTCAACTGTACCAAGACTACCCCAACCTTTTTTGACAGAAAATCAACAGTATAATTGAATATTCTGATAATTTATTAAACTAGAAAATCAAACGCGCTTTGCGCGCTTCTGTTAAAATATTTATTATCAATAATTGAATTAATCAATATTTTTAAAAATTTTACTCATTAATATTTTATCGTTACCATGGTAATCGTTGCTATGATAACCATTGCCAAAAAAGGTCACCATAGCAACGAAAAGAGACAACAATAAAAAGGACACATCAACTTTTTAATAAAGGATTTTAATGCATTTTACATATTGACTATAGAGTTTAAAATCCTGGAGGGATTTTACTGAATTGTAATACATTTATTTTGTAAGCTATTGCTAATGATAACCTTAAAGATGATACAAATTTATTGATTAGTGTAGTTATTTGAGTAAGCTTCAATTTGCATATATTCATTTATTCAGTCAATTTTGACCCAAAAAACACAAATAGTGATCGATAAGTTTAAAAATTACATGAAAAATTTTAATGAATAAAAGTACTAAAAGTAGTTGATGATAACTGGCTACTCATGGAAGATCTTGCCATTTGCCAATAATTGAACTTAATTATTGTTAGCTGTAATGTAATTCTAATTTAATATGACAAATATGGTTGATTAATTAACACTAACGGTCATCCTGGATGGTTAAAAATAGATGTAAAAAACTATGGTATTGTTAGCTGAGTCTTCTGACTGATATCTTTTTACATTTTATTCATTCATCAAATTTTACGTTGTGGTATTTCCAAAAATTATTAAGAATTCTAGTTACATTTTACTTCAATTACATATATCGAAATGAGAATTTTGTATATCAGCTAATTACATGTTATTACGTCATAACTTAAAATTTTTTTGTATATTTTCTCAAAACGACTCACTTATTCATTTCTAATGCTAATTGTGAATAACCAATGTAAAGCGAGTAAGGAACAAATGGCGAATGAGGAAGTAAGCAAAAAACTTAAAAGTATAAATAATAACTTAATAACATAATAACCAATGTCTTTACAAATTTTTTATTGCGTATGTATTCGTTTTGAAATTTACATTTATATTGAATGAGACAAAGATGAATTTCTGAGTAATTAAATTATCCGATGAAATAAAAAAAAATGAATTATCACAGATATTTATCTTGTTGTAGAAGCACGAAACCATTACTTGCATAGGTTGTGATTATTTAATAATTTCTACTATTCCGATGTACAATATTGCCATTCTGTAAAAAAAAAATAATAAATAAAAATAGTAAGATTTTTATTATAAAAAAATACAAAGTGCGTACCTGGTGGTTTTTTTGATACAATCCAATCAACGTAGTTACTGACATCAACATTCACGGATGGACTTCCAGAAGAACAAAGCATGCCATAATCAATAATTGCAACTAGAATCACTCTTCTTGTTTCAGGGTTGCGCCATAGCACGGGACCGCCGCTGTCATACTAAAAGTTAAAAATTTATCAAATTTCTATTGGTTAATTTTAGTATGATATTATATTTATGATAAACTTTTTACCTGGCAGCTGTCTCTTGTCTCATCTAGAGTACAAATTTGTCTGGGCCCGATTCGATTTGGATATGCTTTAGAACAACTTTCCGGGGAAATTACGTTTACTGTAGCTTTTTGAAGTACGTTAGATGGCGATTCACCTCCAACACGACTACCCCAACCTTTTTTGACAGAAAAATAACAGTATAAGTAATTGAATATTCTGAGAAGTTATTACATTAAAAAACTGCATAATACCTAATATCTCAACAGGCTTGCCTTCAAAATCTTGGTGGTTATGTTTGAACGGTAGGCAAACAGGGCCTACTAGTTGAGAAAATGTAATAGTACCAGCAATATTTATCAAAGCAATGTCGTAATCCAGACTAGTTTGATTGTATAATTCGTGGATTATAAATGATCTTGCACGAAATAATCGTATTGCTTCAGTTTCATCGCCTAGTTTGATTAATACAAATACAGTCAGTTAACCATCATTATCGGTGAACAATAATTTCTAAGAAATTTTAAAACTCACTTATCGATAAATCATGCTCGCCTACCACAACCATGATATTTCTAGGAACTTTGTTGTTGAGACAATGGGCTGCAGTTATGACCTGTTTATCATTGATAATTGTTGCGCCACACTGAATTTGGCGAGGAAGAATAATAATTATCGCCATCATCGGGTATTCGTTGACACCAGTATCATTTCCGTAGGCGATTCTAGTCTTTAATCAGGTCAATTACCATAATTAGATTGAGGTTTCATTGTTATTATCTTAAAAACTATCAATTACTATTACTTATTAATATTTACCGATAAGTAAAAATGTAGATTAATTTTGGTGATTAATAATAATAACTTACTGGATTCTTCCAACCACATCTACAGTTATTGGTCACCGGTTTCGTTGCAACAACTTGACTGAGTTGTTTTACAGCACATAAAAAATATCCACCTTCTGATGCCGGTGAGCTTATTAATCTTGCATCAATTTCATTTTCTTCAGAAACAATGCTAAACATACGAGCTCCGCAAAAACGCTTTGCTGGTTTTGAAGATATTTTAATGCTGAGGTATCCATCACGACAATTAGGACTCTATATAATAAAAACTGTAATAATTTAGTGTGTAGGGGTTTTTTTTTTTTTTTAACAAAACACTTTAAATAAATTACCTCGGGTATTGAGAAAATCATGCAGGTTATTTGTATTGGCTGATCACTTTTCGCTTTCCACCGGCATTTTGTTCCTGGTGGATAATTCGCAGGATAATTAGGACTATAAATAGGATACTTCCGACCGGATAAAATTGGCTGCTCAAAATCGCAAGCTCCGAATTCATTATTAACAATTCCTGAAACACTCGGCAGAAACCACAGCAAAGAAAGTGATATCACTGAGCATACTAGACTCTTCATCGTAATCACCGTAGCCTGATACCTTCTTTCTTCAATTGTAGACTGAATGATTTAGTTAATTCGATAATGATGTTGGTATATAAATAAGTGTGTGAAGTCGACACGCTGATAACTGATAACACACTTGTGTACATTTTATGGGCGTTTTTTTTTATGTCTTTATGAAATTCGGTATATGTATTAAATAATTATTAAGAAATGAAGAAACGTGTTTACAGGTGGTTGTCGTTTGTAAATGTCGTACGATCTAATCAAGCCTATAAGTTTATTTTACAAAGGCACGTGTTATTCAAATTAATGATTAATGGTTAATTTTTTCGGTAGTTATAATTCAAAATAATGTTTTCTTACTATTGAACTAATTGCTTTTTATTATTATCAAGATAGAGTATTTTTTTTGTAGCAAAGACATTATTTTTTTTTACAATTTAGATGTTTATTTTGTGACTTAAAAATACATCAATTTACGTCATTTTTTTCAATATTCGAAAAGAGAAATCACGTGAGTAAATTTTCCTATTCTAAGAATAGGCAGAAGAATTTTTTTCTTGATTAAAGTTAATAAATGAATTTTTATTCTTCTTCACAGTATCGGTGACCTGAAATAATATTACTCTAATATTTTTTACATTTCTTTCTTCTCATCAAATTTTACCTTGTGGAGCTTGTGATTTTATCCAATCTATGAAAGCTCCAACTCTAGAGTTAACAGAGGGTAATCCTCCAGCGCACGAACTGCCGTAACTGACCATCCCAATGAGAACAATTCTTCTGGTGGCAGGATTTTGCCACAAAACGGGATCACCGCTGTCAAATTGACAGCTGTCTTTGTTTTCCATAAAAGTACAGAGCTGTCTTGATCCGATTCCGCGATACGTTTCCATGCAAATTTTATTTGTGATGACACTAACCTTCACCTTTTGCAATACAGGAGATGTATCTTCGCCGAAATTGAGAGATCCCCAGCTTATGAAGATTCAGAAGTATTGATAAATTTTATTGTTATAAATAATTTATCCAAAAATTACTTACCAACTAAGTCGACGTAGTTTCCTGCAAAAGTGTCCGGAGAATGCTGGAAAGGAAGACAAGCAGGGCCCACTTGTTGGTTGAACTTCATTGTACCATCAATAGTGATCACCGCGATGTCGTAATCCAGAGTAACGTCGGAGAATGATGGATGTATGACGATACTGGCTACTTTGTACAACCTCTTGAAAATAATGAAACTAATTTCATTTCAGATACTTACATGTGGAAATATCGTGTTCGCCGATCAAAACACCTATGTTGTAAGCACTTCTACTATTGACGCAATGTGCAGCTGTCAACACTTGTTGGGTATTTATGATAGTAGATCCGCAGAATACAATTCGGCCCAATGCATCTACAAGTCCTGCCATCATTGGATACTCGTTAACACCAGTGGATGTCCCTCCAACGATTCTTGTCTGTTAATTATTTAATTATCAAGTAAGTATTAACGCTAACAATATTTGTAAAGGATGATACTCAAATCAGCAGACGTTTAAAAATTTTTTGATTTTTTTTATTGATTAAATTGGAACTGGAAAGATTTTTTTTAAAATTGAACTTACAATTTTTTAAATCTTTTACATTTTAATAAATCGTAGAAAAAAATTTTTTTTTTTGTGATAAAAATGCTAAAGACTGTCAAACCTCTGCTAATTTATAACACTTAAATTAACCGAGGTTTTTGATTTTTTTTTTTTCATTTATTAAATGAGAACTAAAAATTATTGCACTTTTTCAAATTTTTTTTCTATTTTTTTGTAATAATTGTTTCAATAAAAAAATTTTTTTTGTAGTAATGTAATTATTTTACAAGAGTAATTTTATACATATTGCAAAGGGGTTTGATGCACTGCATACGAAATTTTAAAAACTAAAATAAACAACTTTTGATTAATTTTCGAAACAACTCAATTTTAGCTCTCGCTCTTAATTCTTCTATCTAAAATTGAATTTCATCGAATTAATTTTGAATAATATACTTAAAATTTTAATAACAATATTTAATTATTCGATAAATAATAATAATAAATTTTCATTTAAATTTTGGACTTACTGGATTTTTCCAGCCACAGCTGCACTCGGTATTGTTACTAGCAGTTTCAAGAGTACAAAGAAATCGTCCGACAGAAGGAATCTGTGCCACAGTAGCGCTTAACCGGCTTTTTTGCAGATGTTTGAATAATAACAACATTGGACTTGCAATTCGGAGACTGTAAGTATATTGTCTTTATAAGTATATAATTTTACATTAAATTACAATGTTGATTATTGTTTTTTATACCTCATCAGGCAACGAAAAGGAATTACAAGTTATTTTGATCGGCCGATCACTGGTAGTGAACCACCGACAAGGAGTTGTGGCTGAGTTCTCATCCGGATAATTTGGGCTATATATGTAATAAGATATTCCTGCGTTTACTATTTGCTCATAATTACAGTTACCGAATTGGGCGTTGCTCATCCCAGTTAGGCCCAAAAGAAACATTAGAGGACTTAGTGCTCCTAAACAAAAAATATTATCAACTATTAATTATTAATCATTATTTACAATAGTTCCTCACATTATTGTAATTATAAAATTACGATTAATTATATTAAGCATTTGATGGATCGTAGACTTACTAGACAACATTTTGACAAATACTTGTTACTTCTTCTTTAAATTGCAAACTAAATCGACGGGGAAATTCAATTACGATAAATACGCTGATATTAGCCAGACTGATAACGAACATGAAAATTCTGTGTGTGTGTGTGTGTGTTTATGAATTTAATTGTTATTTGGACTCTGTTATGCAATAGTGTGTTAAGTACATAGGATTTCCATACCACTTAACACATTAATGAATAACAGTGTCCATTTATTCTGCACATTTGAAATTAAAAACTGAAAATTGATTAAGAAGCTCATGTTTGATTATTTTTCAATAGACTAAAAAAAAATTTGAACTGACTTGTAAAAAGTATCCGTCATCATTGAATAGAATCCTAATCTTCATTAAATACAATTATTTATTTGTTTTATTATTTTCTTTTAAATAAATATTTATCGATAATTCATTTACGTAATTAAAATTATTCTTTATTACCTGTTTATCGCTCAAACTTATAGTTCTGAAAAAAAAAACTTAGACTTTTTACTTTTAGTTATAACAGCCAGGTATGATAATATTTAATTATAAATAGATTTATATATAATCAGATCTGATCATACATAGACTTATATATGATTATATATAATTATATGAGATCAAAGATAATGATTCAATTTTACAGCGTAATTAATAAATTATGTAATATAGTAATAGTATAAATAATAAATTTTCATTCTTCTTCACAGTATCGGTAACCTGAAATCAAATTAATTAATATTGCTTTAATATTTTTTCACATTTCTTTCTGCTCATAAAATTTTACCTTGTGGAGTTTGTGTTCTTATCCAATCTATGAAAGCTCCAACCCTAGAGTTAACAGTAGGTCTTCCATCAGCGCACAAATAGCTGTAGCCGGTCATCCCAATAAGAACAATTTTTCTGGTGGTAGGATTTTGCCACAAAACAGGACCACCGCTGTCATATTGACAACTGTCTTTGTTTTCCGTAAGAGTACAGAGCTGCCTTGATTCGATTTTCCGATACGTTTCCATGCAAATTTTATTTGTGATGACACTAACCTTCACCTTTTGCAGAACAGAAGATTGTCGTTCGGCGGGATAGAGGGATCCCCAGCCTATGAAGATTCAGAAGTATTAATAAATTGCGTTGTCATAAATAATTTATCCAAAGATTCCTTACCAAGTAATTCGACGTAATTTCCTGCAAAAGTGTCCGGAGAATGCTGGAAAGGAAGACAAGCAGGGCCCACTTGTTGGTTGAACTTCATTGTACCATCAATAGTGATCACCGCGATGTCATAATCCAGAGTAACGGCGGAGAATGATGGATGCATGACGATACTGGCTACTCTGTACAACTTTGTTGCGTTGGTGTCAGTCGCTATGTAAGTCAGATAGTTATTACTATTAAATTAGTCTGCTTTCTCTTGAAGATATTGAAACTAATTTTATTTCAGATACTTACATTTGGAAGTATCGTGTTCGCCGATCAAAACACCTATGTTGTAGGCATTTATTTTATTGACGCAATGTGCAGCTGTCAACACTTGTTGGGTATTTATGATAGTAGATCCGCAGAATACATTTTGGTTTACTACATCAATAAGTCCTGCCATCATTGGATACTCGTTAACACCAGTGGATATCCCTCCAACGATTCTTGTCTGTTAATTATTTAATTATCAAGTTAGTATTAACGCTAACAATATTTGTAAATGATGATACTTAAATCACCAGATGAAAATAGAGTTAGCCGACATTAAATGAATGTTAGAATTTTTTTTATTGAAAGAATTATTACAAAAAAATAAATAAAAAAAATTAGGAAAACAGGAAATTAACAGATATTTGTCAATTTTTTGGACTTTATTAATATGAAAAAAATTTAATAAAAAATTTCCACATTTAAAAATTTAAAAGAATTACAAGTGTAAATTTTGTAAAAATATTTATTTTTAGAATAGATTTGTAATCAAAATGCAAAAAACTGTCAAATGTCTGCTAATTTATAACACTAAAGTTAATCGACGTTTTTAATTTTTTTTAATTATTAAATAAGAACAAAAAAATTTTTTTTTAAATTGCACTTGAAGTTTTTCAAGTTTTTTTACAAATGAAATTTTTTTATTATTTTTTTGTAATAGGTAATTGTTCCAATAAAAAAATTTTTTTTTATTTTTAGATGTCGGCTAATTTAGTTTTCATTGCTAATTTCAGTATCATTTGTAAATGTAGGAGCTCCAAGTGAAATTATAACTCAGCAAAAAAAAAAATACTTTTACAATCGGCAGTTATGTGAAGTTAGATAAATGCATTTTGAAGTGGGAGTAACAATTTAAAATGGCAAATTCACAGGTTACAACTAAAGAGAATATAATTTTTTTACAAAAAAAATTTTAGACATATTGCAAAGGGGTTTCATGCATTCTATACAAATTTTTAAAATCTAAAATGAACAACTTTTGATTAATTTTTGAAACAACTCAATTTTACCTCTTTCTCTTCTTCTGTCTAAAATTGAATTTCATCGAATTAATTTTAAATATTATACTTAAAAATTTTAATAACAATATTTACTTACTCGATTATAATAATAATAATAATGAATTTTTATTAAAATTTAGGGCTTACCGGATTTTTCCAGCCACAGCTGCACTCGGTATTGTTACTAACAGTTTCAAGAGTACAATAGAATCGTCCGACAGAAGAAAAAGATGAGACAATTATGCTATTACCATCTTCAGAATAAACATCGAAGGAACCTGTGCCACAGTAGCGCTTACCCCGACTTTTTTGAGATGTTTGAATAATAACAACATCGGACTGGCAATTTGGAGACTGTAAGTATATTGTACTTGTAAATAAATCATTTTACATTAAATCTCAATATTGATTATTGTTTTTCATACCTCAGGCAACGAAAAGGGTTTACAAGTCATTTTGATCGGCCGATCACTGGTAGCGATCCACCGGCAAGGATTTCTGGCTGTACCCCCACCTAGATAATTTGAGCTGAATATGTAATAAGATTTTCCTGGGGTTATCGTTTGCTCATAATCACAGTCACCAAATTGCGCGTTGCTCATCCCGGCAAAGCCCAGAAGAATCATTAGCGGACTTAATGCTCCTAAACAAAAATATTATCAATTATGAATTATTAATTTTTGTTAAAAATTGCTATAAAAAGTTATTTAGTAGAATCTTTAAAGTAATGTAATTTAATTTCATTTAAAGCAATCTAAAAGTTTATAATTAAAAATTAAAATCTAATAAAAAGTGATATTAACGACAATATGAAATATTTAAGTAAAAGTGGCGCTAGAACCAGAGCTTTAAATATTTATTAAGATGCAGATTAATATAAAATACTATGAAGGGCACTCAGGTACCTGGTAGATATAATGAAGCTTGAAGATAACAGATGGCCAAAGATATGCATGAAAGAAGAAATGAGGGGAATAATCAACAAAAATCCAACAAAATGGGGAAAAAAAGTGGAGAATTTTCTAGTGGTGATAGGCATAGAAGAAATTATTAGGGGAATATACAAGGGAGGAAATGTAGAAGAAATAAAGGAAAAAATAAAGGAGGAACTGGAAAAATACAAAAAAGAACTAGAAAAAAAGGAAAAGTTGCTAATAGAAAAGTCCAGATATAACGAGTTTTACAAAGATATATTATAAGAAAGTGAAATCATCTATTGGAAAAAAGATAGAATTAATAGTGAGTACAAAGAGGTTTGGGCAAGAACGAGATTTGGAAATCTGTGGAGAAGCGGAAAAAAAGGGCAAAAGAATTGGGAATGCAGAATATGCAAGAAAGAGGAGGAGACACTGATGCATTTATTAAGCTGTTCAGAGATAATGGAAAAAATAAGTGAAAAAGGGCAACAAGCAAGATACAAGTGGATGGAAGAACTAGAGGGGGAATTAACAAGAGAAAGATTAGTGATAATTTTAAAAGGGGAAATAAATAGGGAGCTGTGTATATATGTTAGAGAAATGGAAAAATTATTTAAGGAAATTGAGTAGTATTACAATATTGAATGTCAGAAAAAAGCTGTCATTAATATACAGGTATGGATACTAGAAATAAGTATAAAATAGTATTAATAGTATTGTAATGCGACTGTGATATGAAGGATGAGGTGGGTGAAAAGTTAAAAGAGAGTAAAAGCAGTTGATTTTTAAGCAAAAAATAGTGTATATGCAAATGTAAATAAATAATTTAAGATATAGTTTTGTAAAACGCAATATGTGATACAAATAAAAACGATATTCTATTCTATAAAATACTATGATGAAAAATTGTAAAAAGCAGTTCTTACTGTTGTACAATGTTAAATCTAATTATTAATTATTATTCACGAAAGTTCCTCACATTATTGTAATTACTAAATTATAATTAATTATATTAATCGTTTAATGGATTGTAACTTACTAGACAGCATTTTTATAAATACTTGTTATTTCTCCTTTGAATTGCAAACTAAATCGACGGGAAAATTCAACTGCGATATATAAGCTACTATAAGCCAGACTGATAACGGACATGAAAATTCTGTGAGCGTGTTTTAGTATTTAATTGTTATTTATTCTGCGCATTTTAAATTAAAGACTGAAAATTGATCAAGAAGCTATGTTTGATTATTTTTCAATAGACTACAAAAAAAATTGAACCGACTTGTAAAAAGTATCCGTTAACATTGAATAGAATCTTAATTTTCACGTTTTAATTTCAAGTTCAAGTTTTGCGTGCTTATCATTAAATACAATTATTTATTTGTTTATTATTTTTTTTTTTTCAATAAATATTTATCGATAGTTTATCTACATGGTTAAAGGCATTCTTTATTACCTGTATATCGCTCAAATTTATAGTTCTGAAAAATATTTAGACTTTTTAGTGAGAAAATTAAAACGCTTATCAAGTATACTTGTCAAATGAATTTTATCTACCTAAGCGAATAATTATGTTCCTTGAAAAATTGATAAAACATCAAACAAATTTTTTAATAATTTTTTTATTTTTATCTTCACACAGATAAGAAACAGATTTAAGAGTCAAATAAACCGCGTAATCATTTCTTGAGAAGTGTAATAAAAAAATCAAGTCTTTGGAATCAACTTTTATCTACAGGTCTTTCATATCAGATTTAAAAAGCTTTAATTCAAATTAAACATCACAACTTTTAGTGTAAATAAATGTTTCACTAAAAACAATTAAAGTTTATTTTTTAGCTTGTAATAATTTTACGTTTACTTTCAATTTACAAGTACGCTTAAATAATCGCCCAGGTAAAAACATTATTCAAAATTATCTTTAATAATCATAATAATAATTGGTTTAAAAAACACATTATTGTTATTATTATTAAGCGAAAATGATATATTTAAAAAAGATAATAGTCATTTACGGAACCTTGGTTGAAGAAATATAAAAAATACCGCGATGGTCATGCGCAATTATTGTAAGGTGGATTTAAAAGAGCAGCTGGACTGTTGTCATGACAACAAAAGTGTTTTCATAACAAATATAACGTTATTTTTTTAACCTGTCTACCTGATCATAATGACAGACACGAGTAAATCTTTCATCACATAATTGTTAATTTAATATTATATTTACCGCGTCGAAAAATCATATGATTAAAAATATATTATTTTGTGTAAATTTATTTTTTATTTTTATTATAAGTTAAAATATTTTATTTATATTATGTATTTAAACGGTAATTCTACTGTTATTGACGATATAAATCGTTATGACGGGAAAAGTGACAGGAAGAAAGTAATAAATATAACTGGTTATTAGTTGTAATAATTTATAATAAATATTAAGAGTTTTTATTTCTATAGTAGTAATAAATTTTTTTAAATGTAATAACAATTGCTGTTTTATTATTTTAGTACAATGGACACAAGAATTCGACAAATGAATCTCAATTGGAGTCAACTCGGCGGTCTCACAGACGTAAACATTCATCTAAAAGTAGGTCCTCGTCGAAAACAAAAGCTTCTTCGAGTAATAATGAAGACTTTAATGATAATAGCAATTTTTCGATGGCAAATAAACTTAGACGTCATAAAAAAACTAAACCAAGTGCCAATCAAACTGACGGTTTAGTTGTCAAAAGTGAATCAATTCCTGAAAGAGGTGAATTATTTTTAAAAATTTATCATTTTTATATAATGAGATAAAAATAAAAATTTTTATGGCACTGAAGTTGGCAGACGTCTAAAAATTTTTGATTTTTTTTATTAATTAAATTACCACTAAAAAAATATTTTTAAAAAATTACACTTATAGTTTTTCAAGTTTTTTATAAGTGACAATTTTTTTTTTTTTAATTGTTTAATTGAAACTTTTTCAATAAAAAATCTCTAAAATTTTAAAATGTCCGCTAACTTAATTTTCATAAATTTTTACATTTATTTTAGGTTTGATGGAGGCGTTAAGTGAAAAAGAAGCTTTATTAGCAAAATATAAAACGAAGTACAGTAAATTAGAGAAAAATTATCAAGAAGTTACCTCGAAAAATTCAAATCTGCAAGTACTGATAGAAAAGCGCGAAGCTGAGTACGATGAATTGCATACGCATTATGAAGAATTGATAAAACATGTTCAATCGTTGGATCAAGAGAGGATCAATAATCAACTGGGGAATAAAAAAGTAGTGGCTGAAAATACGCAACTGCATGAAGATGTAAGTTTGCTGAAAATTTTGATTTATCGGCTGAACGTTGAGCTGCAGAGATATCAGGACAAATTGAGATTATTGAATGTAAAACCTGATGAAGAAAAGACTGAGATTACGGATCCGGCGACGGAGAGCAAAAGAGTGTCTGAGGCTTGGGGTCATGTCAATAATCACGCTCTGGCTCCACTGCTAGAAGCTTATCAGGAACATCTTGAGGAGAAGGACGATCTTATTCGGCATTTCAGGAATGAGATGGATGATTTTGGAGGTAAATTCAAAGAAATTGTTGCAGAGAATGAAGAGTTGCGTAAAGGTTTAGATCATTATAAATTACAGGTATATTTTTACTTATTATATATATTTTTTTTTTTGATTTTATGAATTATTAATAAGATAAATGATTTTTTTAGACGGAAAAATTGATAGAAGAATTAAAAACCGTTTCTGGAGATATAACTCTAGTTAAAGAAGAAAATGATATTTTTAGGAGACAAGTTTCGCTGCATAAACAGAAGCTTCTTGAGATTCATTCGATTTATGAGAAGAAAGTAGAATCAATGTCGCAGGATAACAATAAATTACACAGTGATTATGTTAGCTGTAAAACTGAATTAAGCAACCTTCAAGGTAAATATGAAATACTGTCTGAGGGATACGAGAAACTAAAGAAAAATTCGGAAAAAACTATGCCTGTATCCGTTCACTCGGACGCTATAGACGAATGCAAGAGATTGTTTGAAGAATTGAAAACTCAATACGATACAGAAAAACGTAAATTATTAAATCAATTGAAAAAATTTGAAGAGTTGAATCCAGAAAATGAAAAATTGATTGCTACTTTAACTGCCGAGCGAGGTCATCTGAGATATTTGACCAAGAATCTTGAGAAAAGCCTCAAGTAAGTTGTCTTTTTTTTTTTTTTTTTTTAATCAAGTATCGGTTTGTTAGTAATAGTAATAATTTCAGGCGGACACAGAGTAAGTTGGAGTCACTGCAAAACGCCTTGTGCTCTATTCAAGTATCTAGAGATTCCTTCAAGAGGCAATTATCGAAAACGACGGCTTATTGTGAAGAATTGGTTACTGCTCAAGAAAAATTGCAGGCGGAAAAAGACGAACTTCTGGCTCTTTTGTGTACAAAAGAAAAAGAAAGCGAAAACATTCAGTATCTTGGGAATAATATTACGCAGCGGATGGGAGCTTTAAAAGATCAATTGAAGGTAATTTAACTGATAAAATTATTTATTATCGTTTGAATTGTTACTAATTGTAATAAATTGCAGATTGTTCAAAAGGGAGCTAAAGAGCAACTGGATACTGTTGAGAAAAACATGAAAATACAAGAGCAGGGTGTGGGTCAGATGAAATCAGATTATCATAAAGAATTGCAACGTTTAAAATCGCTCATTAAGCAGAAAGAAGATGTGATTGGTAAATTGCAGAGGGAAAAATACGCGGCGCAAGACCACTTGGAACTGGTTTGGAAAGCGGCTACTAATGACGATAAGAAGGTTAAGGATGTGTTGAAAAACTCAAAGATTTATGTTTGAGATAAATAGACACTGTGAGAGGTCGTTAAGATGTTCTACTAACTGAAAAAAGTAATTAATTGTCTTCTCAATTACTATACTGAGTACGGTGGATCGAAAATCCAAGAGATTGACTGTTATTAGATTTATTTATTCAGTGTTATTGTCTAGTCGCAACTGTTGCTAGTATTAGAATAATATTAATATTGATAAATTATATATAAATCAGCAGGTTTGTTGTTTTTATTTATTGAAATTATCCTCCTGAGATATTAATATTTTTTCTTTATCTTAATCGGTAATAATTCTTCCTTATCCTGACCGTGACGCTATCATCACATGATTATTCATTTTATTTAATAATATTTTATTGTTTCTTAACAAGTTTTTTTAAGCGCGAATTCTCACTATGTCACCTGCTTTATTTAGTGGTGATGTCAACCAATACAAGTGGCTGTGAAGGCTGTTACTTTGTACAAGTCGGGTGCCTTAAAATTATGTCTCGGATATTTATTATGCAAGTGATCTCACATTCTGTCGATTAACATATTAAAGAGTCTGACTTGATCAATTGCTATTATTTAACTATTTTTATACTTTTTTTCGCAGTTTAAAAATATTTATGCTAAAAGTAGCCAATAACATTTATATAATTATCAAAAGAAGCGACATCAGAGATTAATTTTTTTAAATTTATCGTTTCTTAATTACGGGGAAATATTTTTGAGATTATTTATGGAGTTATGATAATTTAATTAACGAGTGCTGATAGGATATTTTAATCTTATGTAAGCTAGATTAATTGGTAAATTTAAAAGTAATGAGACCTTTTATGTCACTGTCAACATTTATAGTTGGTGAATTTTTTTCTTTTTACTTCAGAGTTTTATAGAAGTTGTTTCGTATAATTAGAATTGTAGATGTAAGAAATAATACATCATACTTCACTTAGTAGAATTCTCGTTGCCGCTCCCAACAAATTTATAAAATAACAATATTAATTAATTATCTTGTGACAGTTTATTTTTTCCATTTATCGATAGCTTACAGTTTACATAAAATTAGAATAATTTTTGTTTTTCAACACATTTAAATTTTATGGATTTATAAAAGGTCATGATAACATCGATTAATTAAGGTAAGGAATTTTTAGTTGTTTATAATCAAATATCGGAATTTTAAATGAAATAATTAAGACATATCTATATATATCTTGAGAAATTATTATTTTCTGATATATTTAATTGGACGTGAAGGTTTCTAAACAATAATTTTATTATCATAAATTTTAATTATTACAAAATTAATGTTTTTAATACTTCATGATTAAAAAAAATTTTTTCTATTATATTTTCAATAAAATTTATCATAATATGTCACTTATAAATTTATGACTTATCAATTTTATTAATTTTTTTTAAAAAAAAAAAAAAAAAAAAAAAAAACAAATTTTTTTAATTAAAAATTTTCATTACGTCAACTATATTTAAATTTTATGCATCAACATATTTAATTGTAATTATATATGTATAATCAAACAAAAAATAAATTAAATAAAAGAATGAAAATGAAGTTAGCCGACATTTAAAAATTTTTATAATTTTTTTTTTATTACAAAATTATTAAAAAAAATTTTTTCATTTGTTAAAAACTTCAAAAACTATAAGTGCAATTTTTTGAAAAACATTTTTTGGTTATATTTAATAATTAAGCAAAATAAAAAAATCAAAAATGTCGGCTAACTTTATTATTATATAAAAGAAATTTATTAATATTAATTTAGCAGACATTTTATATTTTTAAGAATTTTTCTATCAAATAAATTATAGCAAAAAAAAAATTTATATGTAGAAATTAAAAAAAAAAATGAAATTAATTTTTTAAAAATAATTTTTCGGAATAAATTTATTTGCTAAATAAAATTAAAGAAAAGTTAAGTGTCTGCTAGCTTTAATATTAAAAAATTTTAAATAAAACTTTTTTAAATCTGCGGTGAAATTTCCCGCGCAATTTAGTTGAGTGAAACGGGCTTTTGGTTCGAGCGAGATAGCCATACAATTGAATCGTGCGCGCTCGTATAGTTTCGGTTAAAGCAAAATGTCGACGACACCAGGCGCGTCGTCGTTGTCGTCTGCAACCGGGCCGTGCGTTAGTGTGTTTTTAAACAGAAACAATATTCGTGTAATAAATAAATAGTATAAAATGCCACTCTATTTAACAAACATAAGTATATATTTATTAATTATTTATATTAAATAGCGCGTGACATTGTGTGCTCTCTCGCGTGGTTTATTGAAATCTAAAGCATATACGAAAAGCGAGCCGGTGAACATTGATTTTTTCTCTCTATTCTTATTCACTCTCCGAACTAAACTGCCAGATGATCACCCTGTTAAACGTCACTGTCATTATTTATTATCATATTTATTGTCATTTTAAGTGATAATGCTGACAGAATAGTCTAATCACCACTCAATTTATTGAATCTAAATTTATCGATTATCATTTTGTAAGTGTTACAACTTACTGTTGTCTTATTTATTTATATATATTTTACTTATTATTTGCTTACACTATTAATATCGATGAAATTTATATTGACATCAAAGTACATGTAATTGTGTTAAGTAATTTAATTTATAAGTTCAACCTAAATATTTATAAGACACTTTTATTTATTCAATTATAATATTTAATTTTTTTTTTTTTTAATTTAATTAAAAAAATTTTTATTTTCAGAATTCCAAGACATGGAATAAATTTGGACAGTCATCATTCATCAAGTGAACAATGCACTACAGGTTAATATTATTATATTACTTTATTTATTTATTTATTTGTTATTATATATTGCCTATTATAAGATGAGAACATTGTTACGTAAATGGTGATATGAGTGAAGCCAATTATTGCATCGATAAGCTAGTCGATTATCGCTAAGTGTACAATGATTGTGAGATATATGTTTTATTTTCGTAGTTGTGCCGTTTCAATTTAACGTTTAGTATTCACAGCGCCGAAAAACAATTAAATAATTATCAATTAGAAATTTTTAAAAATGAATCATTAGGTGTAATAAAATGCGTTTTGTGAGGTGAGTCAATGAACCAGCTAAATTATCCGGGAATTGAGACCGAAACTTCCTTTGCTATAATATAAATTGATAATAAAATATAACCAATCCGGTAACTGAAAGAAGGAAACTAGGCCAAGATTTATTCAAAGTTATTATTATATGCTTACTGAAAAATTTTAATTATTTTGATAACAATTATTACACGGACATTTGTATTCTCTGGTGGCATGGTGCGCACTAGAATAAAACACTCGGCAGCAGTCCAAGTCGGGCAAAATATTACAGCTGACAACGACCTTACTGATACCGAGGCTGATAATGTAGTAGTGTGTTTCGTTATTTACTATCACTATTTTAGGTGAATTCTGATTATGATTATATTATATTGTAGCGATGATACTACAGGGTATATTTATATTACTGCTTAGAGTATTTAGGACTAGAGTATAAAAGATCCCGGAAGTAGATACTGATTACGTCATCGTAAACCCACGCGACAATTAATCCGTGCAATTGTGACGACATCCTTTAGCACTCGCTAACAATGCTCATACTATTTCCTTCGATAACATCAATACCACACTAGTTATTTACCGGTATTTTTTTCTTCCGAAGATATTAATTATTTAAGTCAATTATTTTATTTAGTATACCAAAAAAATTATTGTAAATTAGTCGAATTAATTTTCATTCCAAAGTTTCTTTGTTAAATTTTATTTCATTGATATTTAATAAAAACTGTAAGTGACTTTTTTTTTAATTAATATTTTGGCAAAATTGTAACTACAATTTTTTTATTATTTATAAAATTAATTATAAATTTTGAATTTGGCGCCAAAAACTAATCACATTTTTATTTGCATCTTTTAGCTATTTGAGGCGTTGAAACTCGAATTTTTGGCGCTAAATTAAAATTTAAAATTTTTAGTTGTCTTTTTAGCCGTTAAAGGCGCTAAAATTCGGGGTTAATACAAAAGTCAAATAAAATGGTTTTCGGCACGAACAAAGCGTAGCTCTATCTTTTGTTTTTACTTCTCTCACGTGTTTTAACGCAATACAAACTCGAGATCTATTTGAATCATAATAATAAAAGTAATGATAATGAAAAAGCATGTATGTTCTATCGTAACAATGATCCTCATCAGTGAATACGTTTGTTAGTCATGCAGATCGTAAAATTTTATGACACTAAAATTATCAGAGGTTAGACATTTTTTTTTTAAATTACACCAAAATATAAGAAGAAATATTTTGTATTAATTAATTAAAAAAAAAAAGGTAGAACTGAGGTTATCATAAATTTTAATTTGAACATTTTTTTTTTCAATAATATTTAAGACTTCAAGGCTTTAATGCATTAAATAATTAAAAAAGTTTCTCAAATGAATTATTTATAAAATAATTAAAAATTTTAATAGCGGTGATTTATTGAAATGAATTAATTAAGAATATGTGTTACAGGTACATTGAAAGATAAACCTTGACCTTGGTTTTATCTTAAATATTTGAGCGGATTGCAGTAGCTACCTGAAGCGGAGCTTGATGACAGTTCAGTGTATAAATAATAATAATAATAATAATAATTATTATTATTATTATAGAGTGCAACAAAAGCAAGTGTAATCATAATACACTACAATGTGTTATACATCTCTGTGTAATGAACTTTATAAGCCCTAGAGTGGGGGTAAAATTAACCGGTGCAAAGTGAAGAGGAATCGTGATCGTGAATCGTCTCTGTTATGCTGTACGTGGCGCTGGTTGTGCCCGAGTACGAGTCAGAGTCAGAGCAGTGCAGAGTAGAGTAGAGCCCAAGTTGTTACTACGGTACGCATACACAGTACACAACGCAAGTAGAGGATAAGAAGCTTAAGCTAAGTTGAAGCCAGTCGTTGGAGTCAGAGTCGAGTCGGGCAATAAACAAACGACCGGCGACTTCGGGTGC